CACAGTGTGATAGCATAAAAGATATTGTTAAAGAGATGTTTTGTTCTCTTCTTCATGCTGTCTTTGACTCTGCTGTGTAGCTTACCCTTAGAGAGTCTCAGTCCTCAGTCCCTTGTGGCCAGGGCTTCCTGCTAGTGCACACAAGGTCCTGCCTTGGGGGTCAGGCTTGATCTATGGGTAAATTTTGAGTGTCCCACCAGTCTTCTAGAGACCTTTAATCTTTTTCCTTTGCTTCCTTTTTTTTTTTTTTTTTTTTTGGGCAGTACTAGGAATAGAACCCTGGGCCTTGCACATGGTAGGCAAGCAATGTACCACTAGGCTACATCCCCAACCATTTTTATTTTTATTTAGATACCAGATCTTGCCAACTCCCTCGTCTTGTTCATGCTTGTTCAGTTTGCAGGCTGGCCTTGAGCTTTCAGTTCTCCTGCCTTAGCCTCTTAAGTAGCTGGGATTATAATCATGGGTCACTGCACCCAGCAGGAAAGCTTTTAAAGAACTTGAAGGGCTTTAGAAGAAGTTTGCCATGTGGCAAACTTTTTGTACTGTTTGTACAACATTTAAGTAATTATGTGGCCTCCACAGACATTGAGGCATGCTTCTGCCCTGTCTAGTTGTACCCTAGCCCTGCCTGTGACAAGTATACTTGGCAGCCCACAGTCATTCAAGTTTGCTTTCTGCTTGCAGGGCCATGAAGCCCCCAGGAGGAGAATCCAGCAATCTTTTTGGAAGTCCGGAAGAAGCTGTTCCTTCAAGTAGGCCTAATAGGATGGCGTCAAATATTTTTGGACCAACAGAAGAACCTCAGAATGTACCCAAAAGGACAAACCCCCCAGGTGTGGGCCTTTGTAAATCCCAGATGGGTTGGCCTCTACCTAGTCTCTCTTCTGTTCTTTTAAAAATGTTGTCATTCTTTATATTGATCCTTTCAGATATTTTCTGGTATAGGTTATCCCTTGTCTTTAGAGGTGGTGTGAAAGCACTGAGGGTACAAAGGTAAGTGGTGGGCCTCTGGTTTCTGGACCCCATAAGATCCTGAGATTGCATGCTAATGATTGTGTATTCAGATATAGTTCTTAGGGAGGGAGAGTATTAATCTGACTTCATTCAGTAGATTGAAACTCTGGACAGGGAGAGTTGGTCTAGCATGCACTGAGACAGTTCTTCAGAATTTAACACACTGGCTAGTGGCTACAGAAGGAAAGAATATTTGAACAGGTTTCCCTTGTCCTGTTGAGTAACCACACAGTGACAGTTACCTAGTAGTTTTCCCATGTCTGTATCTGTGAGGGGACAGCAAGGTTTGTTTCATCTTTCAGAGACTTTAGAGGCCATCCCTGGGGGTATGTGTTAGAGTCAGCTCTAACTGCTCCCTACCTTGTGCCAGTTCTGGATATAAATAAATCTTGACCAAATGTAGATCAGCAGATTTAAAAACTAGTTTTTTTGTTCATTTGGTTGTTGGGGATGGGTGCTGATGTTGCTTCTAAATGTAGCTGTAGCCAGTGGTTCTTAATAATTGACTAATATTCTCTTGCATCCAATTCTGAATTTTGGGCCAGGAGTGGTCAGCCCTACATACCTTTGTGCTGGTGATAGCAGAATGGTACTTGTGTGCAAAACAAAAACAAATACCAGGAGTGGTGGCATACACCGGTAATCTCAGCAGCTCAGGAGGCTGAGGCAGTCAGATCAAAAGTTCAAGGCCAATCTCGGTAATTTAGCAAGGCCCTAAGCAACTTATACCCTGTCTCAAAGTAAAAAAAAAAAAAAAAAAATGTAAAAAGGCCAGGGACGTGGTTCAGTGGTTAAGCACCCCTGGGTTTAATTCCTAGTATTAAAAAAGAAGAAAAAAAAAAAGCACCAAATGTGTGTCTGGAGTTGTCTCTAGACTTGTACTTGCAACACATCAGGTTCTCTGAAAGGTGTGCCTGCTGTGCCTCTTTGCACATCCTATAGGACCTCGTGTCCCCAGGTACTCTTGTGTCCTTGGGGATCCTAAGCCCCTTGGCTAGGAGTAGCCATTTACCTCTGGTATAGTGACAGCCGTTTTGGCTGCCTTTACCAGGTTTTTGCATCTTGTAGTTTTGGAGTTGGTTGTTTTGTTTTTTGCATCCTTCCAAGTACTCTTTGGAAAGAGAGCGTGAAGCCTGTGAGGCAGAACCAGTAGTTGTGTCCACCTCAGAGGCTAAGTTCCTGCCCTCATTGCTGTGCTCAGCCACCCAGGCTCAGTGCTAAAGCACTCTAGTTAGAGGGCCTGACTTGGGAGAGTGTTCAGAGGCACTTGCTCCACCCATGTGGGCAGCTTACCTCTGACAGCTGAGGAAGGCTTGCAGGAGATGACCTTCAGTGTCCCATTTCACCCTCACTGTAGTCTCCCTGTTCAGGCCTCCTGAGCATTCCTGTTTGCCCATATGGCAAGTGCATACCCATTTCTGCCAAGGCAGTGTTTTTTGGGTTTGTTTCTTTGTTTGTTTGGACAGCAGAAACGAACCCAGAGGCACTGAGCCACATCCCCAGTCCTTTTCATTTTTTAGCAGGGACAGGGTCTCATTAAGTTGCTGAGGCTGGATTTGAACTCAGATCCTCCTGCCTCAGCCCCAGTTTCTGGGATTGAATTTACCTTTTTCTTTTTTTAAGACAGGAGATTGAAACTGGTGCTTAACCATTAAACTACAGCCCTATGTGCCCCCCACCTCCCCCTTTTTTTTTTTTTTTTGAGACAGGCTCTTGCTAAATTGTTAAGGCTGGTCTTGAACTTGTGGTCCTCTTATCTCAGTTTCTCAAGTCATTGGGATGACTGGTGTGTGCCACTGCATCCAACTGTTCATTAGTTTTGAGTGAATTCAGGCATCTTTTCTTTAAGTCTGAATTCATCTTTTAAGGAAAAGGTTGAATAATAGCTATGTGGCATAATTACTTTAAAGTTCAGAAACAACTTTTGTTCAGGATTATGCATGTATGTTGTGAAAATATGTAAGTAAAATAAGAAGTCTGGTTTCCAGAAAATTCAGGGAGTGGGATAATCTTAGGTGAGCAGGAAAGGGCACAGAGGGAGTTCACGAACAGTGTCTTTGACCAAAAATTTTTAGTTTACAAAAAGAAACCTAAATATATGTTTTAAAAAATTAGGTAAGCCTTTGTGGACAACCAGAATATGACACAACAAGGGTGGTCCCTCCCTGTCGCAGGCCAGCCACGTTTGCTAGAATGACCAGTGGCATCACTAAAGGTTTTCCCAGCAGGCTGTGCTGCACCGCCATTTTACCTTAGGAGCTGGTGAGTCTCACCAGCAACCCTAGGGATGCTGTAAGTTGAGAAGGTGAAGTTGTTTGTATGAGGTAACACAGGTAATGAGTGAGTGAGCAGGGACTAGGACCCAAGCAGCCTGGCTAGGGTGCCAATCCCTCATGCCATGCAGTGCTGGTTTCCTCTTTCAAAGGTGTTCCGTGTGGGGCTGGATCCCTGGGAGGTTCATGGTTGAGATTGGGAGGTTTATAGTCCCCTAAAGTTAAAAGTTAGGGCATGGTGCATGTTTTCCTGCAGAAAGTTTCACATGTTCCAAGGTCTTTTGTCCCTGCCAGAAGACAGCATCCCTGGCCTGTGCCCAACCTGCTCAGTGCTGTTACAGCCTCATGGGAGCTATAGGCCATGGCCTATAGACTGATACCTCCCAGAGGCTGCTCTGTTAGCAGTGTGATAGCTAACAAGAGCAGACCCCAGTTGAGTCCCTTCCCCAAGACCATGGCTCCTTGTGTAGTTGGGTCATGAGGTGCTCATCCTATGGCAACATGGTTATCACAGCTAAAAAGTAACTTTAAAATGTAATAATTTTTTGAAGCCTGAAAACAGAAAAGGTGAGACCCTGTCTCAAAAACTTAAAAGGGCTGGGATGTAGTTCAGTGGTAGAGCACCCCTGGGTTCAGTTCCTAGTACCTTAAAAATAAATAAGAAGTTAGTTTTCGTATGCCACTGCACCCTCTCTGTCCCATTTCTTGTCTGGCCCTTGTAGGTAAGCAAGTGGTGAGAGGCAGGGGTGAAGTAGTCATTTTTCTTATTCAATTATAAGTGAATAAGACTACCCCTCTTACATTAAGATGTTGGCACTGCATGGATTGTTTTTTACCTTTATTCACAGAACAGTATGTCCAGGAGGTGTTTCTTTACTGTTAGGCAGAAAACACAGCTTTTATTTATTTTATTATTTATTAGGTGTTTTTATCCTAGGCATGGTCCCTAGCCTTTGACTCAATGAGTGCTTATACACCTCTGAGAGAATGGTCCTTTTATTGTCCTCATTCTGAAGATGAGGGTTTAGGGTCATAGAAAAACCAAGTAACTTTCACACATCCACACAGCTATTGATGGTGTGCATCTCTGTGTATACCATAACTTGGTGCACCAGGGCAGTGACTTTGATGATAGCTGGTCCATTCAGCACAGTGCTTTGGGGAAGGGGTCTGCTGGTATCATACAGCATCCATGTTCCTCCCTGATAATGGGCATTGAGGCCTTCTTGGGGCATATCCAGGCCACAGCCATCAGCTCCTAAGAAGTTCCATCTGCCTATATTTTGTTAGAGCTTATCAGCTCACTCACATTTGGCAGCAAGGGCACTGCAAATCCCTTAATTTGCTGACATGTGTAGTCATTGCTTGACATTCCAGCCAGAATGAGGTCAGAATGACTAATAAAAGTTATTTTCCAGGTAACAGGTTTGCCTTGAGTAGGGCATGTTACTAACTTCAGAACTCTCTGCAAGCAAAACACTTAGCTCTTTCATTCTTTTTTTTTTTTTTCTTCTTTTTTAGTTTTCAATGGACCTTTATTTTATTTATTGACACGTGGTGGTGAGAATCAAACCCAGTGCCTCACACATGCTCAGCACTCTGCCATTGAGCCACAGCTCCAGCCTTAGCTGTTTGCTTTTTAATTCACTGGAGAACTTTTCCTGAGTTTAATGAGGGACAGTTCAGTGGGAAAGCATTAACTACTGAGGGTTAGGGAACTCTGCAGGAAAATGTATGGTTTATTTCGTTTTTCTTCCAGAGGCTGGGTTGGGTCTAGACATGAAAGCCGAGTAGGCCTCAGGTAAAAGTTGGCTGGATGTCCCACCCCATTTCCTGGTACCCAGGACTGCCACAAGGCTGTTTGTGAGAAGGTCTCTGAAGTGATGACCCTGGGCATGTGTGGTGTTCACTGTTCTGTGATTGTTTCTGCAGGAGGGAAAGGAAGTGGTATCTTTGATGAATCGACTCCTGTGCAGACCCGACAACGTCTGAACCCACCAGGTGGGAAGACCAGTGACATTTTTGGGTCCCCAGTCACTGCCACTTCACCCCTGGCACACCCAAACAAACCCAAGGTATGGACTACATTCAGACAGCAGACATGAGAAAAAAACAAAAGTTGAGCCAAGGACTCTTAAAAAGCTGCAGATGTGCCATGTTATTAGGGAGACAAGGTGGACATCATTGATTTTGCTGTGGTCATTTGTTATTGGGTTGGGGAGCTCCCTAGTTACCCAGGAAACATTCCAACCTCATGATGACTGACCCCTGGGGAAAGTGGTTTCTTGGTGTGTCAACAGTACAGATACTGTTAGAGGCAGCCACACTGGCCTTTACCACATACCTGAGGGATAGCAGCTGAGCACCTGGTGCAAGAACTCGCCCCTCAAGGGTCTTTCATGATTCTTCATTCTGTAGAGGAAAGGTGGTGGCTCTTGATGGCATTTCTTTCCCCACACAAGGTCCAAGGCCTCATGCTTGTTATCTTAGTGGATTTGTGGTGCTTGGCACCTCTGATCCTGCAATGGCACCGGATCAGGTAACTACCTGTAATCCAGCAAAGGGTTAAGTAACCAGGGTCTCCTTACTGCAGTGCCATCTCAGAGGCTTGCTGAGATATGTGACCCTGGATGTGAACTTCCTGGGCTGAGGCCGAGGTAGAGGCTTGACGAAGAGCCAGCACAGCCCTCACCTGAATGTTTGTTCAAGGCATGACAGGACATTCTGGGAGTTTACTTTGGCCAGAACTCACTAACAATAAAACCTATAATTTTATTGTTACTTAATTATTAGCATTATATTTAAAATTTTTCATCGTTTTTTTGTGGCCAAAAGATAGGGTCCAGTTCTCCAAAACAAAAAGCATTCACATTTCTGGAACTACTTGTGCATGGACCATCACTGCATTTTTGTCAGTTCACATCTCAGATGATGGCCCACCGCCATTGAATGGAAATGGAAATGTGAAAAAAGACCCAAGGCAAGGAGAAAATGAGAGCAGATGAGAGGGCTTCATGGAGACGAGCCAGGTTGGATCACCCCATGTCTCCTGTGATGGCCTGTCTGAAGCAAGTCTCTTTCAGGTTGGAGTCTCAGGAGCCAGGCATGCGCCCCACTGAGTATGAGATTGTGAGGCTCATGTCAAAGACATCTCTTTGGGATGTACCTGTGGAACTGCTGCACCTTGGCTAATCCAGAAATGCCCTAAAGGTCAGCAGTTCTCCATCAACGAGAATTTTAATTAGCTGAACATAAGAGGAGGAAGCTTGGATTCACAGGTTCCCAGGAAAGAATAATATGAGCTTGTACACCTGGGCATAGAATAAAGGGAGTCAGAAAACAATTTACCTGGGTTTATTAAACCTAAAGGTTTTTTGACCCAGGAGCATCAGACATCCCCAGCCTCACTGGAAAAATGGCCAGTTCCAGGCTCAGGACAGAGAGCGTAGGAGATGCTCCTGGAACATTGTGCAGTGCCATAAAACCATCGCAGTGTTAGACTGGCGTCAAAAGGATCAGAAACCATTGTGAAGAGTAGTCTTGGGCCACAGAGGCTTGGGCCTCATTTGGTCCTCAATTAGTACAGTAATCACAATGGATTAAAATTCACCAACTATTTAGAATTCAGAGGTTAAAAAAAAAATCTTTAGAGACCTTTTGAGAATGCCAGAAAACCAACTCATGAAATCTGGTGAATACAAAGATGGTGTGAATAACCAGCTTTTCCTGCATGAAAGATGACAGCTGTTGAAGGAAAGTTCCATTTTATAGAAGTACTAAAGGAGCCAAGCATAGTGACCATACCTGTAATCCCATCTTCTTAAGGCTGAGGCCAGCCTGGGCAACTGAGTGGGGCTTGTGTCAACATTTAGAAAGGACTCCCAAGTTATAAATGAGAAGGGGTAATAATACTGCCATGTTGCCAGTGTGGGATGAACTCAACACACCCACACAGTGGTCATCAGTGGCTGTGACAGCATAGAAAGAGAAACAGCCAAGAGTTATGACCTCAAATGTGGAAGTCCAACTTGGTCCACCTCAAGGTCAGTTTGTCAATATAAAACCCAAAGTGAAACAAAACCACATTTTTAAATAACGATGTCACATATATGCACTCAGAACAGTATAACGTGTAGGAAAATACATGACAAATGATGGAGATTCTTAAAATAAAAAAGAGAAAGGGCCAGGCACAGTGGCTCACGCACGTAATCCCAGCTACACAGGAGGTTGTGGCAGGAGAGTCACAAGATTGAGGCCAGCCCAGGCAACTTAATGAAGAAAGTGCTGAGGCTGAAGCCCGGTAGTAGGAGTGCTTGCGCACCACTCTGGGTTCCATCCTTGGTACAGCAAAAACAATAAAGCTTAAGAAGGGCTAGGTGCAGCCCAGTGGCAGAGCCCTTGCCTAGCATATGCAAGGCCTGGGTTTGACCCCCCAGCACCACCCAAAGCAAAACCAGAATACCAAATGAGAAAGAGACTTAGAAAAGCAGTCCCTTTCAAAGTCCAAATAGATTTTGTAGAAATGGAAAAAAACTATTCAGACATTCACTTGGAAGATAAAACATGGAAGCCCACATCCCAGTCTCACTTATGGCAACAGTGACTAAAACAGCACAATGGCAATTTTGTGGGAGTTTTTTGTTTGTTTGTTTGTTTGTTTTGTTTTTTTCTACAAGAGTACCAAGATCATTCAATAGGAAAGTAACAAAGCCTCTCAACAAATGGTGTTGGGAATTTGGGTATGCACACACAAAAAGATAAAATTAGACTTACCTTAACACCATGGGGGGAAAAAAACTCGAATTGGTTCAAAGACCTAAAATAGAGAGCAAAATCAGAAAATATAGTGACTAATCTTTGTGATCCTGCACTTGACAGTGCTTCTTAAATATGACACAAACAATAGACAATAAAATAAATTGGACTTCATTAAAATTAAAAACTTAGTGTGCATCCCAAGGACCCTACCCAAAAACTGGAAAGACAACCCACAGGATGAAAAAAAAAAAAAAAAAAACCCTTGCAAATCGCATACCTAATAAGGATTTACTGTCCAGAATATGTAATGAGGTCTTAGGACTTAATGACAAAAAGACAAACTAATTCAAAATGAGCAATGGATTTGAATAGGCATTTCTACAGAGTAGGTATATAAATGATAATCACATAATGGGTACCCAACTTCAGTGGTCATTAGGGAAATTCAAATAAGAAACTACCACCTCAGTCCTTGTGGAACACCTAGAAAACATTGAGTTAGAACCTCAAATGTTGCTAGTGAGGATGTGAAGTCATTCGGCAGTCGTGGAAGTTGGTTTGGCATTACCTCAGAAAGTTAAGCTTGAACCACTGTATGAATCAGCAATTCCATGAAGATTTGGAAAACAGGAGCTGGTTGTGGTGGTACCACCTTGGATCCCAGCTACTCAGGTGGAGGAGGCAGGGCTCTAAGTTCTCAACCAGCCTCAGCCACTTAGGGAGACCCTGTCTCAAAAATAAAAAGGGCTGTGGTGTGGCTCTGTGGCAGAGCACCCTGGTTCCATCTCTAGTATCAAAAAGAAAACATTTTTCCTTGGAAAACTGGGAATGGAACCATCATTTGACCCAGCTATTCCTCTTCTCGGACTATACTCAAAAGACCTAAAAACTGCATACTACAGGGACACAGCCACATCAATGTGTACAGTAGCACAATTCACAATAGCTAGACTGTGAAGCCAACCTAGATGCCCTTCAATGGGTGAATGGATAAAAAAAAAAAATGTGGCATTTATAAACAATGGAATATTATTCAGCACTAAAAAATAACAAGATAAAAAAATGTGTCATTTGCAAGGAAATGGATGGCATTAGAGCAGATTATGCTAAGTGAAGTTAGCCAATCCCAAAAAAAAAAACAAATGCCTAGTGCCTTCTCTGATATAAGGGAGGTGACTCAAAATGGGGGTAGGGAGGAAGAGCATGAGAAGAAAATTACCCTTAGATAGGGAAGAGAGGTGGGAGGGAGAATGGGAATTGCATGGAAGAGGGAAGGAGACCCCCTTCGTTATACAGAATACAGGTATGACAATGAGAGGGAAAAAAAAAAAGTGGGTCACATTAGATTGGGTAGAGGGAAGGGGAAGGGGGAAATGGAAGGACAGCAGAATAAAACCGACAGTATTATTGCTGTGGGTATATACGTGACTGCATGACTAATATAATTCTGCAACCTGTACACTCAGAAAAATGAGAAATTATATCCTATCTGATTCAAATGTATGATATGTCAAGATCATTGTTCTGTCATGTGTAACTAATTAAAACAAATTTTTAAAAAATATGAAACTAAAAAAAAAATTGAAAACAGGGATTCAGGAGCTGGGATTGTTCCTCAGAGGGAGAGCACTCATCTAGCATGCATGAGGCACTGGGTTCAGTCCTGGGCACCACATAAAAATAAAGATATGCGTCCACCTATAACTAAAAAATAAATATTTAAAAAAGAAAACAGATTCAGGCTGATACTAGGACACATTTTCGTAGCATAATAGCTGCAGGTAGAAACGGCCCACATGTCTGTCAGCAGAGCAGTGGGTTCAAAGTGTAGTCCAGCTACACAGTTGCTTACTGCTGTTGTCAGACTATAGTTCTGACATGTTGTAATGTGGACAAGCCTTGAAGGCACTGGTGTTTTAAAATTTGATATTGAAGAAATGGTTTTTGCAGTTTTGAGCCCATTATGATTATTTTTTTAGGGCTACATCTTGAAAATTTTACAGACAAATGATATATCTGGGGCTTGCTCCAGAGTAGTCCTGAGGAGAGACAGGCAGGGATGGAAGCTGGGGTGTGGTGTGCTTATTCTCGAATGGCTGCAAGTCTGCATTGCAGTAGTATAGCAGGTCCTGCAGGCTCATTCTGTCCTCTACTTTTTTGGTAGTACTAGGGATTGAACCTAGGGGTTCCTCCGTGCTAGGCAAGTGCTTGACCCTTGAGCTGCATCCCCAGCAGCTTTATGGTAAAGCAGTCCAGACATGATAAAAACATGTCTTAGAAGTTAAACTGTAGTCGTCCATGCCTGTGTTTCAATGTCTGCCTGAGTGAGGGGAGAAGGGTTCTGGGTCCTGCACTGACCTTACTGTTGTCTTGCTGCAGGATCATGTGTTCTTGTGCGAAGGAGAAGACCCAAAGCCAGACCATAAAGGTGAGCTAGTTTCCTCTCTCCATCTGTTGCATGCCCCCAGGCCAGGAGTGTACTATGAGAGGAGTAAGCCTTTCAAGAAGGCAGGGAGACAGGAAGAGTTACCTTTTTGTCACCACTTATCAGCCTGGACCTGTAAGATGTCTTTTCCTAGAATGTCATCAATGTTCTGAAGGACCTGGAACTAAAATCCCAAGTGAACTCATGACGCAGGCTGGAGCTGTCAGAACTAAGAGGCTGGGTATGAGGCCTGTGTGGTGGGAGAGCTGAGCCTGCATGTGCACTGTGGTTTCCAGGTTGATTGGGTATGGGTTTCTGCCTTGGGGTTGCTGTTCCCTTCAGCAGATGCACAGGATCCTGAGAGTGTACCCATCCTTCCTTCAGAAAATCTAGAGCACTGGTGACCAGAAGCCTCACCTGGGCTTGTCAGACCCCCAGCTGGGCATACTCACTCCTTTTTAGGCACACTCAGAACATTTCTTTCTATGCTTGATGCAGGAGAGACTGGAGTGTAACATACAAAATAAAGAAATAATTAACTTCTTTAGGAAGATACCAAGGAGTGTTTATAATCATCAGCCCCAGTTTTATGGTCAGTCTGAGAACTGCATCTCCTTTAGCTGAGCAGTCTTGGTGCAAGAGTGCGTGCCTGGCCTCACCTTCCCCTTCCCCATCCTGTCATGGATTTTTTGTGAGCTGCTCTGTGATGTTGACTGCTCCTCAGAGCAGCTTGCCTTTCAGGCAGTAGCTGCCTCTAATGGCCACTGTGCTGACTCTGTCCCACAGCTGCAGGAAGCACCCCCAGCCGAGAAGAGTCAGGAGAAAAGGGCAGCTCCAGAGGAGCAGACCACGCCAAGGCGCCTGAGCCTACGCCCCCAGCTGACAGCCACGAGCCCAGGCTGGGGCCGAGGCCTCGCTCTCACAACAAGGTCCTGAACCCACCGGGAGGCAAATCCAGCATCTCCTTCTACTAAGAGGCTACTTACTGCTCTGCCTGTAGCCAGACCAGAAATTCAAGATACAGAGTATTAAAAGTTTATTGTTTTCTTTAGCCCAAACAAAAGAGGGTGGGAGAGGGTTGCCCTGTGTGTGAAGCTGGCTGCCTAGAGGACCGGGGCCTTTCAGACTGCAAGCTACATGTCTGGGGATGGGGATAGAGGGCTCCCCTGGTGTCTGCTCATTTGTTCTGATGGAGCAGGATTCTGAGGTGGGCAAAGGCAGGGAGCTGGTGCTGTGTGGCTGGTGGGCTCTTCCGTGAGCTGTCTCCTGCTGACTAGGCATCCAGGAACAGCTGAAGAAAGCCCAGTCTGTCTTGCTGTAGGATGGAGAGGAAGCAAAAGCAGAGACATCAGGAAGGCAGTGGGAGTACACATAAAGCATCCCCTTTGGCCCCAGGACCAGTTACCCATCACAAGGATAGCTTCCACTCCCAAGAGACCACCAAGCCCATCATCTCCTCTTTTTACCCCCAGTGTGTCGTCCTTCTCTCTTGAAGCACCGTGACTGCTTTTCCTCAGCAGCAGTCAACAGAACCAAACAGTTGACCTCAGTCTGCTGCTCTGAAAGTTTTTCTACCCTGGTCCTCTGAGTTGCCCAGTTCCTGCATCTCAAACCATGACCACATCTCACATAGGAATCTGCCTTCCTCTCTCAGGGACTGGCCTTGGTCCTTGATGTGCTGGATTTACTTGTAGATTTTTCCATATATTTCCTCTCATCAGCCTTAAGTCTGGGCCTTGGTTCTTCACTGATAGTGTGAAGCTCACTTCCAAAGCTGCACTCTGCCCTCTGCAGGTCTTTAAACCTCTTCACATACACCTGAGTACAGGGTTTTTTCAGATCCTTCCTGTGTCTTTGTTCCTGTAGTTGGTGGGAATGCATGAGAACCTTGGGTTCTTAGGTTGGTTTCTTCAGTAATATCTAAAAGGCTGTCTTCAAGTACCAGCTTCACATAAATGCCTGTGGATTTGGTTTCTGACATCTTCCAGAAAGCAGTCCACTGCTTCAGCCACCTTTTTGAAACTGCAGAACCTCTGGACCCTACTATAAACAATAGGCCAGAGCGTTAAGTAGTTTGTCAGCAGAGTCTCAGCTCTCACGCCAGCAGATGCTTTGCTGGCATGAGTCATGTTGCTTCATCTGTCAGGCAGAGGTCCCTCCCTGTCTACTGCAGCCTCAGTTCCCTGCTTCCCTGTGGTGGGCATATTAACAGGAGAGGGCCTCAGTGGCATGGCTATTGCTTTAAGTGCCTACAGGGCTCGAACCAGGTGCTAGGAACATCCTCGGTGTCCTTTAGCTTTGGACAAATGGCAGGTCTTGTGTGGTCTAACACTACCTGCAGGAGCTAATCAATCCCCAGGCTCTGGCTCCTGGCACATGGAGGGGTCTGCATATGATTTGTCAGCCAAAGAATCTTAACCCCTTCAGTTGCCCTATACACCATGGAGCCAAAAACATTCCATGTGAGTCCTGAGAACTTGGACAGGTTTCTGTTCAAAGTCATTTATAACATTGTTTGGAATTTGGGGGCAGGGCAAGTTCCCACTAAAATAATATAAATGTTGCTTAGCTTTTTAAGCCAAAACCCACTAACTTGTTTGACTTACAAGGAACTAGTGTTAATGATAGATATGAACCACTATTTGTAATGATGTTTTCTTAGAGAAAATAAATTGTGAATTCTAAATTAAATTGCCAAAAAAAAATATCTGACATTACTGTGCTGGTTCCTGCTGTTGTGCCAATGAGAAGGAAACTCTGTTCTGAGTCCGTGTCCTGGGCAGTGTGTTCACTGCGGGAGCAGAGAAGGCACTTCCCACGTGAGCCCAGCATTGTGGGTATGGTGCGCACCTGCATTAGGAAGATGCTGTCTGTATGTGGACACATCCTGTCCTCAACCTCCAAGCTGCATTAAGAAATTACTAGTCTGTATTTTTATTAAGCCTTAATTTTTTTTAAAAACATTTGGTGCCAACATGTTTCTAGAGCTGTATCAAAACAAGAAACCTGTCCTCACATCACAATGCAATTTTGATAGGAACATTTTGTTATTTTTACAAGGCAAAATTAGGAATAATGGTTGAATTAAACTTCGTAACCAGTAATTAAAGTCTTTGCCTGTTTTGTGTGTGTGTTCTTTCCCATCCATCCATTCTGCAAACAAAATGCCATAAATTGGCTCCTTTCCCCACAACTATTTTCTGGTAAGTTTGTCTCTTCCTGCCATTTAATCTGGAGGATACCCAAATCAATCTTAAAGCTTTGAGCAGGCTATGCACAGTGGCTATTGCCTGTGATGCCAGTGACTTGGGAGGCTGAGACAGGACAATTGTAGGTTCCAGGCCAGCCTCAGCAATTTAGCAAGACCCTGTCTCAAAAAGGGCTAGGGATATGGCTCAGTGGTATAGCACCCCTGGGTTCAACCCCAATGGGATACGCACACACAAGAAGCTTTGAGTGAGTGGGGAATTTGCCCTAAGTTAAGCACATTGATTATTTTCTCTTGCTACTAGTTATCCTTAAGGTCTCTAATGTGCCTCTAGCTTGGCTTTGAAATCCCCCATGATTAACCCTGTAATGAACAGGTGAGATGCTGAGCTGAGTGTCAGATTCAGTGCAGAAGCGCAGATCAAATGTCTCTTCTGTTGGGTTAGCTATTTTCTTATGTCCCCAAGCAAACGTAGTATTCTCATGTGTGCTATGTGGATTCAGGGAAATGAAACAGACTGCCTGTGATGAGAGCCCCCTCTAAGAGATACCATGCCATTCTGCCAGCTGGTTCAGGGCTTCAAATGAAAACCATGTCCTCAGAAAGCTAGCATGGTTATCTGGAACACCATCTTCACTTGTTCATCCATGCGATGGGATGTGTAGAGCAAGTTTCAAGAACTGGGTTAGGCACTGACATTAAATTACCTATTAACAGCAGCTGTTCAAGCTGGGATTGTGGCTCAGGGGTAGAATGCTCACCTCTCACTTGCAAGGCCCTGGGTTCGATCCTCAGCACCACATAAAAATAGATTTATAACGGTATTGTATTCAACTACAAAAAAATAATAAATATTTTTTTAAAAATAGCAGCTGCTCAAGCTAAGGGCAGTCACTGAAATCTGAGTCGTTCAAGTCCCCAGAGGCCAGACATCGGACACTGGTAGCTCAACCAGTGTTCAGGTGAAAGCCAGAAAAATAAACATCAGAACTGGTATTTTGAAGTCTTGTTCCTCCCTCAGAAATGTGCCAGTTCTGGGACAGCATCACCTGCTGTGTTATCTGGGAGATCCTTCAGGGAGTCAAACCTTGCAAGCAGGTACATATCTCGGGAATTGAACCTAGGGGCGCATTACCACTGAGCCACATCCCCAGCCCTTATTTTTATTTTAAGATGGTTTTGCCATCCTGCCTCAACCTCCAGAGTTGCCAGGGTTAGGTTAAATCCCCACCCCCACCACCACCCCCCCGCCAGACGGTTCCTGCCTCAGCTTTCAGAGGAGCTGGGATACAGGCATGGGCCACTGAGCCTGGCTGAATTCCTTAATCCTTAGCATTCTTGGGGATTGTTAGTGAAACATTCCTTAGAAATCAGAACTTTCGAAAGGAATGAGCTCACCTTACATTTTATGGTTTTTTAATGAGCAAATCCGAAGTTCTAATCAGTTGACTTCAACTTAATATTGTATATTCTGTAAGCACCGGGAATTACCCAGCATGCCAGCTTGTTAAAATTTCATGGTTTCAATCAATTTCAGGTAACCAATTTCTGAAGGTGGTGTTCATAATAAAAATAATAGTGATGTCCACGCCGGCTGGCCGGGTCATGGCGGCTGCCCTGCTGGGGAGTTCTCGGAATTCTCGAGGTTCTAGCCTCCGGAACACAAGCCTGCTCCGCTATCGCTCTGCCGTGACCGGCACCCGCGGGTGGCGCCGCGGAACCCGAACCGCCTGTGCAGGCGGGCCGCCAATTCCTGGTGTCGCGAGGTGCCCAGGCAGACGTCCAGCCCGGTCAAAAGCGCGGCCCGCAGCAGCTGGCCCCATCGCGCCGCTGGGACACAGCGTGGGAAGGCCCCCAAGCCACAGACGCGGCCGGAAGCGCCGCTTCCCTGACGCCGCGGCGCGGCCCCACCCTGCGGTGGGCGGGACTTCCGGCGGGCGAGTGACGGGCGCGGCTTGGGCAGCGGCGGCGGCGGCGGCGACCTGAGGCGACAGCGGCCGGCAGGGGCGACGCCGCGGCCCGCGGACCCGGCAGCCGGAGCGCCGCGCTGGCGGCGGCCGCCGCGATGATGGAGATCCAGATGGACGAGGGTGGCGGCGTGGTGGTGTACCAGGACGACTACTGCTCGGGCTCGGTGATGTCGGAGCGCGTGTCGGGCCTGGCGGGCTCCATCTACCGCGAGTTCGAGCGCCTCATCCACTGCTACGACGAGGAGGTGGTCAAGGAGCTCATGCCGCTGGTGGTGAACGTGCTGGAGAACCTGGACTCGGTGCTGAGCGAGAACCAGGAGCACGAGGTGGAGCTGGAGCTGCTGCGCGAGGACAACGAGCAGCTGCTCACGCAGTACGAGCGCGAGAAGGCGCTGCGCAAGCAGGCGGAGGAGGTGCGTGGGCGCGGGCGGCCGGCGGCCGAGCCCGCGGCTGGCCGCTGGCTTTGAGCAGGGCTCTGGGCCGCACATTCCTAGATTGGGATGCTCGGGCCTCACCACTGCGGCTTCAGACTCCCCACACAGGGGATTCAGGAGCCCCTAGGATCTGAGAGCTCAAAGTGACCCGGGCCGCTTTACTAGGGAGGGAACTGGCCCTGAGAAGTGGAGGGGCCCGACCAAGGTCACACACTCCAGAAACACCGGGCCAGGATGCGGAGTGGACCCAGACGCACGGCCTGGTCTCTTCTGGGTCACTCCTCCCCACATACCCAGCGGTGAAGCTGTGGCTGCCTCCCCCTGTGCTGGGCACCGCCCTCCACTGCTCTGACCACTCAGGGCCTTTTGATGCCTGACGGAGGTTTGGTTGGCTTTCATTTTTATTCCCAGCCTGTGTAGTCAAAATAGTGATGAGGAGGAAGTAAAAGAAGAAAACCAAGCTGGACAGCCTTAAGGCCGAGTTGTAGCTGTGTACCTAAAAATGTACACTACCTGGCTTAGGTACCCTGCTTTGTGCAGTGCCAAGGCAACCTCCAGGGAGGTGCCTCTTCCTTCCCACTTACACTCAGGCTGGACCACTGCTCTTAAGTATTGTGCCTGCGCCTTGCAGAGAGATTGCTGTAATGCCCTTACCCTATTGCTCCAGCTATTTAGACAGGCTGCACAGAGAGCTGTGAGCTGAGCAGTAAGCAAATACCCTGGGTTGGACTGGCCAGGTGGAGGTGGCAGTCAGATGCTAATATTATGCCCTTGGGGACAGTCAGGTACTGTTACAACTGAAGAAAAGGGTTCAACCCTGTAAACATTGGTGTTCTGGCTCCTTTATGGAATCAAGCAGACATTCACTTTCAGTCTTGTGGAAAAGACCACTGCTCTTTGCCGGCTTATTCTTCTAGTCAGGGACTCCTGATCATGGATGTGTGCGATAGCCCAGGATCTGGACGTCATGGGCTGCAGGCATGACATGGTGCAGAGGAGCTGGGATGAGCTGTCAGAGGATGCTGCCCTAGCCACTCTGCTCAATTAGGCTTAGTCAGAGATGGTAACCTGAGCCAGCTGCAGCCTTCTGAGAAGACAGAGTCTGCAGGGTTTTTGAGGAAAACCTTGAGCAGAGTAAACATCCCTGTCTTCTACTCACCCTGTGATAACCATAAGGAGATTCTTGGTTCTGATACTGAGTGGCCAGTTCTCTGGAATTGAGGTCTATGGTGAAGGGCCCAATCCGTGGAGTCTGCAGATACCATCTTGGGCACCAGCCCTGTCCTTGTGAGCGGCCTATCCACCCGGTCTCTCCTCCTCTGGGCCACAGTGACCTCTTCTCTAAGTGGATTGCTTGTCAGCCTTGGCATGTCAGTTTCGTCTCAGATGCTGGGCACCACTATTGGCTCTGAGTGGCCTGAAGAATCATGGTGAGGGTTTGAGACATCAGGCAGGACCCCTGGTGGGGTCTCGGACAGCAAGCCCTGGGTGTTGCCAGCCGTTCAGATTTTAGCACAGGTTCTCAAAAGGGTTGGAAAGGGGCAGCTGGCTGTGTGTGCCAGGCCTGAAAGGACAGAGGCTGGAGTTTGCCCAGGTGGCAGAGTTCTTCTTGCAGCAATTAAGCACCTAGCTTATGAGAGGAAAAATAAGGCTTCAGAGGTGAGTTTTAGTCATCGCTTACTTTAAAATCTCTTTAACCTTAGAGAAGCTGCTAGTAGCATCCCTCACATCTCAAGTAATGCAGGTGGGTACTCTTCCCACAGGAGGTGTCTGTGGACATTTGCTAATGATGGACATTTGATGCTGTGTAAGAAAAGCATCCAAGTGGAGGAGAGTTTGATCCAAGACTTCTTTTTTCCTAGTCAGACAAAAATAATCCATTTCATAGAAGAGAATTTGGGTAGGATCAAACTGGAAAGTGGGGCAGCTGGGATTGTGGCTCAGTGGTAGGGCAATTGCCTAGCACATGTGAGTCATTGGATTTGATCCTTAGCACCACATAAATAAATTAATAAAAGTATTGTGTTCATCTACAACTTAAAAAAAGAACTGGAAAGGGGGTGAAAAATCCACATAATCCCATCCTGCAGAGATGATCTCTCATGAATGAGTAAATACATTGAATCAGAAGTTCTTGCTCCTGTTTCCTATGTCAAAAGTAGTAAGTTCACTGCTTGGACAGTGTCTGCCATTTCTTCTTCAGCCAAAGTGAATATTAAGAGCAGTTTTGGGGTTTTTTTCCCCTCGATGTACTAGAACTAGAATCCAACCAAGTTGGATGCAGCTCTATCACTGAGCTGCATCCCCATCCCTTAAAAGAAGTTCTTAAATACCGGTTTTTGGATGAAGCTGTTAAGATGTGGTGGCCAGAGCTGTTTTTCCTTGTTGCCTCCAAAAAGTTCTTCAACTGTAGCAGTACCAGAAGCTCCAAGAGCAAAGCAGTGTCACACTAGACTCATTTTCATGGCACTGGAAATCAAACCTAGACCTTTGTGCATACTAGAAAAGGGCTGTACCCCTGAGTTGTGTTCCCATTCTCCAAACAGAGTCACTCTGAAAGATGGAAACAAACAGGTACAGAAACCATGAGCAAAGAGCTACTTCAAGCCAGGGAGAACATGGGGGAGCTAGCTGGGGTTCAGAGGCCTCTGGAGTGAAGCCTGCTGTTCTGTGGTGAGAACCTTCTGGGCTGCCATGGCAGCCCAGGTGGACCAGGGGAGCTGAATGTGGATGGAGGTCAGTTCCCTTAAAATTTGAATTAATCTTTTCTTAAACTTTTTGTTGCAATAATATACAGAAAAGTTGCAAAAATATTCTCCTCATGTGGATTCCCATATGTGAATCTTTTCCCATTTTGTTTTCTTTCTCCCCCATTCTGCTAAGGCCTCGGGGTCCTGCATGTCCCTATAGTCCCTGATATTCTGGAATGGTTCCTCAGTTTCTGCCCTTTGTGACCTTGACATGTTACAGCTCACATTAATTACTTTGCAGTGTATATGCTGGTCTGGCTTTCCTGTAACCTGGTGGCCAGACTCATTCTCTAAAGTAATACTCAGGGCTGCCGAGTCTGGGACATCTTGACCGCATGCAAGATGGGCAGGCAGGAGGGGCACAAGACAAGATGTGAGAAGAGGCCTGGTCTTCCACTTCCTCTCCCCGTGCGTGCTGCTCCCCTTGCGTAGGACCCTGCCAGCGTTTTTCCCAGCCAGTTCCTGGCCCACCTGACTCCCTGGCATCTGACAGTGTACTGGAGAGAACAAGAATGTCCCCAGCATTCACCTGCTATGCCTCTCACCCTGACCTCCCCAGCTAACTTCCAGTTTGTTCAGGGACAGGACCAGGGCTATTCTCTTCTCCAGCTAGCCTGTGTGAATGAGCAGGGGAGCCAGCTTCCCCTTTGCTCATCTTTCCATGCCGCACCTCAGTTCCCAAAATCAGGGACTCTCTTAAGAGCAGCCCTTCTGTCCAGCAGACTTCTGTGGTGATGGGCATATTCTAATTTGTGCTGTCCATTCCAGTGGGCCCGTGAACATTTCCAGTGTGTCTTAGGGAGCTGAGGAAAGGGGATTTTAATTATTTTCCTTCCCTGGTGCTGGGGATAGAAACCAGGTCCTGATACTTGTAAGGCCAGGTCTCTTCCACTGAGCCACACCCCAAGCCCTGGTTTTCCTTTTAATTATTTTATGTTGAGACAGTCGCCTGTGACCACGGCACCTGTTCTAGACAGCACAACTGTGAACAGTCTGGCTGAGTCCCTTTCAAAGGGCAGGTGGTAAATGTTTCTAAGTTAGCTTCAGGCAAGAAAGGAAGATGCTTAAAATTGGGTTTGGATTTTTTCAGTGAACACGTTCCAGCCAGAGGGACTTGTTTCTGCTACAGGAGAGCAGGTAGAGGAAAATAGGATGAGATGGAGCCAGTGGGAGGTGGTGCTAACTCTCTAGGAAACAGCAAGGAGGTGACGAAAATCCTGCAGGGCTGAGAAGAGGTCTGCTGGGAGATCCCTGGCTCCTAGAAGTCGCCTTTGCTGATGGTCACAGGACTGAACCTTTTACTCTGGGCTTCACTATCTTTTATCTTTTATTTTTTCAGGGGGAGGGGTTAGCCATTGTGTTGAGGTATGGCTGGCATACACAGAACTGCACATGCTTAGTGTACAATCAACAAGGATTTTTGTTTTTGGGGTTTGAACCCAGAGGCACTCTACCACTGAGCTATATCCAGCCCTTTTTATTTTCATTTTGAGACAGGGTCTTGATAGGTAACCTTGAACTTGATATCTTCCCACCTCAGTCTGGGATGACAGGTATGTGCCACACTCAGCTCAGTGTGATGAGTTTTGACATTGGTATAGACCCCTCAAGCTATCCATCCCCACCGTGAGGGCAGTGAAGGTGCCCCCCCCCCCATCCTAGAGCTCACTTATGTGATCTTGGTCTCTGTGTCTCCCTGCCTCCCCTACCCCCAGTTGACCACTGATCTGCTTTCTGCCCCATTGGTTCATTTGCATTTCTAGGACTTTCTATACACAGACCATGCAGTATATGCCCTGCTTTGTCTCACTTCTGTCACTTGGTATTGTGGTTCTGAGATGTCCAGGCTGTCACATGTGTTGTTCTTCACTGCTAGGCAGTGTCTCTGCCTGTTTGTGTGTCTGCCTGCTGATGGAACTGGGGGCTTCACTTTTACGTGGCCTTGGTGTGCATGCCATCTTGGGACAGGCCCTGTGCAGTGCAGGTATGTAGGTGATGGCAGCTGCACCATTAACATATGCAGGAACAGTTGGGTGCAGTGGCCAAGTCTGTCATTCCAGAGACTCGGGAGGCTGGGACAGGAGAATCACAAGTTAGAGATCAGTCTCAACAACATAGATCCTGTCTCAAAATTTAAAAATAGCCGGGCACATTTTTAAAATTTTAAATAATGGTGGTGCATGCTTGTAATCCCAGTGGCTTGGGAGGCTAACAAAGGAGGATTGAGAGTTCAAAGCCAGCCTTAGCAACTGCGAAGTGCTAAGCAACTCAGTGAGACCCTGTCTCTAAATAAAATACAAAATAGGGAAAGAGATGTGGCTCCGTGGTCAAATAACCCTATAACCCTGAGTTCAATCCCCAGTACCAAAAAAAAAAATTATACACACACACATATATATGTATATATATACACATATATATACATATATACGTGTGTGTGTGTGTGTGTATGAATTTTGGCTGGGGCTGTCGCTCAGTGGTAGAATTCCCTTGAGTTCAGTCCCCAGTATCACAAAAAAAAAAAAAAGCAGAAATGTGCTCAGGACTGCTGGAGGAGACAAAAGCCAGGAGACTGGAGTCTATTTTTGACCCCGTGCAGAGACTGGCCTGTTCTAAGAACACATTCCAGCCACTGGGGACCAAGTCTCGCCCTGAAGAAATACAGTGTTTTTCGACACATTTAGAGCCCATGTAGTCAGTCATTTGCAGTTAGGTTTTTAAGCGCCTGTGAGGATAGGAGCTTTGGGATGGCGAGTTGAATATGACAGATATCCTTGAGTATGTGCCTCCTCTCAGCTCTGGAGTTTAGACCCCATTCCCCATAGCAGTGGATTCAAAGCAGGACCTCTTATTGAAGTGTTCTGGGGCCTTCTGCCTGCATCTTGGCTTCCCTTGACACTGGGTATCATTCCTTCCATTCTCTGCTTCTTGCTGGGGTCCTGTTCCCCAACCTTTTCCACCCTGGCCTTCCTACCACCTCTCCTCCTCCCTAGCAGATGAGTGCCCAAACAGATACTGCACTGAGTGCCTGCCCTGTGCCTTTCTTAAGTTTGGAATGCTCTTTTCTTGAGAGCCAGTACTCCTGGCCACAGAACAGGGGAAGCATTGGCTGGAGCAGCCACAGAGGACAAGTGATGTTTCCCAGCGTGGCACATGGGTTTAGCTTCTGTTTTCTTACTTCCCCTTGTATCACTGACATAATCCTTTTCTTTTCCCTGTCTTACCAATTCTTAAAAACCAGTATGTATTAAACCAGCTGGATGGGTTTTGGGCAGGCACTGGAGCACATATTCCCTTTAATGTAAATGTGAGGAATGCTTGCTGTGTTCCTGGGATATGGCCATTCTCAGAGCCATGTCGGAGTACAGAAGTATCCCTCCTCATGAGTGTGCCATCCAGCAGACCTTGGAAGCAGTTTCTGACACCCAGGGTCACCCTCAAGACCTGCTCTTCTGCTTTTCAGACCTAGGTTTAAGACAGTCATGGGAAATGGAAAGGTGGTTTGGGTCCTTTGCCTCTAGCCAGCCTGGGGTAAAATTCTGCAGTGTCAGGCACACGCCATCCCCTGGGAATCGGCTGCAGAAGAAGGGCACCTGCCCAGCCCAAAAGTCAAAGATGAGAGTGTCTTTCTTTTGGAAATTTGTTTTTCTCCCTCCATTGGATGGAGTCCTTTCGGTGACCCTGGTTTCTAGGACATGTGAGAAAGAATTCAATCTGAAATGTCAGTTTGTGTTGCTGGTGGAATTTCCTTGCATGTGAAAGTGTCACAGGTCTGGCTAGTGCTTGAGAGGCAGTGCCTGGTTGTTGCTGCACTTCTGGGAATTCCATGCTGACCTCTGTGCATTTGGCAGGAAAGGTCAGTTGAGTTCTGTGTGGTTTTACAGTTGGAATAGAAAGAACCTTGCATTCTGGTGAACACTAAGAAGAGATTTCTCTGATACTAAATGTTGGAAGGGCTTGTGCTGTCAGATTATTTTAATACATATCTTCAAATTCACCAGGAAATAAATTCTGATAAGCTGGCCAATATATGAGGGGTAAGGTGGTTTTCAAGTTAACCTGGAAAGAGAGATGTGAGAATAACCAAGGAAATGCTGGTGAGGAAGGTTTGTGAGGAAGCACACCCCTCGGGTTCAGGACTGTGTTTGGCACCAGTGTGCCTGGAACAAACCCTCTTTTGGTCTGATCAGAAATAGACTGAAACAGTGTGATCTAGCACCTGAGAAACGCAGCACTGTGCAGTGACAGGGCAGGAGAGGGGCAAACGTCACCAAGGCAGCTCCCACACACAGACCATAGGCCGCAGTGCCAGCACAGTGCAAGGCCTGGGTTTAGTTTTTGTTTTATTTTGTTTTTATGATACTAGAGACTGAACCCAGGAGTATTCTACCTCTGATCTACACCCCAACCCTTTTTATTGTTTTATTTTGAGACAGGGCCTCACTAAGTTGCTCAGGCTGACTTCAAACTTGTATCCTCATGCCTCAACCTCCCGAGTAGCTGGGATCACAGATATGCACCACTGTGCCCAGCTAAGACACAAAGTCTTGATTAGGTATAGTGAAAATCCTAATGAATCAGTAAAAACAATATAACAGAATGAGTGATTTCCAGAGGTAGCCTATATAAAAAATACACTTGTGAAAAAGTTTTGGTGTCATCAGTGACAGGGGAACTGAAATTGCAGCCAGCCGGCCATGCCCCCTTTCTCCTCACAAACTAGCCGAGACCAACCCCATCTTTTCCAGGGACTAGGTGTGATGCTTGGTGTCATCAGTTAGTCCAGTAATGGTGGGTCCTAAGCTGAGCGGTGATTGAAATGCCATGGGAATAGTCAAGGCCCAGCTGTGTATTGTGGAGCCTGTATTCAACAATTCCTAAACAGCAAGGCTTTTATCGAGCAAGGGCCTCCTCCAGGTGGGGCTCTGTGGCAGCCTATGTGCCATGGGAGCATGAAGGGTGCCCGAGGAGTCAGAGTGCCCATGCATTGTGTTAACTGAGGAGAAGTTTCCAGAGGTGTTTGGTCTAGAGTCCCCTGTTGCTTGCTTTCAGGACTCAGCTATGCTGAGATTTGCCTGAAGGGGGCCAGCACCATAAAGGGTTGGAAGCCAGAGTCAAGAATGGGGAAACGCCCCATTCCAACCCTGCCACTGTCCAGCTCATGGCCTCTCGAGGCTTGAAGCCCATGGCCTTTCAGGTGAAGAAGGGCTGCAGTCCCCTTCTGGCTGCATACCTTTATAACACCTACCTGCTTGTTGTTTCTGTGCATAGAAATTCATTGAGTTTGAAGATGCCTTGGAACAAGAAAAAAAAGAGCTCCAGATCCAGGTGGAGCACTATGAGTTTCAGACACGCCAACTGGAACTGAAAGCCAAGAACTACGCCGATCAGAGTAAGTGGCTGGCAGGAGAGGTGACACGAGAGGGAGCATGTGCATGGTGTGAGGCCCGGCTGGCTGGGTCAGAGACGAGAGCTTCTGGTGAAAGGAGATTAGAGGAAGCCCAGTGATTTTTCTCAACTACTTGTTTAATCTCCACACTAGCATGTGTTTCTGTAATCACCTCAGGTCCTTTGTGGAAGAGAGAAAAATGGATAAGACTCCTAATCACAAGGCTCTGCTGTTTTATAGTGAAATCTGACCTGAAAATGTCCACTCCGTGGTCTTGTGGTCCTGCTGGCTTCTTGCTCCCACCTGCCTGGGGAGTGAGTGACTGGTCTTTGTCCAGCTAAAGGTCCATCCACGACAAAGCCATTGCTGTCATGGCAGTGCCTAGGAGAGTCTCATGGTTGGCCAAGGGTGTCTGTGGGAAAACCCTGTCCCGGCAAAGCAAGGCAAAGAAAGGGTGTTTTGTGGCTTAGCGGTAGAGCGCTCATTTAGCACGTGCTAAATAGAGGCCCTGGGTTCTATCCTCAGCACCACATAAAAATAAATAAATAAATAAAGGTATTTAAAAAATAATTACAGTATATTATTTTAAAAAATAAATCCGAGGGCTGGGGTTAGAGGTATTGTGTCCAACTACCATTAAAAAATAAATATTTTTAAAAAACTAATTTAAAATAAATAAATAAAATCATTACCATGAGAACGTGTATTTTAGTCTTCGACATTATACTAAAACTGTCGTCATTAGCTGTGTAATCTTAGTCTCTATAAAGAGGTGTTTTATTGAAACCCATATTGCCACTTTACCTGATTTCCCTGGATGGCAGGAGCCTTTTTTTTCCCAAAAAGTAAGAACCAAATTGGGGGAAAAAGCAGTTTGCTATGTTGGGCCTCTCCCCATCCTTAGATGCCTTCCGCAGCCAGCTACTTCCAGGTGCACTGGTGTTTAACCAGCCAGCCCCCAACCTGAAGTCCCGCTGTAGGCACTCATAGGAAGCCCTTTCTGGAGTTCCCCATGCACTAGTGTTCCCTTTACTTAGACTGTGTGTCATGTGTGAAGAGAGAAGAAAGATTGCAACTAGATTGCAGGCAGTGATTACTTGTTGGGTAGGCACCAGGTGAGAGGGGTCATAGAGATGCCCTGGGACTCTAACACTACGTTCCTCTGCAGGAGAGCACAGTTAGGCAGCCAGCCTCTCCAAGGACAGAGCAGTGGCCGGGTCAGAACATGCCTGACATGGGTTGTGTGTTGTACACCAGCACCTGTAAGTCCCTTGTGTGTTGGGTGCTGGTGTCCATAACAAGCCTTCTAGGCTTCTACCTCGAGCTGGAGCTCCTGCTGCTTCAGCGGGATCCTGCACCACCAGACACCGCCAGGCAGGCCACCTTCAGGTCGAAGAGCAAAGCACACCCTGCAGTGAGAGGTGGAACCATGTCATTTGATAAATCAAGTGAAAGCAGACATCAGGAAGCCAAGGAAGGGTGGGAAGGTCTCACACTGAGGATGGGGTACTGGCTGCTGAAGGATCATGCCACACGAGTCCCTGGACTTGTCTGTTTTATTGTCCGGCTTCTACTCTTCTTCCTGGCCCTCCCATCTTGCTGGGCTGCAAGGACAGAGGGCTGAGCAGAGCCACAGGGGGAGGCATCTAAGATCATTGCATGCTGGCTTTTGGCAGGACATGGGGGCATCACCTGGCCCCTGCTGCCAGTTAGCCTCTTGGGCAGTTGTCTGCTTGGGCAGGCACATGTGGGGCCAGAGGGGACTATCCCAGTGGCACCAGTGGCCACCAATTTAGGGAGGCCTTGCTGTCGGTCTCAAGGAGCCATGATTGTGACTTGGTCGTCCCAGACCTCAGCGTGTGTAAGGAGTCTTGCTGTCTGTTCTGCCACTTTTCCAAAGTGCCGTCGCTCTTAGGAATGTCTAAGAGGTTGTCTCTTCCCACAAACATCTCATTCCTCTTTCTTCTTTGCTGCGCTGGGATGAAACCAGGGCCTCCCATATCTTAGGCACATGTGCCACCACTGAGCCCTCACTCACCTTCAGTTTTGCCTCCATCACCAAACTTCCTGGCTGACCTGGGTAGATATTGCTTCTGTGTACCTGCTTGTCCTGGTTTTCTTTATAACTGAGTGAAGTGCTCTCCCACAGATAGCACACACCATGCCTCTCGTGTCTGCCCTCCAGCAGTCATGGCCCTTAGGGCACGAGATGCTACACCAGCTTCTGGTCCTGGCCTGGGAGAGGGACCAGCCTTGTGGGAGCGGGCTGTGTGGCTGACCCATAGGCCTTGTGTCTTCTAGTCTCTCGGCTGGAGGAACGGGAATCTGAGATGAAGAAGGAGTACAACGCCCTGCACCAGCGGCACACGGAGGTGGGCACCAATGGGCCTCCCTGGGTGGGAGGGGCCTGAGCTGCAGCCCACACCTGCTATTTGCTGGTGCCACCTGTGTCTGGAGGGAAGCTGTCTGCCTCGGCTGGTTTGGCCCCTTCCCCTGGAGTTGCCTGTTTTCATTGGAGCACAACTGCATCTGAATCTTGGTGGTGAGGGGCCCAGGGGTCTTCACTGATGAGAGTCCCCTTTTGGCAGATGATTCAGACCTACGTGGAGCACATCGAGAGATCCAAGATGCAGCAGGTTGGGGGGAGCAGCCAGACGGAGAGCAGCCTGCCAGGGCGGAGGTAGGCCAGCTAAGGTGGCAGAGGGGAGGCAGAGGGCCTCTGGGCAGGAGTGCATTTAGAGGTGGCTGTGGCTAAGGGCTTGTAAGTAGCCAGGCTATGCCTTTTGTGAGTCACAGGTCAGTCTCAGAGGCTCAGCAGAGTTGCATGTGTTCAGCCCTCACTATTCACATAGCTGGCAAATTTTCCCATTCACCAAAATATATTTGAAACCTCAAAATCAGTGCTCACAGTGCTTTTGCTTTTGCAATCATTTGCACAAGGAATGGGTTTAACTCAGTATAAGGCAGAAGCAAGGGATCTGCCTGTCTGCCTCTCATACCAGGATTACAGAGGGAAGGGCCAGAAGGGGCTGGACACTGTTCTGCAACAAGCACCTGGAGACCTCTACCTGCTGGCGGGCTTTGAAGCCCAGCTCTGGCATCTGTTAATGGGGCTTCAGCCGATCACCCAATGCTCTGACCTCATCTCATTTATAAAATAAAGAAGGTAGAGTTTGCTAGTTATGACTTGTGGATAAAACTAGGATCTGTGTGGAGTGTGAACACATTCTTCTTGGGGTAGGGGCTCAGTGTCTGTGGATCTGTGTTCTAGGTGAGTGGAGCATGCTACTGCTAACTGACAGGATGGGCGGAGGTCAGGCCACCTTAGCCAACCACTGAGCCTCATTCCCTCTGCAGGGCAGGTTGATGCAGCAGACCCCCAGGTCCCTCTGTGTTAACCTTGCTTGAGCAGCAAGGAGAAGCCCGCCCAGGCCAGAGTCCTCTACTCTCTGTTTCAGGCCCAGGGAGCAGTATCAGAGGTCCTATCCAGTTTTGACCAGCATGAGGGGGTGAGTGGGAGAGTACAGATGGAGGCCTGGGCCAGGGGTTCTACACCTCCATCATGTGGGGGAAGGGCCTGAAGCCAGGACCACAGGGTGAGCCAGGTGCACCCATCACCCTGTGGCCCCTGATTCTGCAGATAGGCTGGGCCAGGGAGCACCCTTGGCACACTGCGTAAAAGCTGTTGCTTACATTTTCTTCCGTGCCTGCCTATTCTGTGTGTTATGTGTATAACAAAAAGGTTCAGAGGTCTAGCTCTGGACTTCATCGGCCACTGACCAGGAAGTTGGGCAAAGCTGTCTGCTTCTATGCCCCAGAGTCTCCAACCTGGAAACAGAAACAGACGTGTGTGCCATTGTCTCTCCAGGACTGCAGCAGGGAGCAAGGCACTGGCAGTGTGCTTGCAGACACGAGTCACTGCCTACCACGGAATGGGGCCTGTGTTGCCCCCTGGGTGGGCACGGCTGCATGAGCAGCTGCCAGGCAGCACTAGAGTTAGCAAGGCAGTGTGGGCAAGAGAGCTTGGCAGACTGTGACACTGTAGTTTACAGTTGTATCTGAATGGGGGAAGTACAATTCCAAGTGTTTCTCCTTAGTACACTGTGGATGTGCTGACTTCTGGCCCTCAGAATGGCCACAAGGATTTCCAAACAGCTGGTCTTGAATTCTAACCCAGAGTCAAGGGTCTTAGTGTTGTTTTGTGTGAGAGTTGCAGTGATTCTGGGACTTCCTGCCTATCTTCTGCCAGTGCACCCTTAAAAGGGGAACAGCCCAAAGGTCACACAGTAGAGAGCACAAGGAGAGCATATCTGGGCTATCCTAGGAGCCGTAAGTGACCAGGATCTTGTGTCACAGTGGGCAGTGCCCCAAGCCCTGTGGACACTACATAAATTAGACTCCGTAGGACACTGGGCTCACCTAAAACCCTGCCACCCATGCTCTGAAACCAGCCGATGAAGGTTCTAGCCATCACCGTGGGCAGTTCAGGCCTCCCATTCCTCTGTGTATAGTGGCGGAGCCACAGCTGTGGGGCAGGATGTGCTTTGTCATGGATGATCCCATGGGGGGTGGGGAGAAATAGGCCCTATCAGATCACCTGCTTCTTCAGGTGTCCCTGTGGGACCCACAGCCTTGAGCAGTGCACCAGTCAGTGTTGGCCCCTTGGTTTCTCCCTATTGGTCAGAGTTCAGCTCTGGTTGCAGGACAGGCAGACTGTGGGAAGCTGACTCCTGCCGAGGAGCCCACAGCCCTGGGACTTGTGTGTGCCACTCAGGCTTCATTCCTCAGCCTTGCTGGGACTTTACAGCAGCTCTTCCTCTTCCCTCAGGGAGCCAGAATGAGCCCTGTGAGAAGCCTGCTTCATAGGGGTAGTCCTGGGATCTGCTCTGACCGTGCTGTTCTGACCAGGTCCTGTAGTCTGGCAGTGGCTAAACATGTCCTCTGGACAGCACAGGGCCTCTGGTGCCTGTTGGCAAGAGTGCGCCCCCTGCACATGGCTGTCCTAGAAGCTCAGGCACTCGTTTATTTACCGTGGAATCCCAGCATGTCCAGGAAAGGGAGGGTGTCTTGTGACACCAGTCTTTGTCACACCAATCTGATCTGCCAGCTGGGCAGCAGGTGTAAGCAGCCATGTCACCTTCATCTTGAAACCCTGTGAGTTGCCCACCTCTGCAGGACACATGAGAATGCTGGCTGTGTTGCAGGTGGCTTTCGGCCATGAGGAGGCCAAGGTGCTCCCAGGGCTGGGGAGAGGGGAATTGGAGGGGCAGTGCCCAGGTCTAGGCTGTCGCCATCACTCGTCTAGCTGTCAGTTACACTGAGCTTCCTCACCAGCCCAGAGGCTGTTTCTCTTGCTGCTGCCGCAAGTCAGGAGCATCCTCTGGGCTGTGCCTTCCCCACCATGATGTCTGGGTTCCTGGGTGTGGACAGGGGCTGCCGCCTGAGGCCTCCACAGTAGCTGACTAAGGTCAAGAAAGTGCAGCTTTGTCCCCCTACAAAGTGTGAGCCCTTCTGGGCTTGGGAGGCTGAGGTGGAAGGCAGATAGGTCCTGTCCCCTGTGCTCAGAACCCCTCAGCTCCCCCGAGGCCCTAGTTCCTCCTTATTCTGAGCTGCCGACCACTCCTGACCCACACCAACTTTTCCTGCACTCCTGGTGTGATTTTCAGAGTCTGTGTCTCAGTAGGAGCTCAGACATTAGCTGTGCTTAGGCATGAGCAGGAGCATGCATGTGTCTCAACTCTGTCACCCTCCTCTGTGTGCACATGTGTGCTTGTGCTTCTGCAGTAGATGTGTATATGCTGCACTTGCTGAACTACTGCACAGGCCCCATCCAGGGCCTCTTGTTGAAGTCAAGATGTCTATGTGTGTGACCGCTGTTGTGTGTAGGGGAGTGGGGGTTGGGCCACCTTCTTGTCTCCCCATCATTGTCCTCGAGCTTCTTCCTCTGGCCTGACCTTCGTTCTCTAACGTGGTCTTCTTGTCCTGCCCTGTGCTGTCACTGCTGTGTGCTGGCCGTGTCTGTCGCTGCCCTGCAGTCCTCGCCAGTCATGGAGGAAGAGGTAACGCTGTGCGTCTCTGTCTACTCAGTGCTGGGGTTGCCTTGGGCCATATGTGCCACATCAAGCTATGGAAGTCCTTGGTTTGTGTGTCCATTGCCCCATCTTGTGCGGCAAGAGCTGCCCCCATGCTCCCTGCTGTTGCCCTGTAGCATGTGGTGGCAGTGAGGATGGCATCAGCTTGGGCCTAGGGACATGTTAAGTGCTTTTCACCTGAGGTCACGAGTTTAAGTGCCTAACAGGGTCAGCCAGGCCCCAGGGTGCTCCCCATGCTAATATTAGCCTCTCAAAAGAGGCAAAGTGGGTAAGAGGAGGCAGGAGCCTGCTGGGGCAGGCAGGGGTGTAGCCTACCCCAGGCTCTGCTACTCCAGGCTTTGTGGGCTCTTGACAGGGAGCAGCTCTTGGGACTGGGCCCAGGAGGCTCTGGTAGAGATCCAGCACTTTCCAGCTGTCTTTCTCAGCATCTTAAGAGTCTCCAAGTCTTGACAGGTACTGGCACCCCGTGAAGGGGTCATGAGAGCTGGCCATAGGCAAACGCCTTCTGATGTGGCTGAGTGTAGCTCCTCTGCTCCAGCAGGGTGCTGCCCCTCTGGTCCTGTGCCTGCCACTCCAGCAGCCCAGTTGACACAGCCAGGTCCCAGCAGGCATCGGGAAATAGACCAGCTCTCCAATCCCTAGAGCTGTCTGGGCACCCTTTCGCAGGGTCATCCTTTAAAGCCATCCTCCAGCCACAGGAAGCATAGGCAGCATGCCTCTGCTCTCTCCTGCTCTCTGTCCTGTTTCCTTCAAGTACGAGAGGCTGAGTGAGGCATGCAGTAGTATTAGTTCTTGCCCTGTCACCTCCAAGCAGAGCAGACTAGATCTGCCCCAGGGAAGATTGTGCTGCCCAGTCCTCTATGCCTTTGAGGCCTGCCTGTTTAGAGGCCTCTGACGGGAGGACATGCAATGGGAGTACCTCTGTTCCCAGCACGACTTGCAGCCCTCCTAAGGTTCTCCTGGGACTGAGCCCACAGTAGGTGTGTTGGGCTTGGCTCTCTTGACTCTGTCTGCCTGATGCTCAGAGCCTCAGAGGACTCAGCTTCCTGTCGAGGCTCGTGACAGGAGATCCTCCCTCAAAGGCTTCAGCAGATGAGGCATGCCTCACTTTACTCCAGACACATGGTATTCAAATGTTTTATAGTGATAAGACCTCATGAAAAACCAGATTGGTAGGAAAGCAGGGAGCAAAGAACTGGGCAACAGACTGATGCCTCTGCTGGCCCCGAGCAGAGACAGGGCTGACAGGTTACCTATGAGGAGACAAGTCTGGGCTTTGTCATCATAAAAGTCACTACTCAAAGGAAATGGCCTGTCACTGCCTTGCTGTGAGATTGCTAGTGCTGACACCAGCGGTGACCATTAAAATTTGAGCTAGAGGCCAGGCACAGTGGTGCACGCATATAATCCCAATGGCTGGGGAGGCTGAGGCAGGAGGATCACGAGTTCAAAGCCAGCCTCAGCATCTGCAAGGCGCTAAGCTACTCAGTGAGTCCCTGTCTCTAAATAAAATACAAAATACGGATGGGGGGTGTGGTTCAGTAGTCGAGTGCCCTGAATTCAATCCCCGTAACCCCCCCCCACCTAAAAAAAAAAGAAAAAGAAATTGAGCTAGAGAAAAGTGATACATCAGTAAGGGAGGGGAACGATCACACAGGGTCATGAGGAGTGGAGACTCCCCAGCACGTGAGTGCTGCTGCCCAACTGGTCCTGCCCTCTGAAGCTGGACTGCAGGATGGCCTTTTGAGAAGCTCTGTCCACCAGAGAGGCTCATGGCCCAGCGAGGGCGTCCACTCTTTCTCAGCTGACATTAACCTCCACTTCCTCTTCTCCTCCCCCTTTCCAGCAGGAAGGAACGTCCCACCTCTCTGAACGTCTTCCCCCTGGCTGACGGCATGGTACGTGCACAGATGGGGGGCAAGCTCGTGTCTGCGGGGGACCACTGGCACCTGAGTGACCTCGGCCAGCTGCAGTCCATCTCCAGCTACCAGGTTTTGTAGCCATGCGTGGAGTAAGGGCCCCAGTGCCGATGCCCACGTCCATCCAGGGAGCCCTGTCTTTGCATGCCACCCCGTGCAGCTCCCCTGTGTTAGTCTAGCTCCTCTGGCTTGGTGTCAGGAGGTATGGGCCCCAGTGACCCTGTGTTGCCATAGCCACTTTATGTGGCTTCCCATGGCACCTGCTAGACCAGGCTGGTCCTCTCTGATCCTTAGGTGGACCACTCTACAGTGGAGATGCTGTGTCTATTAGGGCTGAGCTCAGCAGCTCTCCACCAGCACACCCCAAAGTGCAGTATCTCCTCAAACCAGACTTAGGCAGGACACACATTGCTTCCCGAGCTGCCTCTGCTTTCATAGGTGTTTAGTCCTGAGACAGGATTTCAGCTGGAGGAAGCCAAAGGGCTTTCTCGTTGGGCCCTTCTCCCATCCTTGGAGATAGCTGTGAGTTAAAAAGGAAGGTCCCCCACTCTCCCTTCATAGGTCTGTACAGCCACCCAGAGAAGGCCAGATCCTCCATGCAGGACCTGGTCTCTTGCTACACCCCGTACATAATGCTCAGGTTGCTGCCACAGGACAGGGCTCTCTGGCCACATTGCCAGAAAAGGCAGGCCACCTTCCTGGGTAGAGGAGCTGGCACTGGGTCTGGTGGCTTTCCTCCCAACATCCCCGGAGGACATGTGGGGCCTGTGGGCTGGGCATATGAGGCTTAGGTTTTTGCTTGCTGCTAGCCCTTGGAAAGTGATCCATGGTCCCATGGCTGTTCCAGGGAGTAAAGTCACCAGCCATGATCCTCACTGTCCTGCCAGTGTTGGTGTACAGGAGGAGGGCAGCAGGCACATGGGGAACTGGCTGCTCACCCTCCCCCACTCCTACTCTGCAGCAGGGACTCTCAGGGGGCCCCCTGGCCCGCCTTTCTTCCCACAAAGCCTTTTCTTTCTCTACTACATTGTCTGAAACAGTCTTTCTCTCCATAAATCATAGTGTTTTATGTTTAGTTCACAGTGTGTTTTGTTTGATTTTTCTTTTTTTTTCCTTTTAATAATTATCTTTTAAGTTTTTTTTTTTTCATGCTCCAGGTTTTAATTTCTTAATTTTTTTGTTTTTTGTTTTGTTTTTGTTTTCATGTACCATAGTGTTTTAACCAAACAGTTGTGGCCACTCATGGTGAGGAATGACCGCTAGGAGTGTGTGGGTTCTTTGCAATACACTTGGAGGTCACTGCCCCACGTTGATGTTTAGGAGGTTGAGAGGTTTGCCCTAGGTAAGTGGTGACCCTATAGGATAACAGCTGGGGCCCTGGGGGCGGCGTGGCCAGTGGGCAGTACGCCCTACAGTGACTACAAGGGTCTCTGAAGGCGGGGAAAACATGGCACAGAGGAAAGTGGTCCAGAATGTGCCTCACTGCACCCCCGGCTTCTGCCTGAGCTGCTGGCATCTCTGCTTCCCTTTTAGGAGGGCAGCAGAGACCTGACCCTGCAGATCTGTTGTAGGGAAGGCCCAGGTTCTTAAGAGATCTGCATCACTGGTAGCAGTGTGAAGCAGAGTGGTCTCCCCTTCTCACACCAGGAACAAGCCGTGTGTGATCTAAACCCATGTTCAGACGTCAGGGTGAAGCAGAGTGGTCTCCCTTTCTTTCTCACACCAGGCATAAGCTATGTGTCTGGCCTAAGCCCACGTTCAGATTTCAGTGCAAAGCCTCAGCCACTGGGAGACAGCTAGACTGTGTGCAGTGTGTCTCACCCAGTACTGCTGATGCCTGGGCACTGTAGAGGTCGAGTGGCAACCCTGGTCTCCAGCCCTCTCCAGCCTGACAGCAGCTGTCCCTGACCTCTTCCGACATCCCTGCACATAGTTGCCCCATCTGAGAGCTACTGTTGTGGAGGAATTTGTGGGTGTTTTGTTTTTTCCTTTTTTGATGCTGGGGATGGAACCCAGGGCCTTGGCACATGCAGGGCAGATGCTCTAACACTGAACCACATCCTCAGCCCTTTTTTTGTGTGTGTGGTTATTTTGAGACAGTGTTTGGGTAAGTTTCCCAGACTAACTCAAAACTTGGGGAGCCTCCTGACCCAGCCTCCCCAACAGTTAGAATCACAGTGTGTGCCACCATGCCCAGCTACATGTGAGATTTTGAGACTCCTTGTATAGAAATTTGGGAGCCTGGTACATGGAGTTGGAAACCTGTTCTCTGAACAAGTAGTCGTGTCTATAACTGAGGCCCTGCCCAAGCCTGGTGCTGAGCCCGTGGTCAGGCAAAGGCACATGGCAGATACAGCTCTGACCTTGGGAGCATGCACTTATCCATTCAGGTCCCTGTGTTCACCACCGTAGACAGGACTGCACGCCTTCCTCTTCTATCTGTTCCCCTCCCAAGTGAGCATCCTCACCAGTAGGAAGTTCCTCTAAAGGTGTCCCCCCTCTGGGAACACCACAGAATGTGGTGCAGCTGCCTGCCTGGGATATGCAGATTGATCTGCCTCAGAGCCCCACAAGCTGTTCCCTTCCTGTTCAATGAGGGAGGGCAGGGAGGGGAGCAAGGGGGGGCGCAGGCCAGCTATGGCCTGGGCTGCCTGGAAGGCTGGCGCAGCTGCCCAGGCTTCATCAGGGTATGAACATGAGTTAATAGGGAAGTGTTTCGGGCTCTTTGTATTGAAACTGTGCAATATTTTCATCAGGAAAGACCATAGGAAAAGAGTGTTTGTTTCATGTCCCATGCAATTCAGATAAAATGTCTTCCTAATGAGATTCCTGAGGTAAGTACCTGGTCGTAATTACTGGACCCTCCTCCCAGAATATCTAGCAGTGTCCAAACAGAACTTCAGGCCATTAGGACTTGCACTGTTGTTCAGTTCTGTATGCGGGTCAGTCACACCATGAGGTGAAGCAGCGTGCCTCTGGGAGTCACAGCCACAGACGTGGTGAAAGTGTACATCCCCTTCCCAGCTGGACTCCAGCCAGGGCTGAGCAGGAGTGTCCTGGAAGCAGTGGAGGGAGAGGGACATGGCCCTGTCATCCCTCCTCAGATGCCTCCTTTCCGCTGCCCCTATAGAGCCCCTTGCCTGGCTCCGGGCTACGACTGGTTTCTGGCCACCACTGGTTTCTGGCCACCACTGTCTACAGAGGACCCTGCTTTGTCCCCTGTGTAGCATCACACCATGGTTCCCATTGCTGGTGTTTTCTTGTATCCAGTGGAGGGTACAAGCTGCAAGCCAGAGGCAGCTGCCGGATGACAGGAGAACTCCAGAGTGGCAGGCCAAGGGAATTACTGGCCCAGGGGTCTCCTGCCCCTGCAAGCTGGGGGCAGTGATGCTTATGGCCAGTAATGGAGTGATGGGGCCCCCCGTGGCCGCCCCTAGCTTCAACGCATGGTCCCTTGTGTTGACCGCCCCCCTCCCTGTGTTTGGCCCTAGTGTCCCAACGATGAGATGTCAGAGTCAGGCCAGTCTTCAGCAGCTGCCACACCCAGCACCACTGGCACCAAGTCCAACACTCCCACGTCCTCCGTTCCCTCTGCCGCCGTCACACCACTCAACGAGAGCCTGCAGCCCCTGGGGGACTACGGCAGCAGCACAAAGAACAGCAAGAGGGCCCGGGAGAAGCGCAACAGCCGCAACATGGAGGTCCAGGTCACCCAGGAAATGCGGAACGTCAGCATAGGTGTGTAGCAGCCCACACGCCCAGTGCCTCAGTCCCTGCAGGGGAGGCCAAGTGCCCTGAGCCTCTCCTGCCTGGCATCTAGGAGGCTTCTCTTCCTTTTGGAATCTAGTATTGACAGCTGTAATGGTCAGCTCAGGCTTTCATGACACTGGGAATTGGGTGGCTTAAACAAGGGAAGTCTGTTTTCTCCTGCAGGCTGGGAGCCCTAGCCCAGGTATGGAGGCTGGTTTCTCCGAGGCCTTCCTCTGCCTTGCAGATGCCACCTCTCCCTGGGCCTCATATAGCCCCACTGTGTCTGTGCCTGGTCTCCTACTATAAGGACACCACTAGGGACACTACCTCAATGCAGTCATGTTGGGGTCAGGACTTCCTCCTACGGATGGGGAGGGATGCAGCCCAACAGAGCACAGTCTCGCAGGGAAAAGCAGGACCTCTGTCATTACGAGGAGGCTCACGGCATGGGGTTGAGCAGTCCTGTGTCAACATTATGCTAGGCCTTCCCTCCAGGACTCACAGTGCTGGGTTGTGTCCATGTAGCCAGTGTGGAGAGGACCCTTTTTTGACACCTGGCCATGGGTCTGCAAACATGATGCAGAGGGCCACTGTGAGGGTGAGGGTTGCTGGACTGTCCACTGACCACGTGTTCCTTGTGCTCCCCTCTAGGTATGGGCAGCAGTGACGAGTGGTCTGATGTTCAGGACATTATCGACTCCACCCCGGAGCTGGACATGTGTCCAGAGACCCGCCTAGACCGCACAGGAAACAGGTGCTCACAGGACCAGGCCCTGGGTTGGGGTCAGCATTCACTCAAGCCAGTGCCTGTGGTTGAGGGTGCAGTCCTGTCCACGCTTGCACCCACAGGCTCTGGGTGTGAGCGAGGCAGAGCATCATGGGGAGCTTGTGGCAGAGAAGGCAGCTCATCTCACAGTGGCCAGGAAGCAAAGAGAGGAGGGGCCCCTAGTGACCTCACCCCCAGTGTGGCCACCAACTGGTGACTCAGTCCTTAGCTCTGGGGCCTTCGGGGATAAAGCCTGGCGTGACAGCGGCTGTGGTAGGAGGGGAAGAGGTCTGGGTATGAAGCAGACAACTCTGTCCCCTGCCCTGTGTCCCAGCAGCCCCACCCAGGGCATCGTGAACAAAGCTTTTGGCATCAACACTGACTCCCTGTACCATGAGCTGTCGACAGCAGGATCCGAGGTCATTGGGGATGTGGATGAAGGAGCTGACCTCCTAGGTAAACTCCCCGCTGACTCCCTAACTTTCCGTTGGGAGAGAATGGGCTTTCCATTGGTTGGTTGGGTGTGGTGAAAAGACATCTCTGTGTGCTCCTGGGCCAGGCACTGTTGTCGTGCAGTTTTAGTAAGTTGAGGTTCTCATGCTACAAGTTCCACCCTGTAAGCCTATAGTGGGTGGATTTTCGTGTGCTCACAAGGTCGTGTGACCATTAGCACCCCGTTAGAGCATCTTTACCCAGAGAGAAACCCCGTGCAGTCCCCAGTCTTCCTCTGGGCCCCTCCTTGGCATTCTGCTCTGTGGGGCATTTTGGGAGGGTGGCCATTTGCCAGCATTCTGTGTGAGGACGTTCACAGACAGCCTCCACATTGCCAAGGAGAGCTGAGCTCCTAGGCACCCCTCCTGCCAGCACACACTCAGGGCATCCATGGGTCCTCAGGCAGGGCAGGCAGAAAGCAGTGACCTTTAGCTGGGCCTCTGCACAACACCTGCAGGGGGAGCTCGTGGTCTTGGGCGCAGCCCCAATATCTCTTGCCTGCAGCAGCAAGAGGCTGTGTGCCCACAGGTCTGCCTGTGGGAAGGAGCGGCTTTGTCCCATTTCTCTGCATGGTTCTGGATGGGTCCATGGAACGCTGCTGCTTGGTTCTGACTGCCTCAGAAGGAGTAGGAGCTTCAGTCAGAGCAGCCTCTGAGGGCGAGGCTGGGGTCGTGGAGCTGGCCAAGCCTCCACACCTGGCCCATCAGCTGTCCAGCAAAGCGCTCACCCTGCAGCTCGACTGCTGCTCCCCCACCTCCTGCTGCCTGTCGCCCTCAAGGCTCAAGGTGTTTCCAGGTGCAGCCAGGTGGCCTTTCAAACACCACGGGGTCGGCACAGGCAGAAGGCTGACCTTCTTGTTCACTCTGCTCCAGAGGCTGTGGGCCTGCCTCCTGGCGTCTCAGGGCAGGGCATCTTCAGGGATCTGAACTCCCACAGTGCTCAGCACCAGCCCTGACAAGCTCCGAGCAGAAGCTCTGTTCTGCCAGGCTTGCATCTGAAGTGCTGGCCATGTCTCCCTATCGTGGGACTCGTACCCTGAGCTGCTCCCATGCTGGCTCAGTGGGGTTGAGTGTGCTCACACTCCAAGGGAGGGACTAGATGCTCCCGCGGGGAGAGGACAAAATAAGCAGCCTTTTCTGTCAGGACATATTTCTAATGGAATTTTTTTCAGAAGGGTTTTAGAATATTTTTACTTTGTTTTTGTGGTATTGGGGGTTGAACCCTAACCCTTGCACGTGCTAGGTAGTGTTCTCCCTCTGAGCCATATACACAGTCTTTTAAAATTTTTTTATTTGGAGCCAGAGTCTTGTTAAGGTCCTAACGCTGGCCTTGAACTTGCCATGGTCCTCCTGCTTCAGCCTCCTGAGCTGCTGGGATCATGGGTGTCACCACCACCCAGCTGAGGCAGTCACTTTTTTTTGGTACTGGGGATTGAAACCCAGGAGCACTTAACCACTGAGCCACATCCCCATCCCTTTTTATTTTTTGAGACAGGGTCTTGCTAGGTTACTGATACCGGCTTTGAACTTGTGATCCTTCTGCTTCAGGCTCCCTAGCCACTAGAATGATAGGTGTGGCCCTTGTACAAACCCAAGGCCTCACACATCCTAGGAAGGCCCTCTACCACTAAGCTATATCCCTAGACCCGTGTCACTTTTGATTGAAAGTGCTTCTGCACATTTTAATTTCTTTTCCTTCGTGTGACTGAGCTCTTTTGCACTGTATAGTACATGATCAGCTCTCTTCCATGTCGAATTGCATGGTGGATACTGCTGAACTGGGTGGCTGTGGCATCATCTCCAAGGACTGCCCTGGGGTGGATTTCTAGGAATAGAAGCACCAAGTAAAGGTGCAGGACTGAGGACCCTTGCTGCACACAGCTCCTCTCATACCAGCCATGAAGCTGTCCCACCCACAAGGAACCTGCTGTCCCTTAAGGCACTTGTGCCTGCAGCATGGTGTGTTCCCTGAGGAGCCCGCAGCCTGTGTGGAGAAGCACAGGTCCATATTGAGGAACGCAACACAATCCATGCTGTACTCGCAGCAAGTCCCCCCAGGAGTGCTGCCTGGCCCACAGCTGCTGAAGGCCAGCTTCCGTCAGACCCTCACCACTGAGCGGTAGGGAGGAGACAGCATCCCCCAAACACATGGGCATAGGAGCTTATCCCTGAGCTGTGCGCAGCTGGGTGCACCTATGCTGAGGCTGCAGACAGGCACAGGGGGCATCTGGAGACCCCCTGTGTGCACAGGAGCACCCCTGCTCACCACAGGTGCCCACGTATTGGTGAATTTAATAAAAAGGTAAAAGTCTTCTTCCTAGAAAGACACATATGCAGACAAAATCTCTGTTTCCATGTCAAGGACTGTGTCCCCACCAGCCACCCTGCTCCCAGCAGTAGCACTGGCTGCTGCTGGGAAAGTGAGACCCCTAACAGCAGCCCTGAGTGACCGCCCTCTGCTGGTTTTAACGGCTCTACTGAAATGTGGCCCACCCCCACCATGTCCTTCACCCATCAGAAGAATGAAGCTCGGTGGCTGTCTACATGTTTAGAGCTGTGTGACCACTGCCACTACAGAACACTGCCACCTCCTGAAAGGAAGCCCATACCCAATTGGCAGCTCTCCCCCGACCTGGCAGCTCTGGTCTGCTTTCTGGATTGCCTCTTTTGAACCTGCCAGTGGCCTCCCGCCCGGTGTCTTTTGCTCGTTGTCCTCCCGAAGGCTGAGTAGCTGCCCACTGCATAGCTGTGCTCACCCTCTCCTGCCTGTGCACACAGCCTAGGCACTGCTCCTTCTGCTCCTGATGCACACGGCCCTCAGTAGTTCTGCAAGATTGCCAGGCTCCACCAGCTTCCTCATCAGCTGGTGGCCCCTGTGGCCCATCCATCTGTCCATCAGGCAGGCCACCACCCCCATGCTCATCCTGTAGCCCTGGCTGTGGAGCCATCCCCTCCTGCCATACCTGCCTGATTGACGCAGCTGTAAGCCTGCTTTCTCTCTGCAACTGGCCCCTCCTTGCCCATCAGGGAGCCTCAGGCCTGTGAGATGCCCCTGTGGGCATTGCTTATTCTCAATCTAGGTAGCGTGGTTCCCATGTCACTGCCATACAGCATCTCTTAAGTGGTGAGGACGGGAAAACCTCACTGAATCTTAGCCAGAAACCATGCAGCCTTTCAGGAGAGCCTGGCTTCTAGGGGTCCTGGCAGCGCTTACTCCTAAGAGGCCTCCAGGCGCATGTGATGGTCTTTGTTTCCAACAGCTGCCCCTAAGAAGGACTTGCATCTCTGTGGGGAGCTCTGCAAATTGCTGGCCACCCAGGGAACCCCCTGGTCCAGGTTGCATGAGACATGCTCTCGAGATGATGGACATTCTGGAGCCTTTAGTTGTACAGTGTGTGTGAGCCAGGTTGCTGCTGTGGTCTGGTGGTAGGTCAGTTTGGCTGCCAAGGAGGAGGAGGAGGAGCAAGCAGGCTGTGTGTCCCTCTCCTGTGATCACCCCAGCAGAGTGCACTCTGACAGGGGCCACCCCAGCATCCAGCCCATCACCACAGTGCTGGCCTGCGTCATGGGGACCACATGCTAAAGGCAGCCCTACCCCTCCACTGCCCATGCAGCTGCAAAACAGCAGCAGCACCAGTGCAGGTCCTTTAGTGTGTGCACGTCTTGCTGTGGGAAGATCCTGTGATTTCAGGAACACATGGTCTCTGCATACGGCAAGTGGGAGGTTGCCCAGCCACGCTGTCGGGAGTGGCATCCCTGTGGCCCCTATCCCCTCAGTGAAGGAAGTAAAAGGACCCTGGCACCAGGCAGCTGTTACTTCCCTTGAGCCTAGGATTCCAGTAAGTGCAGTTATTCACTATTACTTTGGACTCCTCGTGAGAGGAAGTCTGCTGCAGATGGAACTGGAACGTGCCAGTGGGTCTGAGACCCACCACAGTCTCAGAGCTCAGCAAGGGCGTGTGCTGTTCCAGCACCACCTCATGGGAAGTTCACGCACACAGACCCTACAGAAGGTGTTCCCAAATTAGGGACAAAGGGACTGAGGCACAGAGAAGCAAGGAGCTTGTCTGCATCCCTTGGCTGGGACCTGAAATGCTAACAGGCTGACCCACACTCTGCTACAGACGGTCAGCTGGCTGTTCTTCAGTGACCCATCCCACCCCTGTGGTGACCAGCCCTGGATATCTAGAAATGACCTTGAAAAGTAGATATGCCTGTGGGAGAAGCCTTGAGCACTCCCTCAGGACCATTTCGGACCTAGTGGCTGAGCCTTTCAACTTCTGGGTGTCCTCACAGATCACCAACTGCTGGCTCATAAATCCATTCAGTAGCAGGAAAAAATGAGTGATGGGCCTCTTTTTCTGGACCTGCTGAATGGACTCTGATGTTCAGGCAGAAGAGTGCATGTGAGAGCTGTCTAGACTGAGGAAGCTTGTGATGACAGTCACCCTGGACTGGGCAGTGCCAGGCACCCCCACCAGCCAGAAGCCAAGCACAAATCTGAGCCTTGTGACTCAGGTGGCCATGGGGCCAGGTGGTCTTTCCAGTAGAGGTGCTGGGTTACAGTCTTGACCAATGCGAAGGCTTGGTGCACATCCAACCTCACACCACAGTTATTCACTAAGTGGGTTAAAGATCTAAATCTGAGGATACAAGGACAGTGGAAAAGAATATTGGGGAATACCTTTACAATCTGGGCTTCTTCATGACCAGAAACACAAAGCAATATTAACAGGTGTGACTGTTGAAAATCAAGAACACACACATATGTACTTATACACGAGGCTGTGTGCATAGCAGGCCCAAGGCCCTGGGTTCTATCTGTCACACACAAAAAAGATATATATGTGATCTCCACCATTCAAGTAAGTCAAGGGCAATAGAAAATGAGCAAAGTATAAAATAGAAACTCACAGAAGATACCCACAAACATGAAGAAGCTCAGCTCCAGGATTAACAAGGAAGTGAACACAGGAAGCTGAGAGGGATAGAGCCCTGGGGTGCCACATCACAGGGGACCAAGAGGGTTGCTTGTGAGTGAGCAGCCTGGTCTGTCTTGGTTTGGAGTGGATGTTCATCTGGAGTCTGCCAGACTGGAGAGTGGCAAGAGGACTCTGCTTGTCAGCAGGTGCACTGCTGAGCTTGAGTCTCTGCAGCGCAGCTAGGTGTTTTAGATCAAATGGGTCTTAGTTTGTTTTGAGCCTAGGGGTGCTCTATCACTGAGCCACATCACCACCCTTTTTATTTTTTATTTTGAGACAATCTCACAAAGTTAATGAGGCTGGCCTTGAACTTGGGATCCTTCCACCTCAGCCTCCCCAGTTGCTGGGATGGCAGGTGTGCACCTCTGTGCCCAGCCTCAAGTGGGTCTTTAATAACATGTTGCTTTCTTGTGGAATGCACCAAGTGGAAGGGATTGTTTAGTAAAATCTATAAGAAAAAGCAGTGCTTTCCACACAGCCACCCTGTGCACTGGAGAGGTATGTGCCCAGCGAGGACAGCCTATACCACCCCATGCTCCCCACCCTCCTCTGCCTCTTGACTTGTTGATTTCCTCCCTTCTCAGGAGGGCCCTCACTCCCTGTGACCCTCTGGTCATTCCTTACCACAGACCAGGGCTGGCCCGAATAATGCAAATCCAGCACCAGGTGCCCATCTGTCGTCAGGTGACCTCCCAAAAATGTGCCAGTGAGTGCAGCCAGCTCACTCTGGGGGCCTCTCAGAGGGCATCCTGCACCCATGGTTCCCAGTCGCACCCTCTTGCTAGTGGAAGACAACAGGAGAGGCTATTGAGCCCCCGAGAACTGAAGGCCCCTGTCCTCTATGGCTCCATCCCACTGCCTTGTTGCTTCTCATGCCCTTCAACGTGGAAATGGCTGGATCATTGCTTTTTCTTTAATAAGAATTTCTTTATTTGTTGGTTTCAGTCACCAATTGATCTTTGTCGCTTCCTTCCCCGTTTCTCTGTGCTCTGCTGGACGTGGCCCAGGGGAGTTCTCAGGTGTGTATCTCTCCCGTCTATGTGTGTGGTCCCCCTTTCCACTGTGAGAGCAGCTGGAGCTGGGTGCACACACATGGGATGCTCCCCTGCTGCTGGCCATCACCAGGCTGTGCACACTGACCCTGACTTGTGAGTGGCTGCTCTAGGCGCCTGGCCACTAAAGCCCCTTGCTTTGCTCGCCAGTCTGCTGCTGCCCGAAAGCTAACATGGATTTGCTGCCCTGGCTACTGACAGGCCCCTCATATCTGAAACCCTTCTTCAAGCCTGAGAAAGCACCCAAGGGCCATTTCTGTAGTCCCCAGAGCCACTAGGAAGGGACTACAGTTGTCAGGTGCACAGGGGATAAGGGTCCCCATAGGGCAGCTGGGCTGCGCTGTCTTCCTCTGCCCGAGGCCTACCTGCCCTTCAGCAACCTCTCAGTGTGTGCAAGGCAGCTTGAGCCCAGGCTCAGGTCGCCTCCCCTGTGTGGGCACCCCCACTGCCCTTCAGCCCAGCACCTGTGGATGACCACAGGTCATTCTGGTCTGGCAGTTGGCTTTGCAGCCCAAGGCTGAACTTCTCAGAAGGGGTAGCTGGTTTCCTCCTGTCTCCTGCCCTCCTGACCCAGCCAGGGGTAGCTCTGAATTGCCACCTACCCTGCTGTCTACGTGGGCTTAATGCGCTTCTTTTTTCTCCCTCCCTGCCCTGTCGCCCGTCTCCTGTGGGACTGGGACGTTCCCCAGTGCGCGATGACTTTTTTGGTAAGGCCAAGGCCCTGCTCTGATGTCTTTCCTCCTTCTGGCTTCCTCTCTACCTGACATCTTCTCATGCTTCATGAGCTGTTTGCTTTATTCTGCATGGTGGGGGCAAGGGGGCCCAGGCTTCCCAGATACCCCCAGGCGTGGGTTATGGCGTCATCTCTCCACTACCTCAGCTGGCTATGCCTTGGTGGACAAACCTTGACCTAAGGGCCCAGCCCCTAGGCACACTGAGCCTACATATATCCAGTCCAGACACTCTGAATGTCCCCAAGCCCACAGTGCCTCCTGCACCCCAGGGGAGGTCAGAATGGACAGCCAGCAGAACCCCAGCCCCTGTGCACCTTGCCATTGTAGGACTGCACAGAGAGCAGCAAGAGGGAGTGGGGGGCCAGCTCTTAGCTTCAGCACTGTCCTAAGGGATTCCATTTGGCAGTTTGGGAATTTCTGGAACATGCCTGCAGGGAGCCTGGCCTGTGGGGTCCACTTGAATCCTGATGGGGGCAGGGCCCATTCCTCTGCAGGAGACACTAGGGAGCCCTGTCTCCCTCATATCTGCTCTCCCTGCCTTCTACTGACCCTGAAGCATGGGCCAGATCCTGCCAGGCCTGCACACAGCCTTGGGTGGCCTGTAGCTGCTGTGGCCATCCCTTCTCTGAGTCCCAGATATTGTCTGTGTCCCCTCTCACTGAAGCTTCAGTATCCATTCTCCAAAGGGTGGCTCTGTAAGGCCTCTGCTTGGTGTTGAACCTAGTTGCCAGAGGGCTGGGGAGGGGTGATGCTGACGGGAAATGCCCAGAGGCCATTCCAGGTGCTTGCAGCACCCAAACTTCTCCTTGTGGGGGGCAGCTCTGAGAACCCCTCGAGGCCCCTGTGTGGGGAACCTGCCTTGGGTTTCCTGGCTCACAGGTATTTGCAGCCTCCCTACCTTCAAGCTGGGGCCCCTGGGAAAGTCTGTCATCCCAAGGAAGGTATGGCAGCATCCGGGTCTAGCCTCGCAGGACTTGGGGAAAACCTCTGCCCCTTGCATTTCAGGAATGGGCAAAGAAGTGGGGAACCTGCTGTTGGAAAACTCACAGCTTCTGGAAACCAAGTAAGAGGCCTTCTGTGTCACAACTGGGCAGCCCCTCGCCAGGCCATAGGCAGGCCCAGGCCAGGGGCCTGGGAGGACTTGACCCACAAGGCTGAGTGTGCCTCCAGGGCTCGATGACCGCTCACATGGATCATGGGCACTGTCTTGAGTGGGAGGGACTCAGCAGAGCTCCTGGGCAGTTCCTTCAGAAGGCTTGGCCGGGTGACCATACAGTGTAGCACCCAGGTCAGGTGGGTTGCCTGCCCTTAGCCACTTTTTTTTTTTTTTTTTTTTTGGTACCAGGGATTGAACCCAGGGGTACTTTACCACTGAACTACATCAGTAGCCCTTTTTATTTTTTATTTTGAGACAGAGTCTTGCTAAGTTGCTGAGGCTGGCCTTGAACTTGTGATCCTCCTGCCTCAACTCCCAGGTTTCCCTCAGCCACATTCTTGACTAGAATGTACCTTCTAATGCACATCCTTAATAATCTTTACAGAAATGCTTTGAATGTGGTGAAGAATGACCTCATTGCCAAGGTTGACCAACTGTCAGGGGAGCAGGAGGTACTGAAGGGGGAGCTGGAGGCCGCCAAGCAGGCCAAGGCCAAGCTAGAAAGCCGGATCAAGGAGCTGGAAGAGGAGCTCAAGAGGTGAGGGCTGTGGGAGGGCCAGTGGGACTCTGGCTTCCATCGTGGGCACCCTCTTCTTGCAGCATTCCCAGAAGTCCAGGCCCAGCCACTCGGGGATGTTCACTGTCTGCTCCCCTGTGGACCCTGTGTCTCCCTCCAGCCCACTGTGACCTAGCCAGGTGTGGTCCTGTCTTCTGTGTCCCTTCTTTAGATGGCATTTCCAGCCCCACTTCTTCATTCAGGAGGAGCAAGGTGGGGAGTGGGTGCCTTGGCAGCCCACACCCCACCTCTAACCCCCTCAAGGTCTGAATATGCAGCCCATTGGGAGTCCTATGTGAAGCCAGATCTGCTAAGGACCTGCCTAACCAACCATGCCCAAGAGTGTCCTTGTACTTGTCCCCGCTCAGCCTTTGTCCACCTCTTCCTTGGCCAGAGCTGCCAGAAGTCTGGGCCTCATGTATGTGAGGCAGGGGTATGGGACCCTCCCAAGCCCAGGGCACCTTTGGGATCCCTATAGGGCTATCCTTAACCTGGGCCTTCCCAAGTCCCTGGGGTCCCCTCACCTTGCCCATTTCTTCCTAACCCTGCAGAGTGAAGTCAGAGGCTGTCACTGCCCGCCGTGAACCCAGAGAAGAGGTGGAGGATGTAAGCAGCTATCTCTGTACAGAATTGGTATATTCCACTATTAACCTGCGGGCTCGGGTGGGCGGGCTCGGGTGGGCGGGTTCCCTGGGACTTGCTGCATCTGGCTCTGGACCCTCCTTACCTTCCTACGTGATCTCTGAACCCGGTGCCCCCTTACCCACCACCACCAGCCCCCTGTCCTTGTTCATGCATTCTGCAGTCATAGGCAGGTTTCCCTGTCACCAAGCGAGGCTGCAGAAGTAGTGCCAGCCACTTGCTGGGCCAGCCCAGGAGCCTGTGTGTTCTAAGGAAAGTCCTCTAGCCTGGGCAGTAGTAGGCCCCCAGCTCAGAGTCCTATGCCTCCCTCAATAACAGGCCTGGGCCACATGACCACCTGCTTGAGGAGAGCCCCACAGTCTTGCCACTCCTCAGTCAGCTGCATGTGGGCGTGGTGAGGAGGAGGTGATGCTGGCAGCAGGCCGCAGCCCCTCTCACCTTGAGTGGAAACGAGGAGTCGGCCTTGGCCTTCCCACAGCCCAGGCCTCAGGTTGGGTATATGCACCTGAGAAGGCCAAGTGCTGCATATGGGGGACCCTTCAAAGGCCACCACCCCACAGATCTCTCAAAGTTCTGCTGGGCCTCCCAGCACCATCCTGCCATAGCCAAGGCCCAGCTATGGGGAGCAGAATGCTAGACCCCCACTTGGGGGCCAGTGGGACTCCCACAACCTGAAGCATCCTGCCCAGGCACAATGGCCATGCCTGTGATCCTAGAGATTCAGGAGGCTGGATGGCATGTTTAAGTCCAGCGTGGCCACTTAGCAAGGTCCTAAGCAACTTTGTGAGGCCGTCTCAAAATAGAAAACAGCTAGAGGTGCAATTCAGTGGTAGAGCACTCTGGGTTCAGTCAGCAGTATTACCAAAACACCACAGGGTCCTGCTGGCTGCACCTCCCTAGATTTCCCCTTGCATTTCACCTTGGACCAGTACCCGCTGTGCTTCACCTGAGGCATGAAGAACTGTCCCAAGTGTTCAGAGACTTGTAGAAAAAGTTGCCTGTGTTATACACTCAAGAACAGCATGTGATGCTTTGGAAAAAAAAAGGAGCCTAATGGGGGCAGGTGGACTTGCCATCCCCCTCTCCCCTGTCTACATCCTCCTATAGACACTTACCTGAGGATCTGAAGAATGTCTATGACTTTGGTCTGCCTACACCTAGAGGTCACGTTCCCCACCCAGGTGGCAAGCATCCCAGCAGCAGGTGCAGTGTGCTGGTCCAAGCCCTGCCTGCCTCCTGCTCTGACCATAGTGCCTCTGCCCTTTGCAGGACAAAATCCCCATGGCCCAGCGCCGCCGCTTCACAAGGGTAGAGATGGCCCGTGTGCTCATGGAGCGCAACCAGTACAAGGAGCGGCTGATGGAGCTGCAGGAGGCTGTGCGGTGGACTGAGATGATCAGGTGGGCCCCAGCCCTGCTCCCCAGGTGTCTCTAGCTTGAGCTGTGGTTTCTGAGCAAGGGGTGGTGGGACAACCTGCATGTCGAGGATGAGGCTGGCCTCCATAGCACCACCCTCCTGAGGGGGAAGAGCTCCTGGTCCTTCCTGTAGCAGCCTGCAGCCTTCAGGCGGGGCAGGCAAGAGAGCCAGCAAGCTCCTCTGTGTGTCCTCCCCACAGAGCTTCCCGGGAGCACCCATCTGTCCAGGAGAAGAAGAAGTCCACCATCTGGCAGTTGTGAGAGGGGTGGGCGGGATGCCTGGAGGGTGGATGGTCAAGCCCCCAGGGCCACTGCTACTCACCCCCTTCCCCACCTGCAGCTTCAGCCGCCTCTTCAGCTCCTCCTCCAGCCCGCCCCCGGCCAAGCGCTCCTACCCGCCAGTGAACATCCACTATAAGTCTCCCACCACTGCTGGCTTTAGCCAGCGGCGCAGCCGTGCTATGTGCCCGGTCTCAGCAGGCAGCCGACCCCTGGAGTTCTTTCCTGATGAGTGAGTGTCCTACAGGTCTCGCTGCTCCTCTGGCCTATAAAGGGAAAGGGGACAGCGAGAACCAGGGCTGGGAGGGCAGACCTGGCCAGGGTGTCGGGTCATGACCTCTGGGTGCACATGCTATGTGCCCTGGCCCCCCAGCCTTAGTGAGCATTGCTGGTCACCTCCAGCATTCTGTTTCAGCTGCCCCTTGGCAAAGGCTGCATTCTCGATGGAGCTCCCCTTTGTCCCTGCTCCTGTGCTGGGCTCCACAGTGGCCCTGGACTCTGCATGGCCCTCTACTCTGCACTGTGCCTGGGCTCTTGAACATCTTGCTACAGCAAGGAGCCATCTCAGGCTTGATCTCCACCAGAGAGATGCTGGCCAGGCCTCCACCCCAGCCTGAGCTGTAGGTCTCTGCCAGCTGAGCCCTGGTGGGTGGCAGGACAGGCTTCAGGACAGGAGCAGGTGCTGGATGTGACCTCCAAGCCCAGGGCACACCCATGGCTGGGAGAAGGCTAGCGCAGACCCAGGCAGGATCCCCAGCATGTGTGCTCCCTGGAGAGCTGGCCCTAGGCCGTTCCTCTTGGATGGAGATGAAACCTGTAGTTTCTCCTGACCAGTGAGTGCACGTCTTCCGCCCGGCGGGAGCAGAAGCGCGAGCAGTACCGCCAGGTGCGCGAGCATGTGCGCAATGATGACGGGAGGCTGCAGGCCTGTGGTTGGAGCCTGCCCGCCAAATACAAACAGGTGCGGAGGGCAGGCCCAGGGCCAGGCGTCAGCAGGGAGCCTCACTGGGTGGAGGGACAGGCCTAGGCTGGTGGGACGGGCTGTGGAGCATGGGGCTGCAGGGCAGGAGGCTCAGGGCAGCTGGGTGGGGCTGGTCTGCCTTCTGCATTCCCGATTGAGCTCCCCTTTGGTGTGCGCCCAGCAGTGGGAGTGGCAGGACTGGCCTGTACCTGCCTCTGCCCACACACCTGCTGTGTTGCAGCTAAGCCCCAGTGGGGGCCAGGAGGACACCAGAATGAAGAACGTTCCTGTCCCAGTGTACTGCCGCCCTCTGGTGGAGAAGGACCCCACCATGAAGGTGTGACCAGAAGACCCCAGCAGAAGATGGCGGGCAGATCAGGGAGGAGGGCAGCCCTCAGGAGGCCAGCAGAGGGGTGGGTACACCTGGATCCTGGGCTGTGTCTTACAGCTGTGGTGTGCCGCTGGTGTCAACCTGAGTGGGTGGAAGCCAAATGAGGATGACTCTGGAAATGGAGTCAAACCAGTGCCAGGCCGTGACCCTCTGACCTGCGACCGGGAAGTGGAAGGCGAGCCCAAGAGCAACCACACATCTCCTGAGAGGAAGAAGGTCAGCAGGGCTAGCCAGGAGTGGCAGATCTAGAGGAGAGCAGGGGCAGTGCCCCCTCCAAGGCTGGGTCCTGGAGGCAGATGCTCCCGGGATCCAGGCCACAGTTCTCCCTCCAAGGGGCAGTACTGGCCCTGCTGCCTCCCAATTCACTGTCCCTGAGCCAGGAGCAGTGCAGGAGGTGGCTGTGGTGACCTGGCACTACCTCTTAGTCCAGGGCAGAAGAGGCTCTGGAAGCTAGGTTCTCATGTCATACAGAGGGACAGGCAGGAAGGGGCTAGACACTGAGGGAGGGCAGAGTGCTCTGTGGAGTTTCACATCGCAGCTCGACCTGGGCCAGGGACTTAGCCTCTCAGAGCTTAGGTCTGCGTCCTGGAAAGGAGCCCTCTAGCTGTGGTTCTAAGTCCCCACTGGGTGACAGGGAGAACAGCCTGTGCGCTGGAGCTCACTGGATCCTGGAAGCTCCCTGGCCCTCTTACTGCTTCAGAGTGGCCCTGAGCTGAGGCCCTAGCCTTGAACCCTGTGCCCTGAAACAGGCAAAGGAGGCCCCTGAGACGGACGCCACGTCCAGCCGGGTGTGGATCCTCACCAGCACCCTGACCACCAGCAAGGTGGTGATCGTTGACGCCAACCAGCCGGGCACCGTCGTGGACCAGTTCACGGTCTGCAACGCCCATGTCCTGTGTATCTCCAGCATCCCTGGTGAGCCCTGGTCCCCACTTCACCAGGGTTACCCATGAGTGGGCACTGCCCTGTGAAGCTGGTGCTCAAGGGCGATGGTGCCTCCTTTCTACCAAAGGGCGACTAGAAAGTTTCCTAACTAGAATGAGAAGCCTGCTGGAAATGGAAGTGGACAGTGGACTGTGGCCAAGCCAAGTGAGACCTTAGATCCCATGTACAGGAAGATGCTGTCAGGTGGCCATGTTCTGCCTAGTGCTGGTGCTGGCTGCAGGAGGGCCAGGATCACACCCAGCTGACAGGAAGTGGCCTGTGGGGGCACTCCATGAATGCCACTCAGTGGCAGAACTCTTGCCTAGTGTACATGAGGTCCTATTTCAACCTCTAGCACCACACAATAAAAAGTAACCCTGGGGACTGGGGCTGGGGTTCAGCGGTAGAGCAGTCACCTAGCACATGCAAGGCCCTGGGTTCGATCCTTAGCACCACATTAAAAAAAAAAAAAAAAAAGAATAAAGGTATTAGAAGAAAAAAAAAACTAATCTTGGACTCTAGCATGGGCCAAACTAAAACACCACTCACAGGCATTGAGGAAGCTTTTTTTGTACTGATGTAACCCTCTGTTTGGGTCCAGACCCCAGTTCCTCACCCAGGGCTCTAGAGTTGGAGGTGTAGGAGAGGGGCTTGGTCTCTGCTTTTCAGTGGCAGCTGCTGACTTCCTGGGACCAAGCCCACACAGGGAGGAGTGGGTGGAGGGCCTTGCCAGCTCTAGTGTGGGACCTTGGGGCTGCTTGCTGCAAGGACCAGAGCCTCCTACTCGATCCCCCTGGGCCTAGGAGCCCACCTCACAGCAGGCTCAGGGTGGATGTCATCAGGGGGCAGGTGCTGGGCTGGCTGACCAGAGCCACCTCCAGCGGGAGAGAGGAAGCCTGGCCCCCAGCGTGGGCTGATGGGCTGCCGCACTTCCTCACAGCGGCCAGTGACAGTGACTACCCACCTGGGGAGATGTTCCTGGACAGTGACGTGAACCCTGAGGACTCAGGCACTGATGGCGTGCTGGCTGGCATCACCCTGGTGGGCTGTGCCACCCGCTGCAATGTGCCACGCAGCAACTGCTCCTCCCGAGGGGACACCCCAGTGTTGGACAAGGGGCAGGGTGAGTCTTGGGTGGCTTTTTTCTCTCAGTCCCTTGTTCCTCTGTCTCTGCCTAGCTGAGCATACTTCTTCCACAGGGGAGGTGGCTGCCACTGCCAGCGGGAAGGTCAACCCATCCCAGTCCACAGAGGAGGCCACAGAAGCTACAGAAGTTCCAGACCCTGGGCCCAGCGAGCCAGAGGTGGCTGCAGTACGGCCTGGGCCCCTCACGGAGCATGTCTTCACTGACCCGGCCCCCGCCCAACCCTCCAGCACCCAGCCTGGCAGGTGGGCTCTCTCAGGTCCTGCAAGACAGGAGTGGAAGAGAGACTGGCAAGGAGGGCAGGGTCTCAGGGCAGGGTGCAGACACAGGCATCTGCAACCACCTGAGCCACTGTCATTCACATAGTGAGGATGGGCCAGAGCCAGATGGCAGCAGTGTACAGCCCCAGCCAGAGCCCAATGGGGACCCCTTGGTGGTGAGCAGCAGTGCCGCACCTACTATGTGGCTGGGAGCCCAGAATGGCTGGTGAGTGGCCTGGGGCAGGGGTGGGTGGGGTCTCTAGGGAACCCTGGCCCACCACAGCCTCCTCCCGCAGGCTCTATGTGCACTCAGCGGTGGCCCACTGGAAGAAGTGCCTGCACTCCATCAAGCTGAAGGACTCTGTGCTAAGCCTGGTGTATGGGACCCCAGGCCGACTGGGGTGGGGTGGGGTAGTCTGGCCATCCTGAGCCTGACTCAGCATCTCCCCACTCTAGGCATGTCAAGGGCCGCGTGCTGGTGGCTCTGGCAGACGGGACTCTGGCCATCTTCCACCGTGGTGAAGGTAGGTCTTAGAGGCCCTACCCGAAACTAGTCCAGAGGGCTCCCTGGGTCCTGGGGCCATCTTTAGCCAGGCAATGGGTCCTCCACCCCAGCCAGGCCTAAGCAGGTTTTACGGGCTCTCCAGATGGCCAGTGGGACCTGAGCAACTACCACCTGATGGACCTGGGCCACCCACACCACTCCATCCGTTGCATGGCCGTCGTGTATGACCGTGTCTGGTGCGGCTACAAGAATAAGGTGCACGTGATCCAGCCCAAGACGATGCAGATTGAGGCAAGTGCTGGCCAGCAGCCTGGGCTCCGCAGGGAGGGCACTGAACTGCTTAGCCGGCATTGCTTCCCCCCTGGAAGCCACATGAGGAAATGGCTAAGAGAATTTACTCCTCTGTTCAAGACATGGGCAGATGAAGGGCAGCTGGTGTACTGTGCTGCTCTGCCTGGAGCCTGCCCTCTGCTGTGCCCCTTTGAAACAGGTCAGGGACACAGCTCCCCTCCACCCTGCGCTTGGTCTCTCCAGGTCCTGGCTGGAAGCATGGTGGCCTGTAGCCTGGGGAAGCCCCAGGGCTCGGCAGGGCAGGCTCCCTTTCCTGTCCTCTCCTGCCCCAGCCCCTGCTAATAGGCTGCTATGGCCCTGCAGAAGTCATTTGATGCCCACCCACGGAGGGAGAGCCAGGTGCGACAGCTGGCATGGATAGGCGATGGCGTGTGGGTATCCATCCGCTTGGACTCTACCCTGCGGCTTTACCATGCCCACACGCACCAGCACTTGCAGGATGTGGACATCGAGCCCTATGTCAGCAAGATGTTGGGTGAGGCACCATACCAGGTGGGTGGCATGCAGGCACAGCTGGGCTTCACTGACCACTCTTCTCCTGTCCCCACCCAGGAACTGGCAAACTCGGCTTCTCCTTTGTGCGCATCACGGCCCTACTCATTGCGGGCAATCGCCTCTGGGTGGGCACTGGCAATGGAGTTGTCATCTCCATCCCCCTGACAGAGAGTGAGTGACTCCCCCCCAGCACCCTACAGTTGTACTGACTGCTGCTGGCTTGCTTGGTTTCCCCGGTGGGTGGGCTCCACACAGCCACGCCCAGGAGGCTCAGATCCCTGCCCCTCCTCCCCAGCTGTGGTCCTGCACCGAGGCCAGCTCCTGGGACTCCGAGGTAAGTCCACAGCACCTGCCCTGCCCTAGACACAGACCAAGGTGGCGGCTCCCCTGCGCTCTTGAGCCTGCTGGAAATACGGTGACTTGCCCCCCCCCACACACTGTCTCCAGCCAACAAGACATCCCCCACATCTGGGGAGGGTGCCCGTCCAGGGGGCGTCATCCACGTGTACGGGGACGACAGCAGTGACAAGTCTGCCAGTAGCTTCATCCCCTACTGCTCCATGGCGCAGGCCCAGCTCTGCTTCCACGGGCACCGTGATGCTGTCAAGTTCTTTGTCTCTGTGCCAGGTGAGGGCTGCCCACATCCTGCCTGGATAGCCCTGTGGGTACAGCCATGGCCCCTCACGGGCAGCTGTCCTGAGGTCCCTCTGCCCCTGACAGGCAACGTGCTGGCCACCCTCAATGGCAGCGTGCTGGACAGCCCTTCGGAGGGTCCCGGACCTGCCATGCCTGCCGCTGATGCAGAAGGCCAGAAGCTGAAGACCGCGCTGGTGCTGAGTGGCGGCGAGGGCTACATCGACTTCCGAATCGGTGAGTGGGCACCGGCGGGGCAGGCCGTGGTATGCCAGGCAGGACCCCTCACTGCTGCCCACTCTCCAGGAGATGGAGAGGACGACGAGGCGGAGGAAGGAGCCGGAGAGGTGAGCCAGGTGAAGCCTGTGCTGTCCAAGGCGGAGCGCAGCCACATCATCGTGTGGCAGGTGTCCTACGCCCCTGAGTGAGGCCATTGCCCCCCTTTCCACTGCCTGATGCCAATATGTACATAGGACCCCGCCGGCCTGCCCCTGCCTGCCCCGGGCACCCATAGTCCCTTTCTAACCTCTCAACCTGCAGCTTTCACCTGAGGCCCAGGCCCCCGAGTGGCAGGGAGTGGCCCCCGAGATGTGGGTGGAGTGGGCCATGGGAGGGAGGCGGGAGAGGGAGGTGGAGAGGTGCCTGCAGCTCCTGGTCAGTACCCCTACCCAGCATACTCAAGTCCCAGGGGTACCTTAGGGCTGGGGCAAGGCAGGACCAAGGTGGTTGTGGGCAGCCCCTGCAGCTGGCCTTGGCTCCACTGTTACCTCCTCATTCCTGGCACCCCCAGATCAGGAGCAGGGGCTTCACTCTGCCCTGTCTTCCCACCCAGTCTACTTGCTTTTGCATGCTGCCCTGGGAGAGCCAGGCCTGGTGCCCATCCTATGCCCAGGGGTTTGGCGCTCAGACTGCCCAGGTGCCTGGGCCCTAGGTAAGCCCTATCTAGGGTTTACACCTTCCCTGACTAATGTCCCCTCGGTCCCCGCCCCAGCCTCCCCAGAGATCTGGCATGGAAGCTTGGGGCTAGGGTCCCTGAGGCAGCACCTTCAAAAGACAGACCAGGTACCCCTCACCCCCTGAAGCCCAAGGTCGTCCAGCCCCTCACTGACTGGTGTGCCCCAGGCTTCCCCTGGGCATAAGACTCACCTTTAAGGAGCAGGACTTTATAGTCCTGCTCCTCCCAGAATCCCTTAGGGTGGAATTTCTCAGGCTGCTAGGGCAGGCCCCGGCCTCAGGAAGAAGTGGAGGCTCCTGCCCTCTGCTAGGGTTAGTCCTAGGATGCAGGCTCAGCCTCAGGTTGATGGGGGATGGTGCGCTCCTGGGGCCTGCTTCCTGCACAGGGCTCCAAGGAGCCGAGCTCCCAGACACGTACCAAGTGCCTAGCGTTGCCGCTGTGGCCTGCTCCCTCAGAGAGAACTGACAGGAGGCTGCCAAGCAGAGGCCGGAGGGGCTATGCCACTGCAGCAGGGCTCTAGGGTTGTGGCAAGGGGGCAGGTGCTGCCCTTGCAGGTCTGCTCCTCCACCTTCCTGGGCCAGGCCTTACTCCTCCCACCAGAGGTACTGACCAGGGCAGTCTGGCCCCCGCTGCCCACTTCCTCCCACCAGAGAAGCACAGATCTTGGGGAGCTGTCCCATGAGCCCAGCTGGCCAACACAAGCTGCAGCCACAGGGAGCTGCAGGCTTCTCCCCACCACCCTGCCACCTCTCCACTGTGATGTATGTCCCATGTCTGTCCCCACTGGAGTGTGAAATGACTGGAGTGAGCTGGGTGGGTGCAAGTAGAGGAAAGGCCGGGTGTGCTTCTCCTCAGGCTTTGGCCCTGCAAGTGAACCCACGTATCTGCTCTGTATGTAATAAACGTCTTAACACGTGCTGCTGTTGTGTCCCTGGGACCGAGCCAAGCCAATGCTCACATGGTTTTCCTCCAGTTTATTATGAAAAGAAATGGGGGCGAGCCAAGCGCCAGAGGTGTCCTGCACGACCTGGCCCTCTGCTCCGCGCGGCCCGCTTCTTCGCTTCTTCGCAGCTGTCCTGGCACACCATGTCCGAGGGGGTGGTCCTGTTGGGGGCAGTCCTGTCGGGGGCTACTCGTACAGCCAGTGCCCGACACTGTCCTCCCAACAGAGGAGCTCATCCGACCGGAACCAGAGGGCGATCTCGCGGCGGGCGCTCTCCACCGAGTCGCTACCGTGGATTACATTCCTGCGCGGGACGGGAGCGTGGGTGGACCGGCGGGGGGGGGGGGGGGGGGGTGGCCGCGGGGGGGGGGGGGGGGGGGGGGGGGGGTGCGCAGGCGGGCCTTACTTGCCGACCTCCACGCAGAAGTCCCCGCGAATGGTGCCAGGCTGGGCGTTCATTGGGTCCGTGGCGCCGATGAGTGCCCGTGAGGCGCGCACGACGTCCAGGCCCTGCCACACCTGAGCGCGGGGCGAGCGTCAGTGCGCGCAGGGCTCCGGGGCTGTACCCACCTGCCGCCCACGGGAACTCACCATGGCCACCACGGGCCCGGAGCTCATGTACTTGACCAGGCGGCCATAGAAGGGGCGCCCGCGCAGCTCCGCGTAGTGCTCACACAGCAGCTCCTCGGAGGCCTGCGAGAGGAAGGGCCACCGCGCTGCGCCCCGCGCCCCCGTCTCCTTCCCGCACCACCCAGCCCCCGCATGCGTCCTGCTCTAAGCGTCCGCACCTGCACCAGCTTCAGCGCCACCAGCTTGAAGCCCTTCCTTTCGAAACGCCGCACGATCTCGCCCACCAGCCGCCGCTGCACACCGTCAGGTTTCACGGCCAGGAAGGTGCGCTCGTGCACGCCGCTGCAGGCTGCGGGGACCCGGGCGTCAGGTGGCCCAGCAGCCTGCGCCCCGCCCGGCCCCCTCCCTGAGCTTACCCGCCGGGAAGAGGTTAGCGAAGATGGTCAGCACCAGGCAGATCATGGCGGCGGCAGGACCGGACCGGGCGGGGCGGAGCATCTGGGCGGGGCCTGCGCTTAAAGGGGCGCGCAGGACGCGGGGCCACCCACTGCACCCGCTCGGAATGCAGCGCTGCCCCGAGCGCCCGGCGCCCCAGTTCCGCGGCGGGCTGGCCCGACCATCTCACACGCACACGCTGCCCAACGCGCAGAGAGACCAAAACCCAGGATACAGAGTGCGTTTATTCCCAGCCACAGCAACGGGGAAGGGGCCGCCTGGAGGTGGGGCCAGCGCGTGGGACCCCTGCCTCGGAGCGGTATGCTGGGGCAACAGAGGCGCCCCACTTCTCCCCACAAAACGCAAGGCCGCGGAACAAGTCGCCGGAAGGGGGTACACCCAAAGACGTCCATCACAAGGAGCCCCCCCGCCTCACCCCCAGGCGCTTCTGAGGCCCGGCCCCATTAGACCGGGGTCCGCTTGACCCGCCCCTTGGCCTCCTGTTTCGCAGGGTAGTCCCAAGGGTCCGCACGAGTCCTCTCCAGGTTCAGCAGGGGCTCCTCCGCGCTGGTGTCCCCGCTTTTCTTCCGTTGAGCCAGGATCATGGCCCGGAGCAGCGGTGGGTAGGGCACGGGGCGCGGGCTATCCTCCGTCCCAGGAGTGAAGGCGGCGAAAGCCTCCTCCTCGTGCTTGGGTACCAACCGCCAGTCGTGGTACATGACATGCTCGATCTCCCGGGCCTCGGCCTCCGTCTTCCCTGCGGAGGGAAGGCGGGGCTGACTCCGCGCCGGCTGGACAGTTGGCCACGCGCTCCTGCCAGCCAGTAGCCTTACCTTTGAAGGTCAGGACGCCCCAGGCCTTCCCGTGGTCCAAGTTCTGCGAAGCAAGAAAGAGTCGGGTCAGCTCCGGAAGCTGCTCGCCCAGCGGGCGGGGAGGCGGGAGCCCCCTTCCCTGGGATTCGGGGGTGGAGGTGGAGTCGGGGAGAGGCGCGAGGCCAGGGAGAGGCCACACCGCGCCGGGTGGGCCCGGGCCGCGCGCACCTGCGCGGTGAAGTCCGGCCGCACGCGCGTGAGGCGCCAGTAGCAAGGCTCGTCGTGCTGCCACAGCCAGGACTTGCGCGTGACCAGGCGGCCCAGGCCAAAGAGCGGGAGGCGGGCGAGCAGCTGCAGGAGGCGGCTCTCGCGGCGCACGTCGGCCCAAGCGCGCACTGGCAGCCGGCGGCCCGAGTGCGGCCGCGTCAGGGTCTCGTAGTCCAGGGCGTAGAGCTGCGAGTCGCGCGGACGCTCCCGCTGTTCGCGCAGAGCGCGCACGCGGCGGGCCAGCTCGGCGATCAGGCGCGGCCGCACCTTCTTCCGCGCCATAGTGGTGTCCGCGACCCCCGCCTTGCCCCGCCCGAACCCCGTCTGTCCCGAGCCGGCCCGCGCCGGAAGCGGCCGGTGTCCCGCCCAAAGGCGTCCGGGCGTGTGCGGAAGTGGAGGGGAGGCCGGGCCATGGCGGAGGTGCGACCCGAGAGGGCCGCGCGCTCGCGCCGAGCCCAGCGGCGGCCCCCGACCTGGGAGGTGTCGGACTCTGAGGCGGAGGGCGACGGCTCTGCAGAGGCCGGAGCGCGGGCTCGGGGCGTGGCGGGGGAGCGCAGGGCGGCGGCGTGGCGGCCCGAGCAGGCTCTGCAGCGCCTGGTGGTGCGCGTGGACCCAGGTCCGGGTTGGCGGGCGGGCGACGAGCGGCCGGCCTGCGGCCCGCGGGCAAGGAGGGGCTGACTGAGCTGTCTTCCACGGGTCCAGCCGTGCTGGAGGACACTCGTGCTGACGTCCTAATGGAGGCTCTGGGCGCCCTGGACTGTGAATGCCGCATCGAGCCGCAGCGCCGGGCCCGCAGCCTGCGGTGGAGCGGAGTGAGGCACGACCCCGGCAGAGTGAGTGGCTGGTTCTACCCTCCCAGACCATATCCCGAGTCCTGGCCCACATTTTGCAGGTGCAGCTGTCTGGAGAGGTAGCATCTCATAGAGGGGTGACGAAGCCTGCGTTGCCACTTTGCCAGTATGGAACCAGAACCAGCCTCTGTCCCATAATATTCTACCCCAGAAGAGGCTGGGGTCAGCCCTTAGTCCTGGGCTGGCCTTGGTCTCTGGGAGGCTTGACTCGGGCTTCTGGGGAACAGCCCTGGCAGGGCTAGGCATGACTGCAGTTGCAGAACTACAGGAGTTCCCAGTGTTAGCTGGGCAGCTAGGCAGAGGCCCAGAGACTGGCCGAGTGTGGGCAGCAGTGCCCCCAATATCCCCACAGGTGGCTCCTGAGGTGTGGGCTACAGAGGAACAGGAACTACTACTGCTGCTGCTGCTGGAGCCTGAGGAGTTTTTGCAGGGCACTGCCCAGCTGACCCAGGTGGTTTCCTTCCTTCATCCCATGGTACCAGGTTTCCCAGCCAGGGGTGCTGTTCTGCCAGCCAACATTTAGGGGAGAGGAGCACAGGTGAAACAGTAGAGGGATTGGGAGAGCACAGAGTCAGGACCAGGGTATACTGACAAGAGGACCCTGAGCTCAGGTGGAAGTGTCTAGGCAGGGCCAAGGGCTGGCTGAATTGGTCTGCAGCAGCTGACAGTGCAGCCTAGCCTCTGATGGAGTAGAAATAGTGCTCAGCTGATGTTTGGCTAGAGAATGACTAAGTTAGACCTGCTGGGTCGCAGCGTCCATGATTTTAGGGATCCTGCTGTGTGCCATGCAGATGCCAGGCTAGGGTGCAGAGCTGGACCACAGGGTGCTCAGCCTCCCTGGCCCCAGGAGGCAGTGCAGCTGGTTTTTTGGAGAGGGTTGGCTGGGCAGAGGGAGTGTCTCTGGCTCTCCTGCTCTTCTTTGCCATTGACTGTGGGCTGGTGGTCAGCAGTCCCCCACTGTCACAGTCTTCCTGTGAACAGTGTGCCATGTGTTCTTGCCTTCAGACAGAAGGCCCACCCTGTCCGGTGCCTTGGATCTCTCCTGAGAGCCCTGCCCACCCCCACCTGGCTGTCATAGGGCTGGATGCCCACCTATGGTACCATTCACCTCAAGGCCCTTAGTGGGGCTGGCTGGAGTGGGCAGGGAGAGGTAGGGGTGCCTCTGGAGGCTGCTGTCACAGCTGATTCACTGCCCTGGGGGCCCTGGCAGAGGCAGAACTCAGGAAGAAGGGGTGGGGAACTGGGGGGTTGTTGCCTCTGCTCAGGTCTTGCCAGCCCAGTGCCCAGGGGATGCAGCAGCTGCAGAATTCAGAGGTGGTCCAGGCCAAGGAGGCTGTCAGCTGGCCGGAAGTGGAGGAGGTGAGGGCCGTTTGGGCTGCGGGGTTGGCCTTGGTTCAGCATGTGGCTGCTCTCTGGCTGAGAGGTGTGACTCCCAGCATGGTCAAGGTGAGCCCACACCTTCACCATCCTTCCCAGGCTCTGGTGCTCCTTCAGCTCCGTGCAGACCTGGATGTGCTACTGGTGGCCTCCTGGCAAGAGCTGACTCAGCATGTGTGTGCCTACACCAAGGCCCTTGCCCAGCTCCCCTCTAAGTATGTACCCCTTCTCAGGGCTGGGAGGGGGACAGGACCACCAGGAGCAGGGAGCTCTGAGGGCAGAGCAGGGCTGGAAGGCTTTTTGAACTGGGGCAGGTGTGGAAGAGGCCAAGGCTCTGAAGACCCCTCTGCCCCTCCCTTTCAGGCAGTGCTGGGACTCCCAGGCCTTTTCCTTCTGCACAGCAGGTCGCTGGGCTGCAGGCCAGCAGGTGGCCAGAGATGGCTCTGGGTTGCGTGGGGTTTGGTGGAGACAGATCAGGCAGTTTAACTGGGTCAGCCCTGCTGTGGCAGATGCCATTGTCACCGCCTTCCCCTCCCCACGCCTTCTGCAGCAGGTAAGCTCCCAGGTACCCTTCCCCTCAGGTATGAGACCCAGGCCAAGGCCCCCCTGCTCACGCCTTTGCTTGCCCTAGGCGCTCATGGCCTGCAGCACAGAACAGGAACGTCTGGGCCTCCTGGCTGACCTCCCTGTGGAGGCCAGCAAAGGCAGACAGTCCCGAAGGGTGGGGCCTGACCTTTCCCGTCGCATCTGCCTGTTCCTGACCACCACCAGCCCTGACCTGCTACTGGACCTGGGCTCCTGACCACACTTGCCGGCCTCTTCTGTCCACCAGCAGGACAGCAACAGCCCACAGGAGGACTGATCAGACCTCCTGAGAGTGGGAGGGGGACAACCACACTTACTAAGCCTGGGGTGGACTCCATCTTTGGCTGGTCAGACTTGAGGTTGGGGGGGAGGAGGGGGAAGACAGATGCTCTGAAATCAGCAGAAGAGCAGGGAAGCAGAGGCCTGAGGAGGACGGGGGTTCGTGTTCCCTCTGCCCTGAATGCTCTGGCCACAGGACAGCGTGGCAGCAAGACTGTGCCCAGCTGGGCAGCCAGGAGGACTGCAGGGCAGCACCCCAGAGGGTGCTCCCTGGGGGAGCAGCAGCCTGCCCCCCGACGTAGCAGACCATCAGGAGGAAAGCAGACACCGGGCAGCCCAGGCCTGACAGAGTCTTTAATCTCAGAGCTGTGTAAGACATAAATCCCACATTTGTCACAGTCATTGGGGTCTGTGTGACGGGAACGGCAGTGGACAACATGCAGAGTGAGCTAGAAGAAGAGCAGGGACCCAGGGCCAGGAAGCGCCAGCTCACCAAGCCCTGTCTCCCCAGGCAGCAGACACCTGTCACCCCAGGATGGCCCAGCAGTACTTGGCCATTCCTGGGACAGTTGGAGGACTGGTGTGGCTGCCCCCCCAACCAGTCAAGGAGAGTGGACTCAGTGGCCAGTGGCTCTGGATCCCCTACAGAAGGGACTGTTCTGGCCTTAGAGATAGGACAGCCCCCATCAGACCTTGGTCCACCTCTTCTGCCCTGCAGGGTGGCAAGGAGGGAGGAACGGAGTGGCCTTCCCAGCCCAAGAAGGCAGTTTTTGTCAGAAAACAAGTCAGGTCCGTCGGCACCTCTTCCTTCGGCAGGGCCTGGCCTCTAGGCTGGGGGTACCAGGTGGGGACGCTGGGGGCTTGCGCCGACTGCAGTTCATGCTCAAGACCCAGCCCAACTTGTCACGCAGCACCTGCTTGAGACCAGGTGGCAGGGGCAGGCCCTCAAGGGTGTCCCCTGAGTCAGGGCGCAACTGGCGCAGGCGGGAGCAGCACAGGTACTGCAGGGAGGTGGCGGTGGCACAGGCACGGATCACCTTCATGCTGCTTCTGGCCGCTGTGGAGCACACCATTGGGTAGAACCTCCTGTTCCTCAGTCTGGTGGCTGCCACTCCTGCAGGGAGAAGCAGCTGAGCCTGGGCCAGCAGAGGACCTAGAAGGTGCTGTGCCAGTCCCAGCCGCACATCTGCCAACTTGGCTGAGTGAGTCAGTCCTGTGGCTCTGGCCCAAGTAATTCCAACATGGCCTCTCCCTGTCCCTCCCTCTGGGGACTTGGGGCCTCAGGTCCCAGGCAACCTGGGCCCACCAAGATTATAGCTGTGGTAGCTGTACCCTGTAGATGCCTGTCTGTTCAGGGTCAGGCTGGGGACCCTCACCTATGCATTTCCTGTTCTTAAAGAAAGTCAGCGTCCCGTGCCAGGCATCCAGGTGCACACCAATGATGGAGCCTTGGCCAAACCGTGATGAGAAGCTGGTCTTGTCACCCTTATGGTGGAGGAGCCCTGGGGGCACCAGGTGAGGGTGAGCCCAGGAGCCATGTGCTACCCTCCCCGCCTGACCCTCCCCACCACTGGACCACACGAACCCGTGTAGGAGAGGCCCCAGCTGTCCTCGTCCCTGCCAAGCAGGCTGCAGAAGGTGTGATGGTACTTGTCCAGGTCCACGTCTGACGTCCCAATGCCCACCATCTGCCAAAGTGGGGCTGGGGAGTGTGTGCCTGGGGCAGAGGCCTACAGCGCTGCCCCAGGCCACCAGCCACTTACCATATCAGTGCCATAGACAGGTGAGGTCATCTTAATTTCCCAGAAGTGTTGGCCATCCCCCAGCTCCTTGGTGCCCCGGATGGCTGCGGTACCACAGCTATACTCCATATGGAAGCTGACCTTGCGGTTGTCACAGCTTAGCAGGGCAGCTGAGGACTTATTCAGGTCATCCCAGACCCAGTCAAAGTCTGTAAAACGGGGGGGCCAGGTTTGTCCCTGCGCCTCCCAGGAGGGCCTGCCCCATCATCCCCTGCAGGACACTCACACTCATCCTCTTCTCCACAGCGGCAGTCCTTGCCACGGTGCGTGGTATGTGGGCTGCTGCAGAAGGGGGCCTCGCTCTGGCTCTCACAGTCACAGAAGGACTCCCCTGTCACAGGCACAGCACTGGGGATGGATGGTGGCAGGGATGAGGACTCAGGGTCAGAATCGGAGTCACTGTGCTGGAGAGAAAGGCAGCCTGTTCCCACCTGCCTGCTGCCCCAGCCCTACCAGCCCACCAAGTGCTCAGCACAGACGTGGGGACTGGCACAGCCCGACACCCCCACTTCTGCACAGGCTTTCTGGAGACCAGCCACCAGTACTACTCTCCAGCCTTCTCCAGGCATCTTCTGGGTCTCAGATGAGCTGCAGATCTGGACCCAACAAGATCTGACAGAGACCACCTGGGTCTCCCAGACAACAGTCAGGCTCCTCGGCACGGGGCCTTACCCTGTACTGGGTTGTGGTCCTCTGGTCACCAATGTGTGGGGCAGACCCTCAAGAGGCCCAGTGGACTCATGCTGCCACTTAAAGCTTATACTGTAGGAAGACTTAATCAGGACCCTGTCACCACCTTTAAGGGCCATAGTCCTGAGGCTCTGTGTCCTCGGGGCCTTATTGGCCCCGTGGTCCATCATCTGGGCTGAACTCCTCAAGTTCCTCTCCTGGAAAATCAGCCATAGAAGTCTCTGTGAACCAAGCTGCATCCCATTGATGCCACACAAGCCCTCCTGCCCAGAGGCCAGAAAGGTGTGGACAGCCTCTGTCAGTCTGAGTGGCCTCCACCTGCTCTCTGGGCTCTGCTCTGGCCTTCCTGCCACAGACCTGCAGAGCAGCCCAGGGAACCCTCTACCATAAGCTACCTTAGCCACACCATGGGGTCCTACTGCCTTGTGCATTAAGGCCAGTCTCTGCCCCAAGCCCCACCAGCCCCCTGTCACATGTAGTCACACTGGCACCTGTGCCGTGTGCCCACTGTTCCTCCCCCGAATGAAGCAAGCATGTCCCCAGGAACACTTTTCAGGTTGCCTGCTCACCATTTCTTTCAAATTCCCTGTCCTCTTCCCTTCTTGCTCCTGCTAGACCAAGAGCTCCTCAAGGAGGGCCTGCTCCCAGGTCCTATTCCAGTTACCAGGGCCTCGGACAGTGGTGCATCACCTTTACCCACATCAGATTCAACAGGGGGAGAATGGCCAACACCCTCTGTTCACAGCCTGGGTGCTGCCTGGTATGAGGCCTGCCTCCCAGGGGAAGTCACAAGGAACCATGACAGGAAGCTCAGCTGGCCTGAGATAAACAGGACCATGAGGAGCCTCCTTCAGGGCAGCTGTCCTGCCTGGAGAAGGGTCCTGCCCCACACAAAGCAGGCCAGAGGACTGCAGCCCAGTGACATAGAAAGGGACTCCCCACATCCAGGACAGGCCTACTGAGGAGCCAGGGCATGGGGCACACTGATCCTCCCCAGGGAGGAAGCAAACCTGACCTGCTACCAGCCTCAAGAACACAAAGAAAAGATGAAGGAGGTGTGTTGTTAAGCTTGCTGAGGTGCCAGAAAGGCTCCTGTCACCTGTCTACGCACATGTGCCATAGGCCCATTAGGTGACAGAGGGCAAGCAGCATGCATGTGTCACACTGCCCAGCCTCATAGCAGTAAGCTTGTGAGGCAGGGACACAGGCAGACAGATGACTCTGGGCCACGTGGTCAAAGGGAACTGGAGGCATGGCAGGAATGCAAGCAGGCCTCTCAAGTTCAGAGGCCCTGAGAAAGACTCAGGACACTGCTGGCCAGGTCAGTAAACCCATGGCTTCCAGTTCTCCTCCAAGGCCTATTGGTCCCAAAGGGCTCCAAGAAGAACCCACTCCTGCCCTGGTCACATGGTTGAGCCAGAACTAATTGCAGGGCAGCTATGGCAGCAGAGTGTAGACACCAACTCCAGCCTGATTTCAGGAAGTCAACTGAGAAACCACTCCCCCAGGGTTTCCACCCTGCACCCCACCAGGTGTAATGGCCATATAGCCTGGCTCACAGGCCTAGCTATGGCAGAGATCAATACAGGCTGCTGTCAACAGTAGTGAAGAGTCTCTTCAATCTGCCCTGGCTCTCCTTGGCCTCCCTGAGCTTAGGGGAAAGGGTGTGAAGTTTGATCTTTCAGAATCACAGTTCCTTTTTTTTTATATATATATATATATATTATAAACCCAGAACACATCTGTGCTGCAAAAGAAACATTTGAATGGATCACAGGTTAACAGCAGCTACCTCTGGAATCTGGCCAGGCAGAGGGCAGAGAACTTCTGCCGCACAGCTAACCAGAGACCAACAGCCAGTCCCTCCACACACTTCACTTGTCAAAGGAGAGGACAGGAAAGAATCTGTCTGTTCTAAGGACAGGCTGGGCGTCCTTTACCTGGCCAAAGAGCCTTACTGAGCATGGCACCCCGCAAACATGGCCAGTGCTCTGGCCCAGGAACATCTTTTTCTTTGATTCCCCATCCTTGGAGTGGCCATGCCCACCTTGCCACAGGTACCTACCTGCCCATCAGAGTCATAGCCCCGGTTAGTGGTGCCTGCCAGGGCCACAGCCCGGGCATCAGCATCCCGGCGGGCTGCGCTCAAGACAAAATGCCATGCCCTGCTACTCCTCGGACGTCTGGCCATGCTAGAGAGGACCTGAAAGAAAAATGGTTCTGAGCCAAGGAGCCAAGCACACTAGAACAAGTCCCAGGACCCCCAAGCACATACTCCTCCACTGGAACTTCCCCACTGTCTGTCAGACTGGGCCACAGACCCACCCAAAGGAGGGGCTCCAGGGCCTCAGATACATAGCAGAACTCTCCACAAGCCTGTACCTGGGTCCAGAGTCTTAGCACCTTGATCAAACCAAGGCAGACGGTGTGAAATGCCACCCAGACACCCATGATTCTGACGGCACCTCTCAGTCCACATAGGCACAGAGGCCCCAGGCCTCTCACAGCAGACTTGCTCCTCCTCCACACGGTCTAGCTAGACAAGTGGAGTCCCCGACCTCGGGTTCCTCATGCCAGAAACACAGCAGTCATCCACCCTGACACTCCCCCTTCCTGCCACACCTGGGGAGTCCTCGCTCACGGGGGACCACAGGCTCCGCACAGCTCCTCTGCTCAGCTCCTCCCGCTCCACACACTACAGCCATTGGCTTTCCGGTACCATTTTAAGTCTGCTCAGGGCTTGCCATTGTTCTGGGGGTGAAATGCAAGCCTCTACGAGGGCTAGTTCTACTGGCTGCCTCGCTCCAGTGGCCGGCTCTGCCCTGCTTTTGGTCGGATCCCCCCATGTCCCCAGCTCCACTTTCAACCCTAGGCTGCCGCCTGGACTGCCCCACCTCGTCTGGCCCCTCGGTTTGCGCTGCTCAGGAGCGCAGAACACAGCCGCGCGGTGCACGCCGAATGAATGGTCCAGGTGCCCGGGACCAGGCGGAGGGCGCTGTCACGCCCACGGCCCGCGGCCTCCAAGCTGCAGCAGGCAGGGCCCACCCGCGGTCCCAGCCCAGCCTCCCGCGTGCCGCCCCGGGGGACAAATGGCGGCGGGCCCGACCGCCCGCAAGGTCAGCATGCTGCCGCCGGGGGCCGGGCAGGCAGGACGCCGCTCACCTGCAGCCGCCACAGCCGCGCTCCGCAGGCTGTGACCCACTTTCGTCTCCGACCGGGACGTAAACAATCCCCGCCCCCGCGCTGCATTGGCCCGGCGGCTAGGCGGCCGCTCCAGTCTGGCGCTTCGCGCGGGGGCGGGCCTCTCGGGACATGGCTGTTGCCAAGAGGTTGTAAGGCCCGTCAATCCCGTTCCGATCTTCCAATTGGTCACAGCTTGAGCTGTCATACCTGAGACCCTCATTCCCATTGGACGTGGACACGGAAGTAGGTCCAGATCCGTTACGTCATCTGAGCCGGAACCTAAGGGCAATGCTCCGAAACTCCTTGGACGACTTGATTGGCTGAAGGAAGCGAGACCAGGCCTATCAAAAGGAGCCGAGGGTGAGCTGTCGTCTCCCATTGGCTCAAAGGCTCCTTACTCTGGCTGTTGGCGAACGGGCCGCGGAAGGAAACGGAAGGAACCCGAGGTCTCAGTTGACGGTGCTATGGAGGCTACTGGTGAACTTGCGGGCGAGGACCCCAGTGCGGGCCTGGGTGAGCGTGCGGGGCGAGCTTGTACCACCAAGGAGTGCCCCGCCTGCCTCCCGCACAGGCGGTAGTCAGGGACCCTGGCGCACCGTGGCCGCCCTTGTCTACGCGGTTTCTGGCGGCACACCACAGCAGCGCGGGAAAGCGCGGCTTGGAGTCCTCTAGGCAACGCGGGTGCACGCCCGCCGGGTTGTGGCTGCTCTAGGTCCTCAGAGCCTCGGCCTTCCCTTGAGAACCGGAGGCCCGGGGCTTCCTCTCCTCACCGCGGAGAGGGGCTGTGGAGGGTGTGGAGACCGCACACGGCTGTGACCGGGGGTTTCATCTGTGTCCTGCCGCATTATCAGGGTGCTACAACTTTAGCATTTTTATCGCCCGTGCACGCATACACAAGCAGGGCTGCATATGCACGCATTATAAAGTGGAGCAGCGGAGGCTCCACTTAGCGCTGGAGTGGGGGAAGGTTAGGTCTAGAGTTGGGGGGGCGGGGCGGGCTGTCCTTGCTCATGTTTCTATGGAGAGGAGCAGTGGCCCCGGTCAGAATTCAGGAAGAGGGAGTAATTTGGTGACCTTCTCTGAAGGCGCACTGAGGGCTTATTGTTCCTGGGAGTCTCGGACCTCCTGACTTCTGTTTCTCACCAGAGCCTGGGAACCTGTCTGGCGTGCGGCACATCATCCTTGTTCTCTCTGGGAAGGGGGGCGTTGGGAAGAGCACCATCTCCACAGAGCTGGCCCTGGCACTGCGCCACGAGGGCAAGAAGGTGAGGCCCCTGCCCAGGGCCAATCCAGTTGCTTCACCAGCAGCCACAGCTTACTAATACCTGCCCTGAGCTGCACAGCTTTCCCTGCTACATGAGGGTGGACACACGTCCCCGCAGCCCCCAAGCAGGACTGGTAGGTCTGTCTGCTGTTTTGTGCCTTGCCCTCACCATCAGCCTCCTTGCAGGTAGGGATCCTGGATGTGGACCTTTGTGGCCCCAGCATTCCACGCATGCTCCAGGCACAGGGCAGGGCCGTGCACCAGTGTGACAGTGGCTGGGTGCCTGTCTTTGTGGATCAGGAGCAGAGCATCTCCCTCATGTCTGTGGGCTTCCTGCTGGAGAGGCCAGATGAAGCCGTGGTGTGGAGAGGTCCCAAGAAGAGTGGTAATGACCCAGCAGGGCCATGGCTGGCAGCCTTCTGTTCTCTCCCAGCTGACCCCTTAGTGCTGAGAGTTGAAAAGCAGCAGGGCTGACGTCCTTGCTCTTGCTTAGCCACTGTTTTTGAATGAAACCAAAATCCAGCTTTGGCCTCCATCTTGGAGACTCAGCTTCTCCCAGAGATACTCCTGCTGCACATGGCCAAGCAGGCAGGCACGCTCCAGGGGGCACGAGATGAGACCCAAGGTCAAGGGCATGGCTCTGCTCCAGGGGGCACGAGATGAGACCCAAGGTCAAGGGCATGGCTCTGGTGGGTGGCATCTCCATCTCCCAGTTGGGAGGTAAGAGGTCTGCTCAGACTGTATTCACACTGCAGGTGCCTGAGGCCACCCAGTGTGGAGATGGCATTGGGACTGGGCCCTGCTTCCTCTAGACTGATTGCAGGGGAGGCTTCCAGGAATTAGCTACAAGCACAGAGCAGGGGCTGCTCCTGTTGGCCATCTCATCAGGCTTGAGAGCCTGGGTGCAGATACCCTCAGCTTGCCCTGAGCTCAGGCCTTCGTGGGGTCAGCTGCCAGCCCCGTGGGGTTGGGGTTTGGGATGAGATTGGGTGTGGAGGGTAGCACAAGAGCTTGGGAGAAAGGAGTGCTTGTGGGCGCAGGGGCAGCCTCCACCTTCCTGTTACCCTGCGAGTTCCCCACTTGTGATTGGAGCTCTGCCTCAAGCTGCAGTGGCCCCAGGGCATCCAAAGCCTGTCTGATGGAGGCTGATGAAGCCCTGGGCTAGGCAGTGAAGTCCCATCCATCTGGGCTCACGCTTTCCTTGGGTCCCTGGTCCTCATGGCACAGGCTTGCTTACCCCACCCCGGGTCTCTGCAGCACTGATAAAGCAGTTTGTGTCTGATGTGGCCTGGGGAGAGCTGGACTACCTAGTTGTGGACACACCCCCCGGCACCTCTGATGAGCACATGGCCGCCGTGGAAGCCCTGCGCCCTTACAGGCCCCTGGGGGCCCTCGTGGTCACCACACCGCAGGTACCACCACGACCCTATCCTATGCCCTCCCCACTAGGCTGGGTATTTTTTCTGCTGACAACACCCTTATGAGACTGAATTAGTGGCAGACTGGCCTAGTGGTCTTTCCTGATTTCCAGGCAGTGTCTGTTGGGGATGTGAGGCGGGAGCTGACCTTCTGCAGGAAGACAGGGCTGCAGGTTATGGGGGTCGTGGAGAACATGAGTGGCTTCGCCTGCCCACACTGTGCCGTGAGTCCTGGGACATGTTAGGGCTCTTACAGGGGGGTGGGCACCAGGGCACGTGCAGGTCAAGTGGGGCTTTGAGGAAGTGGAGGATGCTGTCACCACTCAGGCCTACTCCGAAACCCTGCTCTAGGTCTCCCTGGCCTTCAGCATGGTGAGCGAGTGACAGTGGGCCCCATGTGGCTCTTGTCTCCTAGGAGTGCACCAACATTTTCTCCAGAGGTGGCGGGGAGGAGCTGGCTCGGCTTGCCGGAGTTCCCTTCTTAGGTGAGTATTGAAGGCAGGCACCGGAGACCCGACTCCCCCTTCCTGTGGGTGCGTCTGACTGTGCTTGAGTGCCAGGGAGGGAGAGCAACAGGCATCATGACCTCGTCTTCCAGAGTAAAGCGCTGGTGCTCTTGATTGTCTCCAGCAAGACAGGACAGCTGCCCTCCACCTGGCTCCTGCTGGGGACACTGACGTCCCCACTGCTTGTCCCATGTTCGTTGGGCAATCATGAGAGGCAGGATGTCCTGCTGGGAGGGCAACAGCATGGCCCACATGTGGGCACAATGCCTGACGGCACCTCTCCATCCTATAGGCTCTGTGCCCCTGGATCCTGAGCTCAGCAGGAGCCTGGAAGAGGGCCGCGACTTCATCCAGGAGTTCCCCAAGAGCCCCGCGTTTCCTGCACTCGCCTCCATAGCCCGGGAAGTTCTAAATGCCACACCTGCTCTGCTCTCCTGACAGGCAGCCCCATGGCCGCCTGATGCTGCCAAGGGCTGTCCTCATAGCAGAGATCTGGGTGTGGGTGTGGTTCCTGTGACCTGTGCTCTGTGGACACCTGCCTGGCCCTGCCCTTGGCGATGTCTCTGTGGCATTCCAAGTGGGGCTTATGGCTGGGGTTCCACCTAATGGCCTGTGGCTGACACTGGCACAGGTCCTGGCGTTGTGGGACAGTGGTCCCAGCTCTGGTCACCTGCCCCCTGGAGGGATAGGCTGCTGCACACAGCCAAGATCCACCCTGTTCCCAGGCTTGCCCAGGACTTCACCTTCCTCAGGCAGCTGTTAATGGGGAGCCTTTGTAAGGTGGTGTACTGGCCTCAGGCGTGTACAGTGACTTTAGAAGAACCTACTATTAAATGGCCTGGTCAGCAGACGCCTTGGATGTTTCTGTCCTTAGTGGTGACAGCTTTTGCTCTCTCAAGCCTAGGGCTGGACCAGCCACAGTTCCCTTGTTCCAGGCCCCTGGAGACTTGGGTGAGACATGTCTGCGTGTTGTTTTGGGAGAGTTTGGCAAGATTTTGTGCTGTCGGAAACCTGAGGGGACATGTAGCCCTGATAGAGCGGCACACCCCAGGCCAAGGCAGAGCCGAGGCCAGAGAACTTGGGGTCAGTTGGAGCTGAAGGGGCCTTTTCTCTCTCTGGTGAGACCAGGAGAACCCTGTGTGGGAAGCAGAGTGGCAGCATGAGCGTGTTCCTTCCAGGGAAGCTCACTGCTCCCAGAGGGGAGACTGGCAGAGCTGGGGAGCACCAGGTGTGCCCCCATCTCCTCGCTGGCTCTCTGTCAGTATGCACTGCAGGGCCCCAACCACTACCACAGCTGTGTCTGGCTGCCAGGGACCAGGACACCTGAGAATACACTCCTTGGTCACAACACAATGCCCAAGATGGAGGGACATTTTGCTGAGGTTTCCAGAGGACCTGAGTCAGTGCCTATGGTTCCTCAGGTGGGGAAGGTGTCCTGGGGCCAAGGAGCAGCTGTGAAGGCGCAGCAGAGTCTGGGCCAGTGCCAGAGAATGACACAGGGCACAGAGGACTGAGGTGGTAGCTCCCGGGATGGGCACAGCTGGGACAGGACTGGATGGGAGACCACAGCCACCTCCCCTTCCCCAGGGTTAGCTCTTGAGGTCACACGGTGTGTCTGCTAGTTCACTTTAATTGTTGGCAGCTGGGACACTGCTGTGCTCCACCTTCTGGTCAGGCCCTTGGGAACATACAAGCTTGCGCCCACCCAAGCATCCTGAGCTGCCAGGACTGCTAGCCCCAGTGAATGAGCAGCCCAGGAGCTGAGGACAGTGAATGGGCAGGGCAAGCTGGGCAGGGGTGCCAAGCCAGGAGCCCTGGCTCAGCAGTGTGCAAAGTGGTCCTCGCCAACATCCCGCAGGTCGAGGCCCGAGACGTTGGCAGGGCTGGCACAGGTGATGTTGTTGTAAGTGTACCTGGGCTGGCAGTCGTCACCCTCACAGACAGCCTGGACAGAGCGGGGCACAACACTGGGGTTCTGCAGGGCAAAGTCCCTTAGCGCCTGGAGTGGGCAGCGACAGTCCCAGGGATTGCCCTCAAGCCACAGGCGCTCCAGGCCTGGAGGCTGTGGCAGGAAGGTCTGCAGGGAGTTGTTCCTGAGACTGAGGTAGCGCAACTGGCCCAGTGTGGAGAAGAGGCCCTCAGGCAGCACTTCCAGGCGGTTGTGAGAGAGGTCCAGCCAGAAGGCCCGCTGCAGGGGCCGCAGGAGGTCTGCAGGCAGGGCTGATAGCTGGTTGCCGGAGAGCAGCAGGTACTCCAGCTGGCTGAGGCCCTGGAAGAGCCCCCCGGGCAGGTGTGAGAGCTGGTTGGAGGTAAGATCCAGCTCCTGGAGCGAGTGCAGCCCTCCCAGGCTCCGCTCCTCAAGGCTGGAGATGCCACTGCGCTTGAGGAAGAGCCTGCGCAGCCCTGATAGGCCTGCGAAGGTCTGGGGGCCCAGACGGCCCAGGCAGCTGCCCTCCAGGTGAAGGCTGTGCAGTGTGGCCAGGCCCCGGAACACCTGTCCTGAGAGGGTCCGCAGGCAGTTGCCAGAGAGGTTCACAACAGCCACATTGAAGAGGCCGAGGAAGGCACCCGCCTTGACCTCCTGGATCTGGTTGTCGTTGAGCGTGAGCACCTCCAGCTGCCCTAGGCCCTCAAACGTCTTCTCTGCCAGCTGCCGGATGCGGTTGTGCCCCAGCTGCAGCTCTTCCAGGAAGTGCAGGTCCTTGAAGGTGCGAGGCCGGAGGCTGCCAATGGCATTGTGTGCCAGGCGCAGCACGTGCAGGCCCAGCAGGCCAGGGAAGGCGTCCTCTGGGAGGCTGGCCACACGGTTGTGCGACAGATCCAGCCAGCGCAGCGCCCTCATGCCCAAGAAGGCTCCAGGGGCCAGGGCTGTGATGAGGTTGCGGTCCAGGTGGAGCTTTTGCAGCCGGGGCAGCTTCACGAAGACGCTGGCCTTTATGCTGCGCAGTGCGTTCCTGCTCAGATCCAGCTCCCGCAGCTCTCCCAGGCCGCAGAAGAGCGCCGGCTGCAGGTAGGCCAGCTTGTTGCCAGCCAGCACCAGCTCACGGAGGCTGCCCAGGCCCTGGAACACCGTGTCAGGCAGCACAACCAGGCTGTTCCAGCCGAGGTTGAGGTCCCAGAGATGTGGGAGGCCCTGGAAGAGGCCCTCCTCCAGCCTGCCGAGCAGGTTGTTGCCGAGGCTGAGCGAGGCCAGGCTGCGTGTGTGCACGAACGAGCCAGCTGCCAGGCTCCGCAGCTGGTTCCTCTCCAGGTGAAGGTGGTACAGGTTCTGCAGGCCCAGGAGCGTCTGTGGCTCCAGGCCACTCAGACGGTTGCCCTGCAGGTTGAGGAAGTCCAGGTTGGACAGGTTCTGGAAGGCCGCTGGGGGGATGGAAGAGAGGTTGTTGCCATCAAGCCACAGGGCCCTGGTGCCATCTGGGATACCGATGGGCAGGTGCGTGAGGTTCCTCGAGCTGCAGAAAACGTTGAGCTCCCCCGTGTCGTCCTCATAGCTGCAGATGCAGATGGCCGGGCACTGTGGGCCCTCGGTGTCTGCCAGCACTCTGGGCTCTGCTCCACCCAGGCCACAGGGGCCCAGTGCTGTCCAGGAGACCAGCAGTGCCAGCAGGGCTGGGCCTCCTGTGGGGAGAGGGGATCTGGCAGGGTCCCCCAGAGGTGAACAAGACCCCAAACTTGCTCAGACCTCAGCTATAGCAAGAGGAGGCTCATACTTATAAACTGAGACATGGTCACCCCACTTAAATACCAATCAGAGACTAGCTGGTGGCCAAGCTGGCTCAGGAGCTGACTGCACTTGCCACCCAGGAGGCCGGCAGGTGGCAGTCCCTGACTCAGCTCCCCAGCTTCTCCCAGGCCTCATGGGCATAGCCCCTTGAGCCATGTGGCATCCATGTCCCTGAGGCATGTGCTTGAGCAGAGCCAGGCTGCCACACTGGCCCAGAAGAAGGTAGAAGAAGCCATCAGCCAGGATCTGACTGATTTTGGAATATTCTGGAGATGACCCAGACGGGGTGTCTACTTGTTGCCCTCTGTGGCTCGACAGTGAGCCAGATACCCCTACATGAGGCCCCAAATTAGGGGGCACTGCCCACCTGTTCCCCAGTTTGTACAGCCTGCATGTGGGCCTTTATCCACATTGACAGCAGGACACAGGCCTCACAGCAGAGGGGGACCCAGACTGTCCACTACCCAGGCATCAGGCCCCACTGGGCCAGATAGCAGCCTCCCCAACAAGAGTACCCAAAATCTCCTACTGGGTCCCTCCTGTCCCTGCCCTGAGAGCTCCAGGTCCCAGGTGGGGTCAGAGGCAGCACATCAGACCCCCACCTCTTGCTCCTCTGCTGTGATGAGGAAGAGGTGGCCTAAGGTGGTCCCAAGTGCCGGCTTGCTGGGGGGCTAGTCCAGGTACCCCACAGAGACAGGCAAGGAGCAAGGCAGTCTCCCACCCACCCAGAGCCAGGACCAGAGAAGAACGGAGGCTGAGAGGGCAGTGGGCTCTGGTGGGTGGAGGGTCCCAGGCAAACCCCCCATTTGGGGGTGTGAGGAGACCTAGTTCCGTTCCTGCACCACTGTGCTGGAGCTGAGCGCCATCCCTTCCAGGCCCATCTGTGCTCCCCTCCCACTCCTGAAAGTCCCCACAAGCCCTCCCAGAGCTGAGCCCTACACTCTCCCTGTGGCTGCCCCACAGGGAAAGTGGCTGGGGGTCACCAGCTGGCTCTCCCCAGAGCAAGTGGCAGGGGACGCTGGGTGCCTCACCTTCCCTGCAGGCCATCCCGCGTGAGAGCAGGCTGCAGCAGGCAGTGAGCAAGGACAGTCTGCTGGGCCGGCTGCCCCTGCCCTGTGTTTCCCCACGGCAGGGACAGCCCGCCAGCCAGCCCTGCCCCAGCCCCTTTAACCCCCTCATGCCGGGCAGCCAGTGTTAGTCCAGATCCCCTGGGTCAGAGAGTGCAGGGAAGTGGCTGGGGCCTTGTCCACCCTGAGGCCTCCTTCAGGATCTGAGGTGGGCTGTGGTGCTGCTCTGGGGGCCATCAGGTCCATTGTGTGTCCCCCATAGGTGGGATGCGCCCAGAGGTGGGGGCAGGGACACCCTGACAGCAGCCTTTGAAGGGCTGGTGCTCAAGACACGCCTGGGGGACCCAATGCCTAGCTCCTGACACTAGCTCCTGATACAAGCATGGGCCCTTGGGCAGCTCCTGGGGCACCAGGGACCCCAGGGTCCCCTGACTCTGCCTGACTGTGTTGGGTTAAACCAGTGCCACCTCATTTCCCACTGCCCCGCCCGGCTGCCCAGCATGCTGCCTGCCCTGGGGTCTCCTAACAGCCTGAGTGGGCCTTTGACTGCCTTGCTCCTTGCCTGCCACATTGCATTCGCATTCCAGGCCCAGGGGTTGTTTGGGGTCCAGGCCCAGCCTCAGCCCCACCTGTGACCTCAAGGTCAGCTAATGTCTGACCACTGCTCCTCCCCCAAAGCCTCTTCTAGGAACACCTGGCAGGGCCACTGGCCACCTTGTGTTTGCCTCCTCTGGCACTGTCCTAGGAGAGGCGGGCAGGGAAGACAGTGGGGCAGCCTGGCCTCTGAGTCAGGTCTTGTGGCCCAGCGGTCAGCCTCCACCTGCCCCCTACTTCCTGCAAGTCTCCAGCAAGGGCCTGGTCACCCCTCAGTCACCCCATTGTATGCAGACCACAGGGACGGGTACCTGGTGCCTGGCCTGCTAGAGGTCACCCCTGGGTGGTCAGGCTTTGCTCCACTCCCTGGCTTCAGGTCCCTCTTCCAGAGCCTGGTGGGTGTGGCCTGACCCACACCCCATGGCCTCCAGAAGACTCTCTTCAAGACTCTCCACCCTGCTTGGAACAGTGGGAATGAGGATGCACAGAAAGTGCCAGAAAAGGCAACACTAGGGCTGCAGAGGGGCTGCTCGGGGGGCTTAGGGCTCTCTACACACGTGCCTCCTTGTGAGGTGGGAAGAGGCCGACCAGGTCAGACAGTGGGGAGCAGGGCACTGCAGATCCTACCTGTGCTGCCCTGTCTCCAGGGATTTTCCAGTTCATTCCTCAACCTCTCTTCTGAGAAATTATAGATCCACAGGGAGAAAGTCCATGCCTGGAGCCCAGAGCGCAGTTTACACAGCCAAAGTGCGGCCTCAGCAGGCCTCTGAGGCCAGCGGCCGAGGCCTCTTCTGAGAACCCCACCCTGGCTCCCAGGTGGATTTGGAAAGAGGAGTCAGTGTCACTGTGGTTTACTTTGGGAGAGGAGGGGCTGGGATCTTCTTGTCCACTGAAGGCCAGCTTTGTATGGTGGGGACACCCCAATCAGGATTTTGGTAGCTGGGTTAGGCCCACATCAGCCTCTCAAATTCCGCGGCCACACAGGGGTATGCATGACACACTGCTCAGCCCCTGGGCTCTGCAGAAGATGCGTACCCTGCCCCGGCATGGCCCTGCTCCTTGGCAGCCGCTCTGGGCCACTAGAGCATGTCCCTGACTTGAGATCAGGGCTGTCTTTGGCCCTCAGGTGCGTGGTGACGCTAAGCATGGGCTCTGGCTTCCTCTGACATCAGAGGAAGATGCCTCTGCCTGTGTGGGATGGTTCCCAGGCAGTTCCCAGCAGTGCTTCCATGGCCAAGGGCTGTGAGTCCCGTGGGGTGCACTTGCAGGGTTCTGGGTGGTGCAGACCCAAGCACCCCCATCCTCAAAAACGCCTCCAGAGGTCTTTGTGCTTTGCTGCTGGCAAGTGAAGGGTAGCACTGTGGCTTTAATGTGCTGTATCAGTCCCCAGGGGACCCAGCGCCTTTCCAGAGGCTGGCTGGCCCTGGAAGCTGCCATGTGGGCGTGTCTGCTGGGCCATCCAAGATGTCTTTGAAAGCATGCTAGCATCTTCTCTGGCACTGTGGCTTGGCTCATGCTGGTCACCATGGTGAGAGCTCCTGGTTGTCAGGCAGCCCCAGATCTCAGGTTGAGCTCCATCCCTGCAGCCCTACAGGACACAGAGGGCTGGTTCCACAGCGTCTGTCACCAGTCTGTCAGGTCTGGGGTTTCAAGTCCTTGAACACAGACTGGACTCTGTTCTCAAGGTGTCTCAGCTGCGGTCCACCTGAGCCTTAACCGCGGTCTGCTGCCACTGTCCCCGCATGGCTCAGGTGGCCTCACTGCTCCTCCAGGACTCTAGTCACTCCCTCGGGGTTTGCATCCCTGCAGCAGCAGCCCCCTACCATGGGCCCCTCCATAGGTTCTGACTTGGGCAGGCAGGTCCTCCTTCAGGGGGTACCTTGGGCCACAGCTGGGCTGCGATCTCCCCACAGGGGATTCTGCAGTGTCTCTATTGTGACCTGTGTGTGCTCTTTAGGTTCTTTCCTGTTGTCATTACTTTGGTCCTGGGGACTGAACCCAGGGGTATTCTACCACTGAGCCACACCTCCAGCATGGCTCAGTGAAACAGGGTCTCCCTAAGTTGCTTAGACTGGCCTTAAATTTTTGAGCTTTCTGCCTCAGCCTCCAAGGTGCTGGGTCCCAGGTGTGGTTGCCGTGCTGGGCTGGTTGTTTTTGACACTCTCCGGTTATCCTTTTCCCTCCTTAACTTCATTCTCTGTCAGGCTGAAACGCTCTTCTAGAGCGTGTTGGGGTGACTTGAACATTGCTGGGCATTGCTGTCCTCCCCTGCATCTTTCCTGACATGGCTCTGTGGTGTGTGGATCCTGCGCTCAGAGCTTTTCCCAGGCAAGCGCACCAACAGCAGCCCCAGCAGACGCATGGTCCACATGGAGTGGCCAGTCCAGCTGCGGGACATCCCTCATGCCCAGCTCCTCCCATGGGGCATGTCCTGGAGGTCCACACGTGCTGGTCATGTGTCTGTGCTCTGTCCTTGTTGTGGCCAAGCTGTCCTCTCAACAGTGGCCTTCCAACCCATGAGCACAGTGCCTTCCCTTCACTTAGATTTTTATTTTGGTGATGCAGAGAGTCAGACCCAGGACCTCACTCATGCATGCACGCCAGCCGGGCAAGTGCTCTACCACTGAGCTACAGGCACATCCCCAGAGACTGGGTCTCACTAAGTTGCTGAGGTTGGCCTGGAACTGGCAATGCTCCTGCCTCAGCCCTGCCAGGCACTGGGATCCCAGGTGTGGGACTGCACCCAGCTCTGACTTAGATATTTAATAGCTCTCTGCTAAGTTTCAGTTTATGTAGTTTTCAGCATATGAACTGCTGTGCTCAAGTAGTTCCTAGGTATTTTACTAGTTTTCATGCTATTGTGAATGGAATTTTCTTAATTTTATTTTAGATATCTAGTATACAGAAATGAATTTGGTCAGGCATAGTAGCGTAACTATAATCTCAGCTACTCGGGAGTCTGAGGCAGGGGATCACAAGTTCAAGACCCTCAGGAACTCGGTGACACCCTATCTCAAAACAAAAATGGGGGGCTGGGGCTCAGTGGTAGAGCATCCCTGGGTTCAGCCCCTCGTCCTAAAAAAGTGAATTAATCTTTTTAAATTTGTTCTTTTTAAATTTAATCTTTTTAAATTTGTGGCAGTAGAGTGTATGTGACGTATTTCACATACGTGGAGTGTAACTTGTCTGGTTAGGATCCCATTCTCGTAGCTGAATGTAATGTGGAGTCCCCTGGCCCTGGACTCAGGTAGGTGTGAGCTGATCTTTGCTGATGGCATGCCCCAGGCCTCTACTCGATGTCCTCTGGCCTTGCTGCCTGCGGGGGCCCTCTGTGATGGGGCTTTGCCCTTCCCTCCCCACAGGTGGGCCGCCCGCCTGTCTCCCCTGTGCTCCTGGCAGGCGAGGCCCGGGCTTCGCCAGGGGCAGGGTGTGGTCCCAGCCTCATTCAGTTCAGTCACCTGCCATTGGCTGCAGTACCAGAGTGTGCTTTTCGTAAACACAGCAGGAGGGTAGATCTTGTTCCCCACCAGTGACGTCCATGTCCTGATCCCTGAGCCTGTGGCCACGTGAGGTTTCACTGCAGACAGGAGTGGAGACTGCTCTCCACTGACCTCGACAGAGTATTCAGGGCTCTCTGGATGAGCCCAGTGTAATCATTGGCCTGGGAAGCAGAAGAGGCAGAAGGCGGTGTATTAAGAGGCAAGGTCAGGGCTGAGCTGCTGGTGCTGGCACTGCAGATGGCAGGAGGGGCCTTGTGTCCAGGAATGCTGCAAGCGTCCTGGAGCCTGCAGAAGGAACCTGCCCTCCTGACACCTTGATCCAGCCCAGTGAGGGGCCCACATCAGCTTCTGGGCTCCAGGACTATATGATAAACCTGGTGATGTGTGGCAGCAGCAAGAGACAGAGGTCCTCAGGGCGGAGAACTCTCCTCTCCTGTTTAGTGAGGGGTCTCGCCACCATCAGGCCCTGTTGCTGCCCAGCACTTACCAAGGCGCGCTCCAGCCAGCCAACGGCTGCTTCCTGGGGCGAGTCCTGCTGGGTCATGGCGTGACGTTGCTCACCCCCGCTAGCTGAGACTTCATCAAGAGATTTTCCTATCTGTTCCTGACAGAAATCGATTTGTATTTGGTGCACGATGCCTTTCTCTGGCTTTGGTCCCAGGTGAGATATCAGCCTCATAAGGAGAGTCAGGGCTGTTCCCTCCTGTGTGTCCTGGAAACTATGAGTGATGGTCTTATCCACAGAATGTGGCGGGAAGCCATGTGGAAGGTTGAAGGCTTCCCAATTCAGTTTCTTGGTATAGATCTATTCAGATATCATTGTCCCCCTTAAGAGGCAGGGTCTCGCTAAGTTGCCCAAACTGGCCTCAAACGCCTGAGCTCAAGTGAGTCTCCTGCTTCAGCCTCCCAACTTGCTGGGGCTACAAGCACAGGCACCATGCTGTTTCATTGTTTCTCTTTAGTCAATTTGTGCTAAGAACTTGCCCATTTCATCTGATTATTTGGTATGGAGTTTTCCTCTTATTCCCTCATAAGCCCTGTCAACGTCTGTAGAATCAAGTGATTTCTCCTCTTACTCATGGTTTTCGAAATTCTGGCCTCGTTTTGCTGGCCGGTCTAGCTAAGGGTTTGCCATTGTATGGACCTTTTCACTTGCTTGTCTTTTCTGTTTTCTATTTACTAATTTGCTCCTTCCTTGTGATTCCTTGGGTTTATTTTCTAGCTTCTTAAGTGTAGCCTACATTCCTACTTGAAAACTCCTTTCTTTTCTCCAGTTGGTGCAGGGCTGGGACCACCCTCTGCATACTAGTTGGCTGTGCCTAGTTTTCCTGTTCACCACTGGCCCAGATGCTATTTAGAAACGTTTTATTTAATTTCCAAACACTTGGTATTTTTCTGAACTTTCTATTGCAGACCTCTAGTCCTGCTGGGTTAGAGGACAGCACACACTTTGTGTTAGTCCCTCCTCAGCCCCCCAAGTCACGGGGATTGCAGGTGCACACCACCAGACCCGGCTGCAAATGAACTCTGACCCCAAGGTGGCGAGGAGGCAGAGAAGGGGTCTTGTGTCCTGCCTCTGCTGTCAGTGGACTCCCAGGCATGTGTGGGTCTGAGCAGAGGTGACCCTCCTTCTGAACCCCAGACTGCTGAGGGATGGATCACTGGATCAGAGGGAGCAGTACTGGGGAGGGAGTGTGGAGGCAGGGCCAACCTCTTGCTGTCACCAGTCCCAGGCCAGGCTCTGCTGGATCCTCCAGGTTCTGACTCCTGCCCGACCTCGGGGGAAGCCTTCTTCCCAGAATCCCCACTTGGCATGGTTTGGCAGACTGATGAATGACAGCTTCCAACTATTAGAGGAATAGGTAAGCAGCACTGTAAGTACGCAAATGCCTCTGGACTGTTTCCCTTCTTCTTTGGGGTGTGCAGTACTGGAATGGCACCTGGGGCCTTAGGCGTCCAGTCCCAGAACCCTATTGGTGAGCCACACCTCAGTCCCCACACTGTGCAACTTAAACAGCTAATTGTGCTGGGCACAGTGGTACATAAACCAGCTGCTTAGGAGGCTGAGGGAGGAGGATCACAAGTTTGAGGCCAGCCTCAGCAATTTAGAGAGACCCTGACTCAAAATAAGTTCTGGGGATTAGCTCCGTGGTAGAGCACTCTTGAGTTCAACCACCAGGACCACCACCACCCAAAAAAAAAAAAAAAGTGGGGCTAGGGTTGTGGCTCAGTGGTAGCGTGCTTGCCTAGCATGCGTGAGGCCCTGGGTTCAATTCTCAGCACCACATACAAATAAATAAAATAAAAGTCTGTCAACAACTAAAAAAATATTTTTTAAAAAAGCTAATTTTGGGCTGGGGCTGTGGCTCAGAGGTAGAGCATGTGTGAGGCACTGGGTTCTATCGTCAGCACCACTTAAGATAAAATAAAGATATTGTGTCCATCTATAACCAAAAAATATTTTTTTAAAAAGTTAGTTTATGTTATACAAATTTTACCTAGATGAAAAATGAGTCTTACATTTGATTAGCAAGAAAGTTACTAAGATCCTGAGTGATCTTTTACCCAGCAGATGCCTTCCATCCCACGGTCTAACCTTCTCCCTGACGGGCACTTTTCCAGGGACACCCTGATTCTGGAGATGCTGGGAAGAGTGCGTTGTAACGTGTGCGGCCTGGATGGCGAAAAGGTGCGGGAAGGGCTCCCGGAGCCCTGCTGAGCTTGCCACCCTCCAGTGGAGGCTTCTGGGCACCTCCCCTCTGGCAGGAAGGCCTCGGAGCCACATCGGGGCTAACAGATGCCTGAGTGCCGGTTCCCTGGGGAACAGAGAGGCTCGGGGCTCAGCAGCGACCACACCAGAGCACTGCATGGCGAGAGCTGTGCTCCGTGGGAGGCAGGAGGGGCACTGCCCAGCCAGAAGGCGAAGGCGCCTGGCCCTTGGAGGAGCCTCACCCTCAGGTCTGTCATTTCTGAGCCTCTGGCCCACATCCCAACTGCTCACCAGAAAGACAGAGCCAGGGAGGAGAAGGGGCTGGGACGGTCCTTTCAGGGGCCAGTGGGGCAGGACCCTTGGCCAGGAGCTTCCAGTGGTGAACGCGAGGGGTGGAGGTGACAGTAGCTAGTTTCCACAGAGGGCCCCCAACTGGCCCTGACGTCCTCTGTGTGAAAGCTGTGATCCTAAGCCTGCGTCCTCTGTGGCTAGAAGTGCAGGTGGCTTGGGCCTTAAGCTTGTGGCTTGTGTCCGCGGTGAGGGCAAACTGGTGGGGACTGTGCCCTCAGCCCGGGGTCCCACTCACTGGGTAGCAGACACCAGGCCTCATGCAGTAGAGCAGCAGCAAAAAGCCAGCTGGACAAGATCACTTACAGCTTGGACTCCATGCTGTCAAAGCCCCTCCCTGGCCTGAGCCAGCACGATGCCAGTCCTGGTCTCAGAGGTGAAGGTCCTGATGTACACAGAGGGAGCAAGGGACCAGCCGCCCAGGACCCTGCCCCGTGCAAGGGGAGCCAGTGTCCTTCTCTGGCAACGAGGGGGACGACGAGGAGGACGTGGCACTGGCACAGGACAGCCAGTCAAGCCTGCTGCCAGAGTGTGGGCACGTGAGGCTTTCACACCGCAGAGGCTGGCAGAACAGGTGGGCAGGCACCTGGGTACCCATCCCCTGTGGGCAGGAGAGCCATTTTCAAGGGAATTTTGTTGTTGTCACTAGGAATTTAACCCTGAGGCACTTTACCACTGAGTCACACACACCCAGCCCTTTTGATATTTCTCGTTGAAACAGGGTTTTGCCAAGTTGCTAAGGCTGGCCTTGAACTTGAAATCCTCCTGCCTCAGCCTCCTGAGTCACTGGGATCACAGGCGTGACCACTACACCCAGGCTCTCATGAGTTTTAAACCTGAATGTGAAAAGAAAACCAAAAACCTTCAACTTTCCCCACAGGAGGAAATGTGTGTCCTACTTAAGTAGGACACACATTTACCACAGTAAGGAAGTCACACTGGGCCGGCACGAGGAGGGGTGCCACCCGACCAGACAGCAGGAAGCCAGTGACAGACCATCAACTCTAGGGACGCATCACGAAGGACACGCAGAACACGTGACACGAAATAGCACTCGCAGCTCTCGCTGCCAAGCACCATGGGCACAGGCAGCAGCCTGCCAGCACCTGGAGACCGAGTCCCCTCAGGACTGTCATTCCAGCAGATGACCGACCCATGGCCCAGCAGCTCCACTTCTCACGAGCCCAGGGGACCCTCACAGGCAGGAAGCTTCACTGCAGCAGGAGGTCACTGTGTCCCCATCAGCAGGGAAACTGCCTGGCACCTCCCGTGGCCACCAGGTGAGGGGAAAATGAAGCAAGTCTCAGAGGGCTGAGCACACACCCTCAGGCCTGGTGAGTCTCCCAGGGCGTGGGGCACCTGGGGGCGTGGGGCACCTGGGGGCGTGGGGCACCTGGGGGTGGGTCCCTGCATGCTGTACCCATAGGAGGAGAGCAGGAGCAGGGCCTCCCCACCACGGCTCTGGCAGTGGAGATAATGCTGCCAAGACCAGGGGTCAGAGGAGGGCGTCAGCCACAGCGCACATGGGTGAGTGCACATGGCCGTGCCACCCACAGGGTCCTGCCCCCTCTGTGGGTGCAGGAGGAGCTGGGGTCCCATCTGCATCAGTCTCTAAGAAGGCACAACTCTGTCATCGCCATGAAATTCTAGAGACATCCTGGTGTCTAGCCTCACAGCAGTATGGCCCACGTGGCCACTGCAGGGCCACAGAGCCCTCAGTGGAGTTGGGGTCTAGGCAAGCACTGTGGCCGCACCAGGAGAGCAGGCAGACAGCCAGAGCGGGCAGCACAGCCATCCACACCGCCCACAGACCTGCTGCCTGACTCCCCTGACGGGCCCCTCTCCCCAGTAAGCTGGGGGCAGTGCCCCTTCCTCCACACCACATCGTCCACATCGTCCTCCCCTCCATCTTGGGTCAGGCTGCCATCAGACATCTGGGGTTGCTGCTCCCTCTCCTCCCCGGCCCCCACCCACTGCCCAGGATGTGAATCGGGCAACCAGAGCCGGGCTAGGCCAGGCTGAGTGCTCTCCAGCCAGGGGAAGAGCTGGGGCAGCAGGGACACTCACTGGAGAGCACAGGACCTAGCCTCCTCCAAGAGGAAGGACGGTGAGTGGTAAAACCACGAGCAGGGACCACACAGGTAAGGACAGTCCTGACCTGAACCTGACAGCGGTGTGGGTGCTCAGCTAAGGCTGCACCAAGGACACCTGCCTACCACCTCAGACAGCCCCTCTGCTGGGACAGGACGAGGCACTACCCCTTAGCCTCCTGGGAACTTTCCAGGACTGGCCCACACAGCAGCTTCTGTGGGTACGGGCACAGGAGCAGGGCATACAGGTAAGTGCAGAGCCCCAAGGCCCTAGAGAAGGTGTGAAGTTGCTCTGGTAGAACAGGCAGGGACGTCCCTCTGCTGCCCCGATTCATGACAAGAACCAGAACAGACAGATGGTGGAGCCAGGGCACAGGACTGGCTGTGTCCACCTGGGCACTGCAGACCGGATGCCCCAGTCCAGAAAGGGACAGGTTCTCTGCTCAAGGAGCTCAAGTCAACTCACAAAAATGATGACACAGAACCAGGTGCCAGCGCCCCTGAGGGTGGGCTTTCATTGCTGTGGGCAGACAGATCGAGAGGCCAGGAGCAGGAAGGAAGGGCCTGAGGGCAAGCCAGCCACCTCCACTCTCCCTGCAGAGCCAGGAGGACAGGGCGGGGCCTGGCTCTGGCTGGAGACAGCCACAGGTGAAGGCCAGAGAAAATGCAAAGTCTGCCAGCAGAGGGTGTGGGAATAAATACTTTAAAACTTTTTCTCTTATAAATATGCATTAGAACATTTGTAACTCCATCTAAGGGCTCTGGAGTTGACCTAGAACCAGTCCCCCTGCAGTGCAACCCCAGGGTCGCCCACCCTCCCCTCCCGCAGTGCTGGTGCTGTGCTTCAGTCTGGCGGCACCTTGAACTGGTCCTTCTCCCTGCGGATGTAGCGCATGGTGGCCACGGGGTCAGTCTGGCCGGCATGTTGCTGCACCGTCTTCTCCCTGTGGGGGTGAGAGGCATCTGTGAGCTGCCGACTGCCCCAGCACACAGCCCACTGCCCCCAGGACACCCAGAAGAGCTGGGGTTCTGTGGCGAGGAAATTGGCAGGTGTTTCTCCACTGCAGGAGATTGTGCGGCTGCACCAGGTCCTTCCAGCACCATAGGAGGCAGGAAGCCACCATCTCCACAGGGTCCTGCACTACCCAGGCCTCCAGGCCCATGACAGCATCCCTGGCCCCAGGGTCTTGGAACCCCACACCCTTGCCAAGGTGCCAAGGAAAGCTCTCACACTTGGGAGAAGTTGCAGCCCTGCTTAATGATGCCCATGGGGCAAGCCTACCATGTGGGCTCTGGGTTGGGGTCAGCTCTTGCTGGCACAGCCACATGGGGGACCACTGTGCCCACTCACCTCACTCTCATGAAGGGGTTGTAGGTGAACTCCTCGGCGATGGTGGATGGCACCGTGGGCTCCCCAGTGGCATATTTCTCCTGCAAGAGACGCCACTATCACACTTCAAATACCCAGTGGTGATCTTCAAACCTGGTCCAAGCGAGAAGGCCCATCGGTGTGGTCACTGCAGACCACAGGCCCTGACACACATGATCCAAGGGGGGAGCTGCTGCCAGCCTGCATGTGCCCCTGCTGTCGTGGGGGAGCAGGGCAGAGGGGAAGCTTTCTCTTTCACACAGCAGAGGCAACAAGCAAAAGCACAGAGAGAGGGGTGGGCAGGCTGGGGTGTGGCTCAGGGTGGAGCTGTGCCGGGCACGCGAGAGGCCCTGGTTCTACCCCAGCACTGCAAAGAAGAAAAGAAAAAAGGCCTAAAGTCCCAGACCCCAGAAATCCCAGACCCCAGGCCCCATGTAGGAGCTGTGCAATGAGAGCACAGAAATGCACAGTCCCTAGGAGGAGGGGTGAGCAGCAGGAGGACAGGAGCCAGTGGGGAAATTGAGGCAGAAATGTGTTCTTCAAAACAATCAATGAAATCAATGACTGGCGCATAGAGAGAACTGCCAGAGTCAGGTGGCAGAGGGCCACTCCCGATCCGGCAGGCCCTGGGGGGAGGGTGGTAGGTGGTAAAAGCTAAGCTATGAAACTTCCAAAAGACAATGTGAAAAAAAAATTCCTAACTTTGGGGTAAGCAGATATTTCTTTTTTTTTTTAAAGAGAGAGAATTTTAATATTTATTTTTTAGTTCTTGGTGGACACAACATCTTTGTTTGTATGTGGTGCTGAGGATCGAACCCGGGCCGCACGCATGCCAGGCGAGCGTGCTACCGCTTGAGCCACATCCCCAGCCCCAAGCAGAGATTTCTTAAAAACAAAAAGTATGGCTCAGCCAGGTGCAGGCAGGAGGCGGAGGCGGAGGATGAGGCTGAGGCTGGAGGCGCACAAGTCGGGGCTAGCCTGGGCAACCGCAAGACTTGGTCTCAAAAGAACATCTAGAAAGGTGATGTCGATGAGTAGGAAAGTACCCCTGGGTTCGATTCTCAGAACTTGAAAGAGAAACAAAAGCCATCCTGGTGTTGCAGGAATCATATGGGAACGCACTGGACGCAGAGAGCCAGGAGGCTCGGAAGAGGAGCAACAGATGGACTCCACCAGGTTTCAGGCCTTTCCGTAAGACTGGCCTTGGATGCTGCTGATGCAGGGAAAGGCCACACAGACCCGGCGGAGGCAAGGGTGCCTGAGAGGACATCAGCATTTTCCTTTAGGTGCCAAGGTGATCCAATGAGGAAAGGACTGCTTTTCAGCCACTGAATGACCAGACACCCATGGAAGGACACCTGCCCCTCTGCCACTCCCAGCAGCAGCTTGGAGCATGCCCTGCGCAGTCCACACAAATGCCAAAGCCAAGACCAAAACTCCAGGAGAAAACCGTCTTTGTAACCCAGGAATATGCAAAGATTTTGTAGGAAACAAAAAGTGGAACTTCACCAAAAGTATCAACTTCTGTTTTTCAAAGGAGTCTGGGGAAAACGGGAAGCCACCAACTGGGAAAAAATATTTGAGCCATATATTTATATTTGACAAAGACACAAAAGACACTTATGACTCAATAAGAGAACCCGGTGTTTAAAACAGACACGAGCTGAACTTGCCCTCACAAGAGAGGGCCATGTGGAAAGATGGCCAGCTTCCCTGTAGTCAGGGAAATGGAAATGGCAGAAGCACAAGGTCCAGACGCACACCATCAGGACAAGACCCCAAAGGGCCAGCAGTGCCCACAGCTGGTCAGCACAAGCGCGATGGAACACCTAAGCTTCCAGAGCCGGGGTGTGAAATGGGGCGACCATTCTAGCAAACAGCTGGGTGGCTTCTTCAGAGGCAAAGAGACATTTAACTACATGACCCAGCAATCCACTCTCATCTCCCCAAGGGCAGTTAAAACATGGACCCACGCGAGACTTGTACACCAACTCTCTTGGTAGCGCCACTCAACTGCAAAACCTGGAAACGGCCCAGGAGGCCATGAATAGGGGATGGACAAACAACTGCAGGACCCATGCAGTGGCCACACAGAAGCAGGCCAACAGGGACCTTCGAAGCAGAGCAAGAGGACACACACTCTCGAGGACAGTCTGCTATGGGGGCAGAAAGCACACCCAGGGGGCCTTCCGGGGAGCAGCGTGCCACGTCTGCAGCGCACGCTGTCAAGTTCACCTAACCAGACCGGCCACTTGAACCAGCACTCTCCTGTAAGTGGGTCATCCTCTACGTCTAGTTACTAAGAGGCAGGAGGCAGATCTGCCTACATGTGAGAGGCCTTGGGTTTGACCCAAGCACCTGGATATGGGCACTGGCACATGCCTGTGTGTCACCTGATCTAGACCGTGTGTGATTTTGGAGCACCTTGTAAGTTCCCCCAACCTGGAAAAGACGATGGACAAACACAAGACCTGTTAAGAACAGAGTTGCAGGAGGTGGTGGCCCCTGGACTCAATAGCAGGGGCCTCGCCCAAGTCCTGCAGGGGCAGGTCTCTCCGTCAGGGCGACAGCCTGATACTCAGAAGAGGCCCCTGCTCCTGGCCCCTCACCCCTGCCCACTGCGCTGGGGTACCCAGGGCCACCACTGAAACACACCCTTCCACCTGAGGAATCCGGGGGCCATGTCTGCAGGGAGGTCCCCCACGGCCGACTCTACTGCTCTGAATGGCAGCACTGGTGTTACGCAGGCCTCCGAGGCCCACACAGCCCTCACGTGCGGCAGAGGCTGGACGGCACAGGCTCTCGGTGCCCAGCCCCAGGAACCCGAGGAGCACTACAGGACGACTGGCCCAGCCGTGGGTACCAGGCACTCACCTTGGCCCAGGCCAGCTTCTCCAGAACAGCAGTGTTGCTGGGCTCCACGTGGCGTGCGAACTTGAGGTTGCTGATGGTGTACTCATGGCCACAGTAGACTTTCTGAGGAGAGAGCAGCACCCGAAAGGAGGTGATTGCCACCCCTGAAGGTCACACCCACTTCCCCACCTGGGCACCTCACAGGGCACATGCAGCCACTAGGTACCCACAGGACCATCCCTCAGGGCTGGACGCTTCCTACACATGTCAGAAACCACTAAAAACTCCACTAAGGAGCTGCCCCTGCCTGCTTGCTCTCCTAGCACACAGGTGGGGCCTGCACGGGGAGACTGCACAGGAATCCTGTCACCCATACAAATGGCAGTTCTCCTGGGGTGGGCCTAGGACTTGGGGTCCCACAGGATGGGGGCACAGCCTACTGTGTCTGGAGGGAGCCGGCCCAGGACCTCCAGCAGCGCTCTATACATCTCTTCTGCAGTCCCTTCATAGAACTTCCCACAGCCGGCCACAAACAGGGTATCACCTGGAAAACATGGCCACCTGAGGGGGCTGGCTGGGCCTTGGGAAGTGCAGGTAGCTGGCCACGAGCTGGGCTGCTGGCCACGAGCTGGTTGCGGGCCAAACCCCACGGCCTTGGCTCGCTGAGCCTCGAGCTCCCCACACCGTCTGTCCCTGACCACAGCCTCTGCCACGTCCATACAGACCCAGGAGCCACCTCCATCCAACCCAGCACAAGACAACTCAGAACTCTTGTCTTTACCCCGAACTCTTTGCCTCGCGTCTCAACTGGCACCGAAACCAATGTCGCCTGGACCCCACCCTCCAGCTCCCAACGCACCATGGCTCTGGGGCCCTCCCAGCCCACACTGCAGTTGCCTTTCTCAGGCCTCCTCCTTCTGACCCTCCCCTCCCTTTGCAGCTGAGAGCACCCAGGGTCTTCTGCCCTGCAGGCCTCGGCCCAACCACCTCTCTTCCCTGCATACCTGGGCCCTGCACCCAGGCTGGCCCACCTTGTAGGCACCATGGTTTGGCACTGACCACTCCCACCAAGTGCACTCCCACCATTCAGAGCAGTAGAGTCGGCCGTGGGGGACCTCCCTGCTGCCCCTCCATGGCAGGCATGGCCCCCAGATTCCTCAGGTGGAAGGGTGTGTTTCAGTGGTGGCCCTGGGTACCCCAGCGCAGTGGGCAGGGGTAAGGGGCCAGAAGCAGGGGCCTCTTCTGAGTATCAGGCTGTCGCCCTGACAGAGAGATATGCCCCTGCTGTTGAGTCCAGGGGCCACCGCCTCCTGCAACTCCTGAGGCCTTGGCCTCACTGCCACAAGGTGGGTCCCAAACCCAGTCCCAAACCCTGGGCCCTCCCACAGACATTGACCAGGCAGTCCGCCACTACACCCTCCTCTCCACCACCCCTCATCACCCCTTGGCCTGAAGGGACCTTATCTCTAACTGCAGCTGCAGGGGACACCCACCACACCTGCTGTATCTGGACTGTCACCTACACTGATCCCTCCTCGGCTCAGCCAGGATGGAGGGCCCAGCATGGCTCCAGGCCCCACACGGGGGCCCATTGGACAGCCATTCCTCACCACCAGCCTCCCTGTCAAGGCCAGACAGCTCTGCCTCACCAGGACACCGTCCTGCTTGCCCCCGCTGGGGTGGGGCTGAGGCACTCAGGGTACCTGCCAACAGCTACACACAGGCCAAGGCACAAGAGCAGGCCACAGCCACCCTCCACATCACCCTCTAGCTCAGGGACAGCCTCATGAAGGGGCATCCCAAGACCACCATGCCCTCCTGATGTCTGTGACAAACCCAGGAGTTATATGTGGCCTTCCCAAGGGACAAGAGCCACGCACGCTGGGGCAGCTGCTGTGAAGCCTGGCAGCCCGCAACAAGGGCCACACAGTCACCCAGGAATCCCATCCCATGCTGCCTCTCGGCACAGCCATGCGGCAGGTCTCTGTCCCCTGTTTCAGGGCTGGCCCAGAGCTGACATGGCCCAGGGTCCCTGCCCTGCACCACACACTACATGTGGGGAATCAGGAATCTAGCAGCTGCATTTACAAACAAGCGCAGAATAATCTAGAATAATCATGGACCTTCAGGAAAGCCAAGGAGACGGCAGATGCCCCTCTACCCCTCATTGGGCGCTTCCCTCAGCACAAGGCCCACATCACCCTAACACCTCCGCCGCCGACGCGGCCGCAGCCCCACTCCTGGCCCCAGCCAGGCTCTATGAAAACCTCACTGTGGTCACAAAGCCAGGGCAGAAATCTCTGCAGGAACCAAGACTCAGCACCAGTCACTGACAGAACCAGAGACAGGGCTAACCAGCACCATGGCCACCCAGCGCTGGCCATCCAGGCTGCCCTGGCTCAGGCTCCTGAGCAGCACCATACTCTTGGCTTGGCCCCACAGTGACCCCAGGAGCCTGCTGTGTGCCACCCTCAGGCAGTATTGGCTGCATGGCTGAGGCCAGGGTGCCGTGCGTCCTCAACAGCAAGTGACACAAGCACAGGGCAAGATGCTCAGGTGTACCTACAGCCAATCCACATGCCCAGTGCAAGGAATGGACAGAGCCACCCCTCTGCCCTCCAGGGGCCAGGAGGACATGTCTCTATAGGCAGGAGCCCCCATAAAACCTGGCTGCTGCTCACGTGCCCAACTCGGTGGCTTCCATCACCATCTAGTCAGAAGATCTCAGTGTCCAGCACTGGAGGTCAGTATGTAGGACATCTGGATCAGACTGCAGTCCCACCATGCTCTGGGTCCAGCCTAGCCCAGCCCACAGGGCTCATCCAAGGGATGTAAAAGGAGCACTTGGCAGCCCTGGAGTCCCCCTCCTCAGGGACTCCCTGTGCCCAGGCCATGCCCACTTGTCTGTGCTGGAGGGCTGGGGTGTCCCTGCCAGACGGCCTTCTCAAAGTGAGGCCATTTCCCCAGCACCTGACAGCAGCAAGCGTGGCGGGGATCTGGTCCTGAAGGTGTTCCCACTCCCAAGCACCCATTGGCAGCCCAGAATGTTTGGAGCCCAGCCTAGGCTCCACCCTGAGGGCTGTAGTCTTCTGAGCACTGAACTTAGGGCCAGAGAAGGAAAGTGGTCCCTGCAAGTCTGCCTGGTCCCTCCTCACTCCTCAGGCTCACCTGTGAACACAGCAGGGGGATCCGGACCACCAGGCTTGCTCACCAAGTAACAGATGTGTCCTGAAGTGTGGCAGGGGGTCGATAGGCATTTAACATGGAGACTCCCCACCTGAAACAGCAGGCATCAGCATGAGACCCCACGATCCCTCTTTCCAGGGGGTCAGGGGCAGGCGGCAATGCTATTTTCACAAGACCCATCCCCAGCACCCAGCCTGCTCAGACCTTGTGCTCCACAGACATCTGCAGAGCTGCCCACATACAGAGTAGGAGATCCAGGGCAGGGGCAGTGGCTAAGGGACTCCGTCCTGGGGCCTAGCCCTGCATGCAGGGACCACTCTGGAGTGATTGCTCAAGGGCAAAGGGGCTTATTTTGTTCAGACCTTCAAAACCAGGCGATCTTCCAGGGAGAGCGCTCTCCTGCCACCCACCTCCCCAGTTCCTAACTTCAGAACAGTGGGATTCATGGCAAAGCCAATAGGGCAAGACACCCGCAGGAGTTCCCATCGGGACCTCTCATGTCCACTCTCCACATCGGTGTGGGCACTCGCGGCTGAGCTACTGGAAGCTGTCTGGATCCTGGCACCCCTCCACACAGCCCATCATCATGCATCCAAGAGAGCTCCATGGACCCCAAGTCCCTGTGGCCCAGGGCTGTGCTCCACAGCCTCCTAACACCAGGGACACACTGTGCACACACTGATTTCCTGCTAATTCCCGAGAGGGAAGACTGTCCAAGGGCAGACAGACTGGGGCAGGCACAGGGAGCCCCAGGCCCAATCCCAAGGACGCCCAGCCCTAGCACCTTTCTGAAGATCCTCCCTACCTGCAGAGTGAACAGGTGAGTGACTTTGTGAGTCAGGGCCCCGATACGGTCGTCACCCCCATACACCTTCAGCCCTGGCTCCAGCTTGACCAGCTTCTCGTTCCCGCCAGCGTGGTCCCTGGAAGTTCAACAGGAGGCTGGGCTACCTGCCGGGTGCAGAGTCTGCCTGCTGCCTTTACACCCCGACCAAATGGAAGTTCCATTTTTCCAGGTCTGTTCCTCATAAGAAACATACACCTTCCAAAACAGGAAAGGCTCCCGTCTGTGGTTGGGCTGCACTGGAAAACCTCTTCAGACACCCAGTTCATGAGCAAGGCACCCTGTGCCCTGCCCATTACTGCTGCTGAAGCAGAGGAACAAATCACCTGGATGACCCCTTCCAAGGCACTGGGGCTCCACTCCCAGCCACCTTCAGGTGCCACTGGCCTGGGCAGCCGGGGCAGTTGTTCTGGAGGTTCCCCAGGTGATTCTAAGGTGCACCGAGCTCAGGAGAGCTTCCTGAGGAACCTCTGGCTCTATCTGTGGGCAGGCCAGCCACAGTGCTAGTAGTAACAAGCTGGAGGACCTCCTGGCACTCCTCAGGGCTCCCACGGTTCCCCAGAGTCCTCTAGCCTGCACTTGGCAAGGGGGCAGCAGAGGGTTCCACTCTGCACCCATCCCAGGCCACAGTGACCCCACTGGGACCATCCCCATGCCTGGGTCAGACCTCACTCAAGGCTGGGGCATTTGCCTTCCCAACTTCAGGGAACATGGCCTCCTGATAGTCCAGTGGTCATCATCCCCACCTCGCTCCATGTCCACCTCAGAGTCCACACCCCATGAAGACTCCAGCACCCAGACAAGAATCCTCTGCCCAGCAGGCCCCAGGTAAGGGTGGAACAGCTGTCCAGCCCCCCTGCCCCCCACCAGCACCCAGGCCAGGGAGCCACCAGCTCCTCAAAATGCTCTCATCACTGATCTTTTACCACCGAGACAAGAATAGTGCTCCCTGCATGAGGAACAGGCCCATCCCCGAGCTCCATCCAGGGTTTGGTCCTGGCCTAAACTTGAGAGGGTGTTGGAGGAAGCCACGGCATACTGCAGCGCCAGCAAGAGTCTCTTGGAGCGTGGACTGCCTGGCGCGGGCAGGGCGCAGAGTGGGAGGCCTCCAGGCAGCAGCACAGGCCCCAGCAGGGCCCTCAGAGGTGGGGGCGCCTGCAGCAGGGCAGCCATGGCACAGGGCATTCAGCAGCACAGGCCAAGAGTGGGGTGACTGGCACCCACCCTAATGCAGGGACCTCTTTGGGACTCGGAGGACCCTGGCCAAGGACTCTGCGTCTGAGCCTTGTCCTCCACACTTGGCTTACATCAGCCTAAGCCCTGGGTGTTCAGGGGCCCCATCCAGGCTGAGATGCCTCAAGGAATGGGTTGAAGAAAAAGGCACTAGATGCCCTCACATGGTCACTTGGAAAAGAAAATTAACAACAAAAGAAACATTTCTTCTACACTTTAAGGGCCTCAAAAGCTTCAAAAGACCAAAAAAGAGGGCTTTGGGTAGGCGACTCTACCCCAAAGACCCAAACACAGGCACTTTCCCCAGTTTTCAGCTTCCAAATATTAAAACAAAACAAACAGAAAAGCAAAAACACTCTTTTTTTTATTTAAAAAAAAAAAAAACGAGTGGCCGGACATTGTGGTGTATGCCTATAATCCCAAGAACTCTGGAGGCTTAGGCAGGAGGATAGCAAATTTGAGGCCAGCAAGGGCATCTTAGCAAGATTCTTTCAAAATAAAAAAGCTGGGGATGTAGCTCAGTGGTAAAGTCCCCTGAATTCAATCCCCAGTACCAAAAAACAAACAAACAAACAAACAAAAAAACACCAATATCTAGATTCTTTTCTTCCCTAACATGGAGACCCACGTCCCATTTCAAGCCCAAGAGATATGAAAGACAGCCACTGGGCACCCTCCTGTGGTCCAGAAGCCAGACTCCTAGACACCATGAGTGAAGCAGCCCAGAGGACACAGGCCACAAACATCTCCCCAAGGGATTGCTCCCTCAGCAGACCCACCACCCAGGGCCCAGAGTCAGTGCCTCCCAGGCTCAAGGGCAAGAGGGCAGGAACCCTGGTGCCTTTTCTGAATCCTCCAGGGATCCATCCTCATGTGCACTGAGCCAGCCCCTGCCCTCCTCAAGTGAGTGACACACCCCCATTGCCACCACAGGCGCCTCCAGAGCCAGAAAACCAGCCTGAGGAGCCTAGCACTTACCAGTGGTGGTGTGTGGTGAGCACCGTGGTCAGCTTCACACCATACTTTCTCACGGTTTCTACAACCTGCAGCCACATGGGAGGCAGGACGGAGGCTGGGTCACACTCCTGGCCTGGCTTGCCTCCTGCAGGGTGGGTGCCTAACCCCCAGCCCAACCCTGCTGGCTGACCAACTCTAGGACAATAGAGGAAGATGGTCTTTTTCTCTTGATCAAGCTGGAGCTCTTGGTCCTACTCACCACCTCCTCAAATCCCTCCAGCTGAGGTCAGCCTCCCAGAGACAGCACCAAGGGGCAGAGGCAGGAGGAACAGTCATGTCCAAAGGACCCATGTACTTGCCACATGGGGCCCGTGGTCTTCTCCACCCCTCCTAATGCCCCCTTAAGAGAGTGGCTGGACACTAGTTTGCTTTCAAAAATTAAATGGGCTAATTTCCACTCATCTTCAGCAGAGCTACAAGGACACAGTGGCTCTAACCCATGGGGATGAAGACAGGGTACTGGGTGACAAAACACAGGGGCCTGGGCACAGCCTCGCACCTTCTGGGGCTGCACAGGGTCCACAATGGCAGCCTCCCGGGTGTCCTTGTCAATGATCAGGTACATGTAGTTGTCGGTCAGGGCAGGCAGTAGCTCAACCTTCATGGCGCTCTGTTCCACAGTCAAACTCTTCCTTAAATCTGTGTAATACAGGAGGGTTCCCAGCAGGGCTGGGCCTGGAGACACAGGATGCAGCCTCAGGTCCTCAGCCTAAGGGCGGGCACACCAAACAGACTTCAAAGGAGCCGCACCCCTTCCCACTCCAAATGAACTCAGGGCCTTGCAAAGCAAGCACTGAACTATCTATCACCCCTGCAGGGTTTTAATTTTATTTTGAGAAAGCATCTTGCTAAGTTACTGAGGCTGGCCTGGAACTTGCAAGTCTCCAACCTCTGCCTCCTGAGTGGCTAGGAATACAGGCCTGTGCCACTCTTGCCCTTTTTTTCTGTGTTTGTTTCTGTTTTTGTCAGTATTGGAGATTGAACTTTGGGGTACTCTACCATTAAGCTGCATCCCCAGTTCTTTTTTATTTTTTGTTTTGAGACGGTTTCACTAAGGTGCTTAGGCTGGCCTTGAATTCGTGATCCTCCTTCCTCGCCTCCTAAGTTGCTGGAACCACTGTGTGTACTACTGCACCCTATTGCTCTTTGCTGGCTTTTTAGAGTTCCTCAGACAGAGAATGTCCTGGTTCAATCACATCCACAAGGCAAATGTAGAAAATGACTCGTGCACACACTGGTGGAAATTAGCTTTCTCAGACTTAGATCTTTATTTTCTCTTGAGGGTTCTAAATAAGACAGAACTGCCAACTTGCGGTGTGATGCAAAACACTGTCAAACAGGACTACTGCTGACCCTGGGGAGTTGACTCAGGAAGAATAGGGGAAGGGGAGGCAGAAGAAGGGTACCAGTGCCCAGCTGTGTACCCTCCAGCACACCAGCTCACCTCCAGAGAGAGCTCAGTCCTATGCAGTCATTCACAGCCCTCAGGCCTCCAACTGAAGGAGAAAAGAGCATTTGCTCCCAAATGGCAGGCACTAGAGATGTGGAGAATGCACCAGACACCACTTCCAGGGGGACAGATCTGGTCACAACCACTCAGGATTCAAGGGTGGGAGACACAGAATCATCATTGAAGTGAGCCACAGAACTCTGACTGGCTGGGCCAGGAGGCCACGAGAAGTGACAGGAACAAAAGCATCCTCCACTCAATGGACAGATGTCAAAGTACTTTTGGCAATGAAACTCCCATTAAATGTAAAAATACATGGGGCCCCAACACTTTAAGTCATATTTTTAGAGTAGGAAAATATAAGGAGGGACAGTGGGATTCTAGGTAGATGTTGCTCCAGGGGCCATCTAAATATGAGGTTAACTTTATTTGCCAGGGCCTGGGAAATCTTTCTTTCTTTTTTTTTTTTTGGTGGTGCTGGGGTCGGAACTCAGAGCCTTGTGTGTGCTAGGCGAGTGCTCTACCACTGAACTCCAGTTCCCCTTCTGGACACACTATCTGGGAATTTTCCAGATTCATGCTCAGCAAAATAAACATTTTGTCTGATTATTTTTTTGTGACATTCTACTTCCCCCAAGTCCCAGCACTATTCAAGCTACCAGAGGACATCAGAGTGAAAACAGGACTGGTTGGGGGGGATGCTCAACAAGGACCTATTTTTACCTATTTCCTGGTAGAACACTCCAGGCAAAAACAGTGTCCCCGTAAAGGAACACTGTTTATAGCCGGTGTTCAACCTGCTCTAGACACACACATATCTTGTTGGCAAGTTGAAGAACATGCGTTTATTCCTAAGGAAGGAGTTCACCAGGCACCGGCACCACCAGAAATCCTACTCCTTTTCCACAAGTACCGCTCTCCCAACACTGCCTGGAAACCGCTTCCAGCTCACCGGTTTGCACCTGGAACGTTTTGCACGAGCAGAGGTCACGGGCTACAGCCTATGGTCTGCGCCAAGTCCGAAGACATGTTTTGTGTGGCCCACAACATACTTGAAGGCGTTTCCCAATACCGCCTCTCTGCACCTGTGCGCACCTGCCGCCCCAGCGCATGGGTTAGGGGCTCCGATGCAGCGCTCCGGGGACACCGCGTCCCAGAGGTAGAGACTGCGTCCTGAAAACCTCAATGGGCAGGCTCCTTCCTTAGCAAGGGTGTGTCACGCACTGTGGACCTGGGAGGCTGCCGCGGGACTGGGACTCGGCTGGCAGGCTGTTGGCCACGGCGCGGCGGCCCGCGGTCGCCAGACGCCGAGAGGGGAAGATCTGTAGGCCAAGACGCCAGGTAGGCTCGCCCGCGGGCTAACGCAGGCAGGAACGGTTGTGCCCACACCCTCACCACGCCCGGCCCCGCCGAGGCCTGGTGGCCGCGTCCGCTCCTCGCCGGACCAGCAGTCTCGGCTCCTTGCCCCGGAGACGGCGTCGGCGCGCCCGACCAACGCCCAGCACAGCGGCGCCCCGGCCCACCTACCAAGGCCGCGGCGCGCGCAGGCGACTCCCAGCGCGGCGAGGCTCCGGCAGCCGAACAGCCTGCGGCCGAGCACCATGACCTGCAGGGCTGCACTGCCCCGCACGGGACCGCAACGCCGGCGTCGGCAATTGCAGCCAATCAGCTCCCTTTCGCACCACTCGACCCGCCCCCACCCAACAAGCGCCTGCTCTGCGCCGCTCCGTCTCCAAACAGGTCCCGACTCTCCCTGCCCCGCCCCCAGCCAACCAGCACTTGCCTCGCCCCGCCCCGCCCCCACCTCAGCCAATCAGCGCGCTCGCTTTCAACTTCTTCCCTCCCCGCCGGGCTGCTGAGGGCCGGAGGCGGGCCCGTGAACGGGTGCCCGAGGTAGCTGGGAAGTTGTGTCCGGTGCTTCCAGTCTCTCTGGGGCCCGGGCCGGCATCCTGACGTAGCCACCGGGCGCGCCCCGCAAGAGCAGTGCAAGGTAGGATAGGGCGTCGCCGACGGGACAGCGTCCTGAAGCAGCGCGTTCCCTCCAGGCCGCCGTAGGCGCCGGAGCCGGTGGCCACGTGACCTAGGGCTGCGCCATGGCTTCCCCGAGGCCACTGTCCCGCTTCTGGGAGTGGGGTAAGAACATCGTCTGCGTGGGGAGGAACTACGCGGACCACGTCAAGGAGATGCGCAGCGCGTTTCCCAGCGAGCCCGTGCTCTTCCTGAAGCCGTCCACCGCTTACGCGCCCGAGGGCACGCCCGTGCTGGTGCCCACCTACTGCCGCACGCTGCACCACGAGCTGGAGCTGGGTGTGCTCATGGGCAGGCGCGGCCGCGCAGTCCCGGAGGCCGCCGCCATGGACTACGTGGCCGGCTATGCCCTGTGCCTGGACATGACCGCCAGGGATGTGCAGGACGAGTGCAAGAAGAAGGGGCTGCCCTGGACTCTGGCCAAGGGCTTCACGGCCTCCTGCCCGGTCAGCGCCTTCATCCCCAAAGAGAAGATCCCTGATCCTCACGCACTGAGACTGTGGCTCAAGGTCAATGGGGAGCTCAGGCAGGAGGGCGAGACATCCTCCATGATCTTTTCCATTCCCTACATCATCAGCTACATTTCTAAGATAATAACCTTAGAAGAAGGAGATCTTATCTTGACCGGGACGCCAGAGGGAGTTGGGCCAGTTAAAGAAAATGATGAGATCGAGGCTGGTATAGACGGAGTGGTCAGTATGAGGTTTAAGGTGGAAAGGTCAGAATATTAAGTACACAGAGCGCCTTCGCTTCCTGTCGGGAGGGAGAGAAGGGACCAAGACAAACAAGTAAAGGTTATTAAATGTGACTATCTTTTAATAGAAACTATTTCTAAAGAATGATTCGATTGGGTTGCTAAACCTCAGTCAAGAAAAATGGACCCTTTGGAAAAAACATGATCTGGATAAGCTGGGACAGAATTAGAAACAACCAAAATAAAGTGATGCTTTCCACCAGGAGAATGTATTGAACCAAACCTTCAGAGGTCTGTTTCCTGAACTGAATAAGACTTTTCAGTGAGTCTTTCCGGGATCAGTAGTTCAAGACTTAATATCTGCGAAATCATGTTCCAAGTTCCTTGGGACTTGACAGTCATCTAGAGGCATGTGTGGAAATAAAAATTCCCAAATTTACTGTCCCATTCCAGACTAGCTGAATCAACTAATGGAATTAATCTCCAGGGAAGCTTTTTACAGAGCACTCCAACTGATTCTTAACAGGGAAACATGAAAAATACTACTCCTTGTAATCAGTTAACTTAGTTTTATTTGTTACTGACCAGTTGATGAAGACTGCTCCTGTTTACTTTAGGTATCTATACTGGTCTATAGATTCTAAGTTTGGGAGATGATTTTGAAATTACTGTTTCCAAATAAATGTGCTGTATTTGGTGTGGCCTAAAAGTGTACTTGTTTCCCTAGCAGGGCTTCACACCTTGTTCTTTGACCTTTCACCTCCTGAACACTGCTCTAATGATTAACTGGCACCCCCACCTCCCACCTCATGACCAGAGGAGGAGGCTACAGAAGTTGAATGATCTGGGAGTGCTACTGCACCTTTTTGGATGAGCAAGGCAGTATGCACAGCATGACTTTAATAAGGCCCATGAGTCCTCTAGGGTTAAACCGGAGGACTAGTGAACACAGAAGGTATTGGCTGACCCTTGGGGAAAGTTTAAGACATCTACTTTAATAATAATTTATTGAGCACTCAGTACTGTTGGGTATTATGCCAAGCATTATTTCATGTTCACATGTGACTGTCAAGATGTGAGGATGGTATTATTGCTACTATCCCTGTTGTACAGACAAAGACAAAGATTTAGAGGCTAGGAAGCCTGGCTAGGGTCACTCTGCTGAGTGGCAAAGCCAGGATGTAACCCAGCTGTCCCAAGCTGAGAACTTGGAAGTCTTAACCACAATCAGGCTACATCTTGTATGTTTAAGCATATAAGATTAAAACATTTAGGTATTATACAATCCTCATGTTTAAGTTATAATTTATGAGGATGTTCCATAATAATTAAGTTTAAATGTCATGCTATCTTAACTACTTTTATCTTTTTAATTGTTTTTTTTTAATTGCTTAGCAATGGATGTTTAATAAAGAATATGGAAAACAGGTAAGCAAAAAAGATAGTACATTTTCCTACCCAGAGAGAGCCAAATTAAATGGTGTATATTCCAAATCTGTAAATGTACTTCTTGAAACAGAATTTGCTCACAACATACAATTTTCTGATTTGCTTTTTGCACTTTAAATGGTGACTGTCCTTTTCCATATCAATGAAGACATTTCTGCAGTACTGTTTTCATTGATTATGTATGATTCTAAGGTTAGGCTTCTGGTTTTGGACATGGTGAAATCAGCATATTTGTTAATCCCTTTGGCTAGGTTCCCACAAGTGGAAGGGTCTGGTCAAAGGGTATGCTCATGTCAGTCTGGCTGGCAGATACAAGGTTCAGTTGGAATGTGTCCACCAAGTCAACAGACATAGAAGCAAGCTGATGGCTTAAGGTGGGAACAGTGCTCACATGTTACTCCTGGACCAGCACAAGCCAGTGCCCCTGGGGCAGTGTTCACCAAGTAGTGGAGCAAGCCTTGCCACAAATATCTGACATAAGCATTGAAAGCACAGCACTTAGTCTTTGGATGTAAGAATCAAAAACTGAGTGGTAGTGGGCTGGGGTGGTAGCTCAGTGGCAGAGTGCTTGCCTTGCACGTGTGAGGCCCTTAGTTCAATCCTCAGCACCACATGGAAGTACATAAAATAAAGGTTAAAAAAAAAACTGCCTAAATCCTATAATTTCTGAGATTACTAAAGGAAACTTAACACCCAGAAGGTACATTTTTCTTCAACTTGAAATAAATTTAGACCTACAAAAAAGTTGAAAAGCTAATAACAAAACCTTTCACTAAATTCAACAATTGTCATTTGTTAATCACACTTAAGAAAATAATTACATAGTGTATTATGTAATGTATGCTTTAAAAAGCCAGGAATGGCTGGGCATGGTGGTGCACACCTGTAATCCCGGTGGCTCAGGAGGCCAAGGCAGGAGGATTGCAAGTTCGAGACCAGCCTCAGCAAATTGGCGAGGCCTAGGCAACATAGCAAGACCCCAAGACCTCTGTCTCAAATTAAAAAGTAAAAAAGGGATGAGGATGCAGTTGAGTGGTTAAGTGCCCTGGATCCAATATCTGGTACCAAAAAAAAAAAAAAAAGAAAAATCTTTTGCACAGAAGCCTGGGATCCTTTAGGGTACCTAGCAGATAAAAACATGCCCTGTGCTCCTGTCATGTATAGAATATGGAGCCATATGCCACCCCAGCAGAACCTGCAGGGGAATCCTAGGACCCCCCCCCCCCAATTTACAAAAAGCAATGTGAAACCTACAAGTCAAAAGAGGCTACTCTTGGAAAGAAGCTCCTGAGGGGTACAAGGGAGTTGGCAATGAGATAGGGGTGTACTTGAGTTAACGTGGAGTGTGCATTTCTTCTACTTGGTTTGGTGCCTGCATTCTGGCTAATCTACAACTGAATTTCAGGTATTGACTAGTTTGTAATCTTCGTTTTGTAAATGTGTAAACTTTTCAAAGCGCCTCTGATTTGGTGTGGCTTGATACTGAACTGGAAAATTCCTACATCATCAGATTAAGCCATCAAGGCTGTCCCTTGAGTGACAGGGGCAAGGGGCTTTCGCAGCTTGGTGCCCGTGGCGTTGAGAAGGTAAGTTAGAGCCCTCTGCTGGCCATGCTAGGTTCAGCTGCTGGGAATAGTATTTCCCTTGCGCCTGTACTGGGAGCCTCTCTTCCATGCAGTGGAAACCAGTGATGAGACAGCTGGAGAGGCTCAGGCCCACAGGCCTTGGCTTGAGGCCTGGTGCTTCTTGACTGCTGTGGGAGGTCATCGCGCCAGGACATGGCCCAGCAGCCCTGACACCACCTGGGCAGCACCTTCCTGCCTCCTGCTCCGGTGGGTGGGTCCCTGTTGGAGGGCATCCATGCCCACTCTTGCTTTACCAGCAGCCTCACTTCTCTTCCCTGTCTCCTCCTCCACCACTCTTCATCCAGCCTTCCCTCTCCACCCTCCAAACAAACCCACATCTCCTCCTCACAGGAGAACAAGAGGGAGTTCTTCATCAGGCCCATTTTACACAACTAGGTCAAACCCTTTACTACCTCACTTACTGTCTGGAGTTGGGTCCACTACAGGTCAACTGATGTCCTTCCTCTGTGACTGCATACAGTAAAAGCCAAAGAAAACCTTAAGACAGGATCAGTTTATCTCCCAACACCAACTTGGCAAGTTGTATATACTCACTTTTCCCTTTCTATTCAATCCTGTGGTGGAGGATGTGTGGCCTTCTGAAGTGCCAAACCCAGTGAGGGGTAGTGGACCCTCCCAGGCTGTGGGCAGTGCCGACTAAGATGGGGTCTTCACAGGCAGGGGCCGGAGCCTAAAGCTAGAAGTTCAGATTGGTGTGGAGCGAAGCAGTGTGCTCTGGGGCTCTTCAGGGAAAACAGGTCCAAGGTGGCCATGGCCTGAACGTCATGAGTAGGTCCCCCTTCAGAGCTCCTGGGTCTCAGGCACTGCTGCCAAAGCTTCTGAAGTTGGTCTCCTCCCTGCTGATTCAGGCTCATAAATGCCAAGGTTGAGGCCACGAGCCCTTACAGCCTGGGTAACTCCAGTGTGTCATCGCTGAGGGCGAGGGATTAGAGAAGCTTGGTGGCAATCAAAACCCCCACTCCTGCTCTTCCCATCAACTCTGGGAGCCCCTCATTGTCCTGTCAGGACGAGCTGTGGCCCTACTCAAAAAAGGCATTTTGAGAGTGTCCGATCTTTTTCCAGAGAACCAAGACAAGGTAAGGCAGCCTAAGAGAGAAGATCATTCACTTCTGCAGAGTGAGTGTATTTATTAACCCACATAAACATTCTCCAGCATGGGGCCAGGCAGAGTCAGGAGAAACAGCCTCCAAGGAGTGAGTGCAGGTGAGCGGTCAGACAGGCCACAGACCAACTGCACAGGGAGCACAGGACAATCATAGAACTTCTCGCCACACTTAAACAACACGATTTTATCTGTAACCTTCAAATTAGCATTCCATTTTAAAGAACAGAAACTCCTACACTTTTCCAGACTTTAAAATGACATTGGGTTTTACGCATGTCCTTGTCCAGACAAATTCCTACTTGCCTCAGCAGGATCTGCAAGCTTACATGAGAGTATGCTGATTCTCAGTCCACCCCTGGCTCTGTGCGACAAACCAAACTGGAGGGAGGAAAAGAGAGGGTTAGTTTTAAACACTGCCTTGAATATAAAATTGAAAACCAGTCACTACAAATTGAGAACTAAAACAAAAGTTTTGTTTACTATGTTAACATAAACTTCAATTAGAGCTGGGCACAGTGGTGCAGGCCTATAATCCCAGTGCCTGTAGAGGCTTAGGCAGGAGGCTTGACCGTTTGGGGCCAGCCTGGGCAACGTAATGACACTTTGTCTCAAGAGTACAATTTTTAAAAAGAGCTGTGGATATAGTTCAATGGTAGAGTGCCCCTGGATTCAATCTCCAGAACCCAGCCAAAACAAAACCCAAAAAACACTTAATTAGGGTTGTCAGATGATGGAAAGATCTAGTCCCAGGCAGAGCAGAGGAGAGAAATTATGGGTCTGGTTTCTGCAATGGCTTTGTAAAATCGACTTTCCTTTTCATGTCACTTCTCTCAGGGAGGAAAGTTGGTATTACAAATCCCACATGTAGAAAGAGAATTTACTGTGTGTTCAGAGTATCAATGGTGACAGACTGCAGCAGAGACATCTGTTAGGCCAACTGGGAAATGAGTGATTTAACAGTAATGTCTTATTTCTATCATTTATAAGTACTTTCACCAACATTGCATTTAATATAGAGTGGAAGGACTTAACCTCTTTAATTTCAAAGGCTAAGAGAGAAAAATGTACCAACTTCAGGAAAAACTGAAACTGTAAATGGGCAGCAAAGTTAACTCCCTTCAGGGGAGGCCACCTTGGTCAGGACTGGCAGGGGACCTTTAGAGCTGTCTGGCTCTATCAGGGCTACACCCACCACTGCACTGGCTGAGCCTTCTCTGGCTGTGGGTCCTGGCAACTGATTGTGATAGAGGCCCCACTTGTTAGTGGGGCCTACTGAACCTTATCTGGGAGAAGATGATTGATTCTGCCTGTGGAAGAGAGTTTGCATCTGCAAACCCAAACCCAGTTCAGCATTTCTGATTGTCTGCCTATGTCTGTCTTTCTGATTCTACTTTGAACTATATTTTTAAAAATATTTTTGTTCTGGTTGTAGATGAACACAATAACTTTATTTACTTTTATGTGGTGCTGAGGATCGAAATCAGGGCCTCACACATGCTAGGCAAGCACTCTACCACTGAGCAACAACCCCAGCCCCTGAACTCTTTCTTTCTTTCTTTTTTTTGTACTGGGAATTAAACCCAGGATCCTCTACCACTGAGCTACATCTTTTAATTTTTTTTGTTGTTATTGTCGTTTATTTGTTTGCTGGCCTTGAACTTGTGATCCTCCAGTCTCAGCCTCCTGAGTCACTAGGATTATAGGCATGTGCCACCATGCCTAGCTTGAACATTTTTTTTTTGCATCTTATTGGTCCCTTCATTAATTAATGAGTTAAATCTTTGGCTGTGTTCATTTTATTTTTATATGAGAGTCATGGTTTTACTTTTTTGAAAATTATTTTTTAATACTAATACTAGACTAAATGACTTAGAAAAATACTTTTTTTTTTTTTTTTTTGGTACTGGAGATTGATCCCAGGAGCACTATACTACTGAGCTACATCCCTAGTCCCTTTTGCCAGGACTGGTTTCAAGCTGGCAATCTTCCTGCCTGAGTCTCTGAAGTAGCTGGGATTACAGGTGTGCGCCATTGCTTCCGACTTACCATGTGGTTTGAAACCCTAAAATGAATACCTTTCTTTGAAATCACTCCAAAAGAACCATTTTGAGTAGCAAGGGTGGAATTTGTTTTTCTTTTCTTTTTGTGGTGGTACAGAATGAACCCAAGAGCATTTTATCCCTGAGCTACATCCCCATCCCTTTTTATTTTTAACTTTGCTAAATTGCCCGGGCTGATCTCAAATTTGTGATTCTTTTCCTTCTACCTCCCAAGAAGCTGGGAGGAACATTATTTTTAGTGTACATATGGGAAGTGTATACAATGATCCATCTATATAGGAAGATTTTGGTTTTATAGTGTTAGCAATGTGAAGTTCTTATTTTTTAAGCTGCTGTTCTGTTCTAATTATAGCAGTTGAAACTGTGTTTGATTCTCATGATCTTTATCACATTGTGTGATATAGTAGGATCATGCTATACCTCCTCAAAATCTCTGTTAAATCCAACTTAAATACCTCTTAGAGGCTGGGAATGAACTCACTGGTATAGCACTTGGCTAGCATGCAGAAGGCCTGGGGTTCAAAGCCCAGTATTTTAAACATACTCTTTGGAATACAATATCCCTTTGCTTGAGGGCAATTTGTTATTATCGTTGAGCCCAGTTTGGGAAACTGTGAGAAAGTTTCCATGAATTTAAAGTGATCAAACTCCTAAGCAAGGACTTGAGGGTATCCAGATAGGGAACAGTCAGTACTCCCTGGGCCCCTGAGAGTCTGAGGAGATGCAGTACATGGCTGCTAGTCCTCCTCACCTGGCCTGGGAACAAAAAGCTGCAAAACCAGGCCCTATAAACACTGGCATGACCACTGGCTACTGCACATCTGCATTTCAGAGATGCTTGAGGCCACAAGGAAAGGAAGCCTGCCTAGGGATGGTCACGCCTGTGTGAGAGGCGAGGTGGAAAAGCAGAAACAGTTTCAGCCTCTGTGGGGCAGCACCACCTTCACAGCAGCACAGTGCTTACCCTGTTGCTCCCACCCTCTCCTCAGCACACACCATGAGGTTCTGGAGGGAGTCACTCCTCTGAGGTCAAATGATATGTGTACTCATGAATGTGCTTTCAGTATTAAATCCCAGTACAGTAACTGTCAGTACATAAAACTCACATCGACCAGAGCACCACAGCCTTAGGTGTGACTGTGGAGAACAACGTGTGGGCTGAGTCCCCTCCCTGTGACCTGGGCACATGGCAACATTTGTTGTCCTCACTGGGGTCAGGGGTGTTTGTCTCGTTGCCTCTCCCCTTTCCACACCTGTGCATTAAGGTTCCACACTGAAGCGTTGCTCCTGCTTCAGGGGCCAGCTCTGCCTGTGCAGCACTACAGGGCCATGAGCTTCACCAGCTTGGAGAAGGCTACTCATCTCCCAGCGGCAGCACAGGAGTGATGGAATTGGGATTCAGACCAATCGCTCTCATGTCAGAAACTAAGCCCCCAACTGTGCCATTGTGCCAATCTCTCTCATGCCATTGCCCTCGCTCAGTGAAGGACAGTGCCACACGGTGGGGAGGGCTGGGGACAGCCCAGTTTTCACTCTGGAGTGTACTGCCTTGTCCTGAAGTTCACATTAAAGGATATTTGCTTTGTTGGTCTATTTCTTGGTGTTATCTCTAACTCCATTTAGACTATATGAGAAGAAAATAATGATTTTCATTATTTCTAGGGGAACCAAATCCTACTGCAATCTGCGAATTAGGCTTGCTTTATTTACTTATTTGGTACTGAGGATTGAACTCGGGGCATTCAACCACTGAGTCACATCCCCAGACCTATTTGGTATTTTATTTAGAAACAGGGTCTCACCAAGTTACCTAGCGCCTCACCGTTGCTGAGGCTGGCTTTGAACTTGCAATCCTCCTGCCTCAGCCTTCCTGAGCTGTTGGGAATACAGATGTGCACCACCACACCCAGCAGAATTGGACATTATTAAAAATAATAAGTTCCTGGGCTGGGGGAATAGTTCAGTGGTGGAGCATTTGTTTAATATAAGCAAGGCCCTAGGATTTATCCTCAGCAATGAAAAAAGAGTTCCCTAATTTATTTGGTCATGTACATTTCTTCATTGTTTGAATATACAGAGTAGCAGTACTATAAAAATACACTGACTTTTACATAAATTTTGCTTCTTTCCAAAAGAAATTGCCACTTCAATGCTGTTTTCTGCTCATCCGTCATTACAAGAAACTCATTCACCTAGTTAGAGAGAAAAGATCAAACATATTTCTGAAGTATAAATACTTTTTTTTAAAAGATTTATTTAGTTAGTTTTTAGAATTTATTATTTAGTTTTTCGGTGGACACAACATCTTTGTTTGTATGTGGTGCTGAGGATCGAACCCAGGCCGCACGCATGCCAGGCGAGCGCGCTACCGCTTGAGCCACCTCCCTAGTCCAAGTATAAATACTTGACTCATTTTGACAACATTGTGAAACAAATTTGCTCATGAGGAATAGAATATTATTCTTAGTAATCACCCAGATCAATTCTTTTTACAGTGCATAAGTGTAAAAAGTGCATAAGGCCCTTGGTTCAAACCCCAGCATCGCCCAAAGAAAAGCAGAAGCTAACTTTTAATAGATCTTTTATTGTGTTTGGTTTGGTACTGGGGATCAAATCCAAATCCAGGGCTTAGCACATGCTAATGAGATGGGTTTTTTCTTTAAATATTTATTTTTTTAGTTTTAGATGGACACTATATACACACACACATACACATATATATATATATATATATATTATTTATTTATTTATTTTTTTTTAATGTGGTACTGAGGATCGAACACCAGTGCCTTACACATGCTAGGCAGGCACTTTACCACTGAGCCACAACCCAGCTCAATAAGATGGTTTTAACAATAAAAACCATCTGGCTATCATCAAATGCAGGTGCTAGTCCAGCCTCCAGGTGTTCTGTAGCAACCATGCCAGGGAGAGAATACATGGCTGAATTTATATAGCTGGGCAGAAGAAATCTGACCAGGCCCTCCTTCTGGAACAGCCACTGAATGCCTGGCCAGCATCGCCAACATGTTGTTTGACCCATTGTTACCTGACTGTATAAAACATCGTGTTTAGCACCCCCACTTTGCTGAAGGCCTCAGTCATTATTCATAATGATCAATGTTAGCTAGGATTTTAATATGCAATATGTAATAATTTGTTCATTAAAGCAATTGTGTGTTTAAGCCACAATTTTTTTCCCCAGATCTCTTTATTAGTGATTAATTTCTATCAAATGTTCATCAAAATAAGCTTATTTTTGAGGAAAAGAATTCCATTTGGAGGGATGGGGTTGTGGCTCAGTGATAAGACACTTGCCTAGCATGCATGAGGCACTGGGTTCAATCCACAGCACCACATAAAAAAAACTAACTAACTAAAATAAGATTATGTCCATCTACAACTAAAAAAATATTTTTTAAAAAAGGAATTCAGTTTGGAAATATTTCTAGATATTTCATCATTATTGCTATTTACCGTGCAGCCCAAGGTCTCCTCAGCAACACTTCCTGTGAGACTACAGGAATGGAGGGTACCTGTGTGGTCAGTAAGATCAACGAGCATGTGGAAGCTGGGAAAAACAGATCTAAATCCTGAAGAACCTTTGTTGCAAGTTGTACAAGCATTGGATGCTTCATTAACAACATAACCACAGCTGGAACTGAAAAGAAACAAAGATGATGATACAATTTGATGATCCTAAGTGACAAATTTGAACTCTAGAACTGTCCTTCAACGTGTGAGTCAGCATGTGGAATGAGCACTCGGTGCCATGCAGGACCTGAGACAGGGGTGAGGAGCTTCCCAGGCACAATTCCAAACTGAATTCTTTTCCACCTGTGACCACAGAGGCTGAGTCCACGTCCTCCCACTGTCTGCCCTCCTCCCTTCCCTCTACTGGGGTCCTGCCCAACCAGAGGTCCTACCATCTCATTGCCCCGGGGGGGACCTTCCTCTCCTGCACTCAGCCCACACTTGTCCCTTCTCAGGACAGCTGCAGTCTTGGGCTTAGGCTTCCACACTGATGTGTGCAGTCATGTCCCTTCCTTGCTGTTGCAGGTGAGCTGAGGGCAGGAATCCAGAAGGTGATGTCTTCTGGAGTCAGACACATACCCACACAGTGATGGAAATGTGCAGAACAGGCACACACACACACAAATGACCTCGTGGAATCTGCACAAGCCTGAATATGACCATGGCATTGAAAGGACTTAGTCCTGGCTGTGGTGAGGTACAGTAGCTGGCAAAATGTTTCCCCTGGGGGAACGCCAGACAAGGATGTGAGAGAGCTCCCTGTATTATTTCTTACAATTCCATGTGAATTGAGAGTTACTTCAATAAAAATTTGAATTACAAAAATCCACAGGGTACTTTCACAATAACACTTTAGATGTTTTTTGCCAAGCATGGTCTGGTCACGATTTCTTAATCTTTTGGGGCTCACTGTCCATGCAAGGAGATATGACCTTGACCTCAGAGAGAGGTCACACACTTCTGCAGTGGAGAATCACATTGCTACAGACATGACAACCAGTTTTCTACTAACTTTAAGACAAGTCTGTTATCCCAGCTAAAACTATTACATCTTTATATTTAAGGATTGCAGAAATACGGTAATTTTATTTTACTTTAAAAGTCAATTAGGGCTGGGGATGTGGCTCAAGCAGTAGCGCACTCGCCTGGCATGTGTGCGGCCTGGGTTCGATCCTCAGCACCACATACAAAAAAGATGTTGTGTCCGCCAAATACTAAAAAATAAATATTAAAATTCTCTCTCTCTTTCTTACTTTCTCTTAAAAAAAAAAAAACATTAAAAAAAAAAAGTCAATTAGGGGGGTTATAGTTCAGTGGCAGAGCGCTTGCCTAGCATGTGTGAGGCACTGGGTTCGATCCTTAGCACCACATAAAAATAAACAAAATAAAGGCATGCTGTCCATCTACAACTACAAAAAATATATATATCAAAAAATGTCAATTAGGGGGGTGGGGTTGTGGCTCAGCTGTAGAGCGCTTGCCTAGCACGTGCAAGGCCCTGGGTTGGATCCTCAGCACACATAAAAATAAATAAAATAAAGATATTGTGTCCATCTACAACTAAAGAAAAAAAAAATTTAAAAACAGTTAGTTAGGGGCTGTGGTTGTGGCTCAGTGGTAGAGTGCTTGCCTAGCATGTGTGAGGCACTGGGTTCGATTCTCAGCACTACATATAAATAAATAAAATAAAGGCCCATTGACAATATATATATAAATTTTGTAGTTGTAGATGGATATAATACCTTTATTTTATTTATGTGGTGTTGAGGATCGAAACCTAGGGTCTCACATTGCTAGGCAAGTGCTGAGGTATAACCCAAGCCGAAGACAACTAACATATTTTTTAAAAAATCAATTATAGCTGGATGTTGTAGCAACATACTTGCAATCCCAGAGACTCAGGAGGCTGAGGCAGGAGGATTGCTAATTCAAGACCAGCCTCAACAACTTAGTGAGATCCTGTCTCAAAATAAAAATTAAAAGGGTTAGGGATGTGGTTTAGTGGTAAAGCACTCCCGGGTAAAATCTCCAGTACCCCCCACCCCAAAAAGTCAATTATAATCTTTGAATCTAAATAATCTGCCATGAAAACTTTTTTAAAAAATATTTTTTTGGTACCAGGGATTGAACTCAGGGGCACTCAACCACTGAGCCGCATTCCAAGCCCTATTTTTGTATTTTACTTAGAAACATGGTCTCACTGAGTAGTTTAGTGCCTCACGGTTGCTGAAGCTGGCTTTGAACTCGAGATTCTCCTGCCTCAGCCTCCCCAGCCCCTGGGATTAGAGGTGAGTGCCACTGCACCCAGCTGCCATGAAAACTTTTAATTATGGTTTATTTATTTATACATTTCCCTCAAATAAGTAACACTATTATGTCAAAGAAATGCTTTAACTTTTGTAATCTAAAATGTATTAACAATTATTTCTTATAAAAATGAATTTGCTAAAAATAACTTGTTACCTTACCATCTATTTCGAACTACTTTCATGGTTTCATCATCGATGTTCAGTGTAGAAATGTAAGCATAAAGAATGCCATAGAAAGGATCCGGTTTTCTTTCATTCCTCAAAGCTTTATCCTTTAGTTGTTCAACTGTATAGACATCAACTATTGTATTCACTAAAAATAAGAAGGATTTCAGTTGCAAGTACTCGGTAAGAACCAGAAGGATCACACCCAAGGAAAAAGCCCAGGTCCAACTGAGAGCGCACAGCTAGCTTTGATTAACAAGATCATGATGTTTACTAAATTAAACCAATTATGTAATAGGATAAAAAGCAAACAATAGGCAAAAAGGAAAACAATGAAAAATTGTCATTAAATGAAGAATTCATTGTCATCAAGAGATACCATTACAAAGCCACAGACTGGGGGATGCCAGCAGTCTACCCAGATAGCAGAGGCTCACCAGAAAATCTAAAGTTTTTTTTCTTTTGGTTTTTAGTGCTGAGGATTGAACCCAGGGCCTACTGAACACACTATCTTATGCCAAATTATATTTGTTGGCATAGCACTTTTCTGGGGAGAGAGTCATTACTTCTCATCATTGCCTAGTGGTAATAAAAGCCTCCAAAGTTTTAATCTAGCTTTTTAAAAGTGGAAATATAGTAGTTACAGACTAAGAATATGGTGCCTTTCAGTAAGTCAAATCAAAAGTTTACAGCCCAATTCTGGCCTGTTTAAAAATAAAAAAAAAATTAAAGAGTCACTTACAATTTATGGATTCTTTCAAATAAGTGTCAATCTCATCAGCCACAACTTTTGTTTCTTTATTTTCTCTTACAAAATTTATTAGAATGTTAGCTTCTGGTGTGTCTTGAATTGAAAACGCATAATAAGGAAAAAGCAAACTGATTATCTTTTAAACCACCATGAAGGATCCAAAGTTACTTTTAACAGTAAAAAACAAGACATATAAGAATGAAATTGAATAGAATATCACTCAACCATTAACAATGTGTCGCAGAGCTCTGCCAACATGAGCAGTGTGCACTAGAAGTTGCTAGTAAAAAGAGCATTTACAAAACTACGTGGTACAGGAATACACTTTTTTAAAATATTTTTTTTTAGTTGTAGATAGATATGATACCTTTATTTAATTAATTTATTTTTATGTGGTGCTAAGGATTGAACCTAGTGCTTCACACATACGACACATACGAGGGGGGTACTCTACCACTGAGCCACAGCCCCATCCCAGGGAAATACACTTTTAATTGAAAAAGTATATATTCAAAATTATCTGTAAAAATATACATGAAGGAAATTATGGTGGGTTATAGATTATCTTTATGTTCCTTTTTAATTATTTTATGCATTTTTCTGAATTTCATATATATTTCTTTCCTAATAAGAAATGCTTTTTTAAAAAAAAGATTATTTTAGCCAGGTGTGGTGGCACACACCTGTAATCCTAGTGATTTGGGAGGCTGAGGCAGGAGGATCACAAGTTCAAGGCCAGATGAGAAATTTAGGGATATGCCCTACCTTAAAATAAAAAGGAGTGGAGATGTAAAGCACCCCCAGGTTACAATCCTCAGTACTGAAAAAAGAAGTTATTTTAATGCCTTGCTTTTCAAACCGGAATAGTGGAATGAGTTTTTTCAAGAATAGTTAGTAGGTGCTCCAGAATGCTAGAAGGTGATTCTGAAAAAGGGATTCTAATGCCCTTCAGTCCCAAGAACCCAGCCTCTGACATGTGACTAAGTGTTCCATCCCACCTGAGCATTCTACAGATTGCCCTGACTCCCTTGGGCAGATTTAAAAGCTCTGCTCCTGCTCCCATCATACACGTCTCATCACTACTCTTCATCAGAACTAGACTATAAATTCCTCCTAAGCAGATCGTGCCTTTCCATTTCTGGGTTATGATCATTCATTCATTCCTACTTTCCACAAAGAATTTAAGTTAATGCCTGGCAAATAAAAGGCATTCAATGAATATTTGTAAATTAATGGTGGACAAACGAATGTTTTTGAGGCACTAACAGAACTGCTGCACCACTCATGGGAGCAGCTGCTGAGCAGGCTACAGCAACCAGACCAACTAGCTTCTTGAGATAGGAGCTGGTAGGCGGGGTGGGGTGCAGACACCACACACAGGCTTCTACTGACAACAGGATGATCCCAACTGGCTGTGGGGAGGGCAGAATTCTGCTCTGATGATCGCTCTTGGTGCAGAGAAAGCATAAGGAGAGCTTAACATCCTGATGAGGATGAACATATAAGCCATTTAGAGGTTCTTCATTTCGAAAGGTAGGCATAACCCACTAAATTAGAAATCAGACCGAATTAAACAAGCACACACATTTACACTCTTATGAGTACCCCCCTTTAAACTGGTCTCCTTGGCATATTAAATTTAAGCTATCTATTGTACATGTTTTGTTTTTTGAGACAAGGTCTCACTGTTACTGAGACTGACCTTGAACTTGGGATTCTTCTGCCTTGGCTCCTAAGTCACTGGGATTATAGGAATGTGCCACCATGCCTGGCTGATTTTATTGAATTTTTAATTAGTTAAGTTTGATGATTTTTCCACCAAACAAATCCAATTTTTAGATCTTTTCTCAGATCAAACTTACTCTCAGAGGGTACAGATGTCCTTCCTTTCCTCCTTCCTTTATTTTTGACTTTTGTGTGTGTGTGTGTGTGTGTGTGTGTGCGCGCGCGCGCTTGCTGGGCATATAACCCAGGGGCTCAGGCATGGGAAACTACTCTAGGAAACTACTAGAGTAGGAAACTACTCTATCCCCAATCCAGGGTAGTAACTTTCTATCAATAATATTACTAAATATAACAATAAACTATTCATATTAATACATTATTTAAAATAATAAACCATAGTAATGCTCTCCAGAAAACCCCAGGAAGTGAAGAGTGGCATTATGCTCCTAAGTGTTAAGAAGAGACCTTGGCAGTGGTCACCATCAAGCTTCAACAGAGCAGCAGGAGTGATCCTTCCAGAACTTGGCCAGACAGCTCCACTGTTCCACTCCACCCCTGGCCTGCTCCCCAACCCTCCAGAGTGACAGCCAGTGCCCTTGTGGCAGCCCCCAAGGCCTTCTTCATCTGACCCTCCTCCTGCTCCTCTCCCTGAGCGCCCTGGGCTCCAGCCACAGTGGTCTCTTGTCGTTCTTCCCACACAGGCACACCGCAGCCTCAGAGCCTGTGTGCAGGCTAGTCCCTCTGCATGGGATGCCTTTCCCATCAGCCCCTGCTCAGACAGTCCCTGCAGCAAGGCCCACCTGGCCACCCTGTAAGATTGCACATGTGGGCTCTCTGGATCCTCCTGATCCTGCTCCTCTTTTTCGCAGACATTTCATAATTTGTGGGTATATTTTCTTTATTATTTATCATCTGTCTCTCCTCAGTTGAAACATGAGCTCTGTGAGAGTGGAGAAATTTGTGGGCTTTGTTCCTGGACCCTAGACAGCACGAGGACAGAACATGTGCTTGGTACATGAGAGCTGGTTGGGTCACACCCATGGCACTGCTTCCAAGGGAACAATGTCAGGCGATAGGCGTGTATGACTCAGTAACCCTACATTAAAAGTTTCATAATCTCATATTCTACATTGTATCTCTTATAATAACTCTGATAATGGTTTGGCAAAAAAACATAGATTTTTCTTATCACTCTGAGTCACTGGTAATGCTGTAATAAACCCATAGAGAGGGCTTATTTTTAGAAAGACACATGAGTATCTATGTCCTATTTTTTTAACTTTTATTTTTTAGTTGTAGGTGGAAACAATACTTTTATTTTATCTTTATGTGGTGCTGAGGATCGAACCCAGTGCCTCACACATGCTAGGTGAGCACTCTATCTGAGCCACAACTCCAGCCCTCCCATGTCTTCTTGAGCTTGGATTATTCCATGTCTGGTAATTCTGCATTCCTTGGCAGTGCTAGGATGATCCTTTGTCTACATTGTGAACACCCTGAGCACACTCAGGCAGCAGCCCTGGGCCCTCCCCAAGTCCAGCTCCCTGACTCATGCTGAACTATGACTCCTTCAGCACCCACTCCAGGGGGCCTCTGGGTGCTGAAGTCATGAACCAATGATACCCTATGTGTATTCATACTTTTTCAGTGTCTTAGCAGTAAAAGTCATCTCAAAGTGGTAAAACCTGATTTACTTTTTATTTATTTACTTAATTTATTTTTATGGCACTCAAAGTTGAACCCAGGGGTGCTCTGCCACAGCTCTATCCTCAGGCTTTATATTTTTTATTTTGAGACAGGGTCTAAGTTGCTGAGGCTGGCCTTGAACCTGCAATTCTCCTCCCTCAGCCTCTCAAATTGTTGGGATTACAGGTGTGTGCCACCACACCTGGATGAATTTACTTTTTAAATAGTCAATAATTTAGGCTATTCAATAATACTGACCTCTCAAAAATCATCACAATGAATGTTGCTTTAAACATTAGCCTGATTTTTCACATTTCTTTAGTAAAAATATCAAATATACACTGATTTTAAGTTTTTAAAAAGTCATGCAAAGCAACTTTTCCCTTCAATTAAAATTAAATTCAAGTTGTGATTTCATTCTTAAATACACTTTACAAATGCTGGAATATGTATACGGTCATTTCCAAAGGGATGAAAAACTTCAGAAGCTCTTTACCTGGATTAGTCGTAATAATGGTTTTTGAGATCACAGTTGCTGTCATGCAGTTCCGAAATTTGTCAAAATTTATTCTTACATCTGAGGCAAATATTACTGTTTTTGGGGAAAAGCCATTTTAAAATTATTACATGGGGGGATAAAAATGGTAAGTATTGAACACAATCACTGAATTCTGGTACCTGTTTCCTGTGGCATCCACCTCTGTGCAAGTAGAATAGATTCATTATCCCAACTGCATTTGTTGAAAAAAAAGTGAAACAAATCGAATACATTAGAAAAATCTGGTACTGACACATTATTTAAAAAGAAAGAAAGAAAATGAAAAAGGAAGAAAGGAAAAGGAAAAAAAAGGATTAAAACCTGCCTCAACAATTGCGGTCAACAGTCTCCCGGGTGTTCAAAGATGGAAGTTAAGGACATCTGCTTCTACTTGGGGAGCTCACTGAGCGCCTGGCCTCTATGTGATGAATCACTCTTTCAACATACACTCTCCTCTAACGAGCTCTGCTGCTCTACCAAAACTCTATTTTCCCATTCTTGGTGCCTTCTGGCTAGTTAGAATGCAGTAACTGAAAGTCTAAAGACTTTTCCAGACCATTAAAGTAGGGCTTCCCAACATAAATCTCTCAGGGGACTTGATGGTGGAAGACACTTTTCAATGGTTTCCTTTGGTGCCTGAGCACTGAGTGTCTGAACAAGTCCTTGTACACTGTGGCACTCTAGGGCACAACCCCACTCTGTGCCCCATTCCACTCAGGGTACCACCAATGAGTTGCAAATTTGGGCTTGTTTCATTTAAAAGTAACCTAATAAAACACCATTATTATAAAACAGAATATAATAATAAAATGGTCACAGTGGAGTCCATCTAAGCAATTCTATGCTATGTAAAGATCTTGTTTTAAGATGGCCTACAATAGGATGACATTCAAGAGATAGGTTTAGTTTTTTCACATCATTTATCTCTATCATTATTCTTTTGTTGATATAAAATTAATTTGTGTGTGGATGTGTGTGTATGGTGCTTGGGGTTGAACCCAGGAGTGCTCTATCACTGAGCTATATCCCAAGCCTTTTTTGTTATTTTGAGATAGAGTCTAAGTTGCTGGGGCTAACCTCCAACTTGAGATCCTCCTGCCTCTCTCTCCCTAGTACTGGGATTACAGGTATGTGCTACTGAAGGAGGCTGAATCATTGTCCTTGGATAAGAGGAAAGCATTCTGTCTCAATGACAGCAGCAGAATGTCATGTTTGGAGTGGATGTGGAGGGTTACCATGTCATTGTGAAAGACGGTTCTGTCTCATCATAGAGTTTGATTTCACACCTCTGGCCTTTTCTTCGGTCTGAAGTTGTAAAATATTTTGGTTCTCCAACCTTAGAAATTGAAGGAAATCATTATTCTTCACCTACAGATGTAGAGGTATTTAAATATTTGTTGGTATAAATGCTCAAACATTTACTTAAACTTTAAATTAGAAATATTAAAATACCAAGAACCACTAATATATTTTTGGTGATTTTTAAGGCACCTTCTATTTGAACTAAGTGTACTTAGCTGAAGCTCTACATTATGCACACTTTGAAGAGAGATATAGACATATGTGCTTAAAGTTAAGAGTGAGTCTTTTCAACCTGCCAGGACAATTGCTGTATGGCAGTCCCCCTGGTGGAAGCTATCTAGCCGTCTTGAGGGTAGGAAGTGGATTTTCAATGTCTGTGTGTCCCAAGGTTTCAGCACATGGAGTTCACGTGACAGAATGCACTGTCCTTCTGGGCCTCAGTGTCCTGAATATTGATACCTCTTGCCTTCTTCATAGGCATAAGGTGCTGAGTCAAATGAGGGGCATATAGGAAAACACTTTCAGATGGTGTCTGATTCGAAGAAGCAGAGGCCCACTCAAGGGCCCTTGTCTCCAACCAATGGGTGCTCCTATGAGAACAGCAGGCACCTCCGGTGGCCTCATAGCCAAGGTCCCGAGCAGTCAGTTGGCGACCCTCTGTGCTACTGTCACCTCTGCACCTACACGCAGGACTGATCCCTGGGGGAAGGAACTGAAGAAAGATGTAAACATGCCAAGAACCAGGCTCTGGCAGAGAAAGTCAAAGAAGGAGGGCTGTTAGCCATGCCGTGGGCAACAGGGGTGGTGGGAGGTGTCCAGGGAGGAGTTTTAAGTGAGGTGAGAGGGAACAGTGAACAGGGCAAACACTGGTGAGGAAATGTAAGGGACTGGAGTTAACAGGTGACAAGGGGCATGAAAATTAGTCATGTGACATGTGGAAGAGGGTGCCAGGCTTGTGGGGGGCTGTGGGGTTTTGTTTGTGTACATACTGAGGCAAACCACTGAGTTAAACTCCCAACCCTTTGTTGTAGTTTGAGACAAACTCTTGCTCAGATGCTGGGGCTAGCTCCAAACATGTGATCCTACTATCTTAACCTCCAGAAAAGTTGGGATTAGAGATGTGGCCACTGTGCAGGGCTCTGAGACAGTTCCTACCACATTATAAATGTAATGACATCATGCAGCACCAGGAAGAAATCAAGCAGCATGCACGCTTGATTGACAGATTGAACTGAAATTGCCTAGAAAGTGGTACATCCTATATTTTAAGACTGATATGTAGGGTGTTGATTCCTCTATCCAAAACAATATTTGATGTTCCTCCTGTGGCAGATGCTGTGGTAGGCTGGGGCTGGGCAAACTGACATCGCCTATGCAGCCAGAGCCTGCCATCCGGCACAGTCAGTGCTCTCTCAGCTCATAATACCAAAGAACAGTTAGGAGTTACTTCCAACACCAACTACAAGAAGTGTGAAGCTCTAGACATGGGCCTTTTGATAACCATCCTTCTCTATGTTTGAGAAATTACTCTTGTCCCTTGAATGTTCTGCGTGCACTTTACTTTATGAAACTTTACTTTTGAGGTCTACCTCTAAATCTGTCACAGTTGCTTAGCCATCAACACAGAGCTCAGAACTTGCTGCAGTCTCTGAGAGGAATGGAGTGATACAGGCAGCATCCTTGTGCCTGTGGAGAGCCGTTTCTCACCAGCATGGAGCCACCTGGGCATCCTCGCTCTCCCGTCTCTGGACAGGTCTGAGAACCTTGCACAGAGCTGATTCCTCCACTTCTCCAACTTCCCCTCGGGGAACATCATGGTTATTCATGTCAGTAAGTTTATCCTTCCTGTTTGCATATTTGTTTAACAGAAGCATCAAGCTCTTAAATAGTTAGTGAATGACTTTTAGCATTTAGCATTCAAATACGATGTTCTCTAGCGACTCATTCAGGCAAAATGCCACTTTCTGATTCTGACGACCACATTCTAAACACAGATTAGGTGACAAAGACTTGCACATGACTTTGTTCGGGTTAACTTACCGATCTCACAGCTGCAAGCACATTGATAATCTTCCCATCAAGACTGTGTCCATTTGCAACAATGTCACCCAATGAATAATAATCTCGAGACTCTTTAACAGGTAAATGTATCAAAGAAAGCAACTTGGCATCCACCTCATAACTGGAACAAACTTTTACCATTGAGTGATTCTCACTGAGCAACAGTTTATAGTTGCTAAATTGTAAAAACACACAAAAATTAATATCAAATTATTTCTAATATAAAAATACTTCCAAGTTCATAGTTCAATCACTTTTCAGTTGTAACTTAGACTATATTTTAAAATCTACATTTTTTACTCTTAGAAACACTGAACAATGTTGCAAAATATTTTTGTCTAAAATGTACTTTTTTCATCTTAATCTTCAAATTATTTCTTCAGAGAAATGACATATACTTCTAATAAGGAAAACGTTTGGGGATCAATATGTGCTGAGTTCTAAGCATACAAACTGACCATGCCAGGGTCTGAGCTTCAGTCTTCTGATCAATAACATAGGGATGTGAAGACATAAGTTTGGGGGGTTACAAGTCCTGAGCACTTGTTATTTCTCTCTCCTACAACTATAGCTGCTCTGCTTAGGTGCCTTAGACCAAGGACCACATTTTACTTACATACTCTTCTGTATGGAATAGGTGAAGAATATCTTCAGTGCTCCTGAATTGAGGTGCTTTATCTTCCCCTACTTTCAACTCTCAAGTCCTTCATAGAAATTTTTTTTTTTCTTTTTGAGACAGGCTTTTGCTATGTTGCCCAGGTGGTCTCAAAGTCAACTCAAGAGATCCTCCAGAATATCTGGGACTGCAGATTTGCACCACTGTGCCCACTTCCCCAGCTCTCCAGTCCAACCCTCCCCCTCTTTCTGCTGCTATTGCCTTATTTATGCACCTCATCATTTCTCTCCCAACTGTTGTCTTCAGTCCTAAATAAGCTTTCCTCACCATGCATCACACACACACAAAGTGGTTTTCCTGAACCACAAATGTGAAACATTATCTCAGCTCAAGGATCTTCTGTGGAATGAACCTGGATGACAGGCCATGCCATCTGTGAGCGTCTCTGCTTCTCCCTCAGGCTTCTTTTCCTCCTGGTCCCTTGCACTTGCTCATATTACAGCCATGCCAATTATTAGGTTATGAGGTTGACATTCTTAGATGGAAAACAGTTCAATGTGGCAGTTTCATATGATTCAACCTCTAATATATCTAAAAAGGTCAAGAGGTTCTTGATGGTTCCCTCGGCTTGAATGTTCTTCCCTTTCTTCCTCCCTCCATTCATTCATTCCACAAAAGTTTACTGAGAATCTATTACATGCCAGACCTTAAATGAAGCCTGGGGGACACATGCGAAGAAGACAGACAAGACCTTTGATCTCCTGAAGCTCACGCATGAGGGGGAATCACAAGAACAACTAGTCATATCATCACAGCATGACCAGGGTTATGACTGATAGGCGGGGCCAAGCCTGCCCAGCGGGGCTACTACACACTGAGCACATAGGTGGGGGCAGAGGAGGTGACATTATGGAGACATCCACAACAAGAAGCAGCAAACACTCAAACAGACAAGAGAAGAATGTTCCAAGCAGAGGGAATAGAAGGTACAACAGTTAGTGCAGGATGAGTTCAGGGTGTTTGTGAAACAGAAAGAAGTTCACTGTGGCTGCAGAGATGAGCCTGAAGGTCTGATAGAAAACTGGTCAGAACAAGAGTTGGGAGGAGTGGCCATGGATACAGGTGTCCATGCAGTAGACTGCTGTATACACCAAGAGCCCCTTACAGGCCAGCAAGGGGTCAGCTGCACCTTCCTCTCCAGAACTGCCCTTGGCAGAACCACCTTGGAGATTACACTCCACTCCTTCAGGAGTCATGGGGAATGATCATAGCGAGGGACTGGCTCAGGGCACAGAAGCCCAGCCCACTAGACAGGGCACTGCTGCACTCTAGAGTACCCTCCTGGCTTCAGCGGGGGCTCCTGGGGAGCCCAGTTCTCTGGTCAACCTCTCTCCAACTCTTGTCTTTGATAGGTTCTCCTGAGAGCTCTCCTCAACAAGCCACTGGCAGGAGAACTGACCTCCCAGGTTCTGCTTCCAGGGACCCTGACCTGAGGTTGTAAGGCATGAATAGAATGACACCTGGATACAAAATAAGATATTTTTCTTCTAATTGCTCAGTTTAAATGTGACTGAAGCCAAATATTTGTAAACCCAAGAATGAGAATCATGAAGGTCCTCTATATCTGGGTATTCTGCATTCACCGATTTAACCAACTACAAATAGAAAATATTTGGAAAAAGCAATACAAAATACAAATAAAGATAACACGGTATACTGACTATTCACATAGTGTATACGTTATATTAGGTATTATGTGTAGAGATGATTTCAAGCATAGGGAGCACACATCCATGTTATGCTCAGACACTACACTGTTTCCTAGGAGGGACTTGAGAATCCAGGATTTTGGTATCTACAGGGCCCTGGAGCTCATCCTCCACAGATGCAAAGGAAAGCTGTCCTAAAGTCAAAGCCACTTTTTCATGTGACTTTGTATCAAAGTAAATTATCTCATAAATTATCTCACTTATCTCAAAAATAAATACTGTAAGACAGAATTAAACTCTTATGCTAATCTGATACAAAATTATTAGTAATGATCCTTCTGGCACAAAGATGTTGATCTCTGTGCTAGCTAGATAGATATTTACCTAGGAGTTGCAGGGCTGAACTTTTCTTCTCTTTCTATTTCCTTTCTTTGGATCAGGGGATTTTCAATCACCACTACAACAGAGGGCAAAGGATGGCAACATGACCCAACAGTCACAGGATTAATCAAAACCTAGCGTGCATAACAAGGGACTAAGGCTGTAGTTCTAAAGCTAGGGCCATGTGTCCTTCACAGGCTCCTTCTTGTGTCACTGTGAAATAGAATCCTGGAGGGCAGCCATCAGTTTGACCCCAGATGACATTTTCCAGTGCTTTACCTTTATGCCCCAACACATAAGTCTTACAGATATTATTTTAGTTGTACTTTCTGATTGGGTTACCACATGCCCTTCAATGAAACACACCTTTGATCCATCTCCGCTCACTTCACACTTGGCCTGGGAATGACAAAGGGAGGGAGGTGGAAGAGCATTCAAAGCTGAGGAGCTCACTGAGCTTATGTTTGTGAACTCCATGCTTTAGGGTTTCACTTTCCCCAGGGCCTGTGCCAGCACTCTCCGTGCTCTGCTTTGTTCATTCCTCCCACAACCATCCGTGATTATCAGAGGCTGAGTAACTAGAAGTTTTATATTAGAAAGTGGGAGAGCTAGAATTAGAATTCTTCTGATTCAAACTCTTTACTCTTTTAACTCTACCACACTAAAATCCTACCTGCATCTATGATCATCATAGATCTTGGGCTTTTAAACCCCTTATTCTTGTTCATTCTCACAGCCATCAACCTAGGTCTTAATACTGCAATAAGCTCATCTCTCTATATGACTGACGTCTGTGACTGTGAGGCTTGTGGGGTTCTGTCTTCCATACTCTACATGCTTCCTGACCTTGTTCTACTGCAGAGCTGATGTGTGAGGCTGTCTGCACTCAGGCATACAGTGACTGGTGTGAGTGAAGGGCTGTGGAGTCCCTGCGTAGAGAAGAGTGATTGATTACCTCTTACCCTTCCCCTTCTTTTTTTTTCTAGAGAGCTGGTATACATGCTTTCTCATTTCTTGCTCTGCTGATCTATCATCTCCTGAGTGACACTATGCATTGAATACGAGGCTCACATTCACAGGAACCTGATGAGGTATTGTTTCCTACTTGAGGCCCAACAAGATGAGAAACTTTCTCAAAGCCACAACACAAATAAATGTTGGATTTGAATCCAGATAGATGTTTTTAAAGCCCTGTTCTTTCTGTGCTGTCAGAGAGGTACTGGGGTGTGGAAAAGATGCAGATTTGTTATCTCAACTGAAAGTAAATTCTTAAAAAACCCCACTGAACTTTAATCAAACTCCAATCAGTGCCCCACTCTATGTCTGCAGAAAGGGAAGTGATAAGAACAATAACAGGGCTGAAGCACACTGAAACAGGAGTAGGACCACAGCTGGCTAGGGCCTGGTGAAACTCGCTACAATACTGTCACAGAAAGTTTAAGAACTGGTGCTAACTTACCACATTCACCAACCCTAAAGCTGTCAGAGAGTGACCTGATATAATCTTCATGGCCCCAGGATGTTGCGTTTACAAAATGGGCCGGTGAATCACGAATGGTAAAGCTGAAAGTGTATCTTTCTGATCCAATATCTAAGAGAAAAGCAATGCTTTTATTTTTTAAATGAAAACTTCAGTTTTGATTTTCAACAAGGATTTTTTGTTTAATCAAATGAGCAATTATTGAGGATTACTATGATGATAAAAATACTCCAACACATGGTAGAAAATGTTATTTCATATGTACACGCCATGATAAGTTATGCTTTTGAAACAGACTCCTTCTGAAGTTAAGGGCGACTTCCTGGTAACTTGTTTTTTTTGCATCCCAAACCTCATGCTGAAAACAGACACCAGAAACATTAAAACAGGCATTTCTCTGACTAACTCTGCACATGTAGATCCTGTCTTTTGTCCCATTGTATTTGTGGAGCAGGACCATGGTTAAGCCATTCCTTCTGCCAATGTAGCTAGTCCACATCACTACTGGCCCCTTCCCCAGTTATTGTGTGTCTTGGGGGAAATGACCCTCCATTTCTCTTTTACGGCTATTGTTTTCACCTAAGTCATAGTTCACACCTAACTATTTCAAAACAAATTGTGTGCCACCAAAGGATGACCACTAGAGGTCAGCAAGTACACATTTTCCCAAACTGGAACAGTAATGTTTTTGGTAATCAGAAAGTAACATAACCTGGGGTAGCAGCTCAGTGGAAGAGCATTTGCCTAGTGCATGTGAGGTGCTGGGTTTGATCCTCAGCACCACATAAAAATAAATAAATTAAATAAGTGTATTGTGTCCATCTACAAAAAGAAAAATAAAAGTAACACAACCTGGCTGGGGCTGTAGCTCAGTGGTAGAGCACTTGCCTCACAAGTGTGAGGCACTGGGTTCAATCCCAGCACCACATAAAAACAAATAAAGGCATTAAGTCCATATACAAGTATTTTTTTAATAAAAAATAACACAACCTAACATAAGCAAATTATAGGTATATCCTGAACTGTTACTTGATCTACCTTTGAGAAAAAAGGACTAAGATAGGAAGAGTGGGAAACTGAAAGGAGAATTTTATTTTTCAACTCTATGACATTGTGTACTGTTTGAAATTTTTGTGAAAACATGATGATCTGTTGTATATGCAATGCTTAAGTAGGTAAGCATACCTTCTCTGAGAAAGGTGTGCTACAGGTGTCATCATGAAAAGAAGTCAGACAATACAAACATGTGCTGCTACACTCACAGTCTGACTGGTGAAAAACTACATCATGAGCCTCTGTGGTGGCACATGCTATAATACTGTGACTTGGGAGACTGAGACAGGGTCTCACTAAGTTGCTTAGGGCCTTGATAAATTGCTGAGGCTGGCCTTGAATTTGTAATCCTCCTGCCTCAGCCTCCCAAGCCACCACTCCTGGCTCAAAGTTAACTGTTTTTTCACACATGAAAGATTAATTTTTTACTGAATTGTCGGGTTGTTTGAGTAAATACATAGATGCTGCTGCCACACTTATCTCTCCCTCAGGCACTATTCTATCATGATATTTCGGTGGGTATCAGGCAAGAAGCAGCAAAGGGCACTCAAAGTGTGGGAGAAATCAAACTTTATTGTATGCCAGCAGGCTCAGAGGAGATCAGCACTCCAAATTCTAAGTGCCCTTTACCAGTTTTTCACAACATTTATAGGCTATCTAGTGTCATAAATTTTCTAGTCTAAAATGATACATAATTGTGCACAGGGTTTCAAAAAAACAATATATGATTGAGTGTAAGAGTTTTCAAGCAGGAAGCATGTTCCCAGAAGCAGAGTGCGATGAGAGGGAACTGACTCCTCCTACAAAGCTTTCCATAAATATCTAGCCTTGGGCCCACAGCCTTCACAGGAGCATTTATACTTCAAAGGAAAGTAGGTAGGTCCTAGGGAAAGTCCTTGACAATCCAAAAGGAAGGAGTTAGTGGTGATGATTAGGTTCCCTGGCTAGAAAGGGGAGGGGAACTCTCCCTTTCCAAGGCACTAATTCTCTTGGACAGTGTCCTTTTGCATCCAGGCCTGGGTTAATTACCCATCACAATGGTACCTCCCTGCTCCAAAAATGTCATCATCTTGTCTTACGTGAGATCCATGTGCATGTCTGTCACTGCACAGGTTCATAGTGGTAGCCAGCACGGTTTTCTTAGTATGGGTCCACATGGTGCTAGTTCATACCCAAAAGAACCAATTAATTCTCACATGGTTTTATTTATCCCCATTTCACACATGTATACAGGAGAGACCCCATATCACTTAGAGACTAAGGGAGGCCAGTCAGTCTAACTCCAAGTTCCTAGTCTCAGACACTATTATATCTTAAAATCACAAGACAATTTCTACTTTACCTTTACACACATGGAAATGCTAAACAAATTCATTCAAGCTAATGAACTGGCCAATTTAATTAATTATTTTAGCATTTTATAACAATAACTATTATGTGAGAAACATCACATACAATCATTAAAAATAGAATTTGTCTTCACACACATGGCCTTGACCATACAATAGAGAACACGGCCATTACTCTTAGTAGGTCAGCAGGCACGGAAATTTGCTCAGTTAAATATTCATTGCAGCCATAAACTACAGTTAATGAAAAATGAAGCAAAGAGTTAAACTTCAGAACTCAGCTTTTTCTGTCTGGAAAGCCTTTGACATCTGTTTTCCCAATAACTATACCGATTATTTTCTGAAAAACAAAAGAGTACAGAAGACCAATATTAAACACAGATGTAGATGTAAATTTAATTTCATGGACTTGTTATATTTTACTGGCTTTAACAAACATTTTTTACTAGGACCATTTAAATGTATTTATTCCAGACAAACATCTAAAAGAACTTCATAAATGTTCAAATCCACAAGGAATAGTACAAAGCAATAAGACAGTTAACTGCTATTACAAATATAATCATTTGATACTTAGTATGGTTCTACTTTTTTTTCCAATCACTAGATGGAGCATAGTAACTGCCCTATGCTATCAATCCTTACTGAATTCATCCAAAGCACATGTATGATACAATTTAATTTGCCATGGTCTTCAAGGCTTTCCTTTATACAGGGTTTTCTAACACAAAATTGCTTAGCTTCTTAATCCAAACATGCTGGACAGTAAAATTAATTAAACTGTAACATAGGGGCTGGGGATGTGGCTCAAGTGGTAGCACGTTCGCCTAGCACGCGTGAGGCACTGGGTTCGATTCTCAGCACCACATAAAAATAAAATAAAGATATTGTGTCCACCTAAAACTAAAAAATAAATATTAAAAAAAATGTAACATAACTTACACATTGCTGCTAACTAAAATCCTGGATCTTAACATCTATGTCTCTTAATACCTATCAACATCCTCTTAAATATTTAATGTTCTCTTTAGCAACTACCAAAGAAAAATTTTCAAAAAGGCTTTAAGAAATAAAAGATAATTATCTTTTTTCTGAAGGGAAAAGCCTAAATTTATATTACTAGCAACTGATTTTAACCTTGCAATAATCTGTGACATTTAAAATACAGTCAAGCTTTTAAGACTATCATTCTAATTGAGCTGTTAACTAGTCATCTCTTGCCATTAGTTTTGAAATTCCATGTACATGCACATCCTGCTGAATTTTGTTGGAGAAACACAACTAATGGAAACGTTGAGTAAAACTTTCTAACTGAAGAGACAATTAGCAAATGATTTACCTTTTAAGGAAAACTTTTTGTTGTTGTACTTTTAAGGTAAACTACAACAATTATTATTTTAAATACAAATAAACGTTGAATTCCAAATTATTAAAGTTATATGTAAATTTATCCCATTTTAAGAAATCCGATTTGCAAAAACCAAATGTAAACAGCACACTGCTTAAAGACAGGGATGGTAAGGATGACTGGTAACTGCTTCATGATAAATACATTCCTCCATGATTCCACCCAGACTTACTTTAAATAAGTAACAGTCTCAGCATGTTAGAAATCATCCCCCTACAACTCCTCCCATAAAAGTCATAAAAAGCACCATAATGACAAGTGCTTAAGACAATAACTTGCATAATTTGATTAAAATGCAATTATTGAAAATGATTTTATAGTGCTAAAACAACATTCATTGAATGTACCACTTTATATTATATTAAAATAATACAAATATTTGATCATTTGGAGCAACTTGAACAATTGTTAGTTATATTGACAATCATGTCTCCTACTCTATAGATAAAGAAAGGTTAATTTAAATTTAACTATCATAAATATAAAGAAGCTTAGGGATACTTAATACCTAACAATGATAATGCAGAGAGTGTCCACATACTTGTCGACTACACAAATACGTGCCAGTGAATCAATAATGCTGACACAACATAATTTTACCACATCAAGCTTCATTAGAGAATGATCAGATTACCACATCATTGAGACCTACCAGATTAGCCATATTTGGATGCAGATTTGAAAGTGCAGTGAGGGTCTTTGATGCACAGGAGTTTGCCATTTTTAATCTGCATTGTAGAAAATATAATTTATATGTACAAATTATCTAAAATAAACCATGAAGATTACAAAATTTAAAAAAATAAATTGAGAAAGCACTGAATATTTTACTCGTTTTTGGAAAAATTTAATATAATGATGAAATGTAAATTAACACAGATTTAACCTACAGAAAATATGTTCAAAATGTCCCTTTTGAATTACATAGCTAAGTAATGCCCAGAGACACATACATCTCATGAATGTTGTTCCCAACTAATAGAATGTTGAGCAAAAAAAAAAAAAAAAAAAAAAAAAATTGGTGGGGGATGGAACTCAGGGGCACTTGACCACTGAGCCACTATCCCCAGCTCTATTTTGTATTTTATTGAGAGAGAGAGTCTCACTGAGTCACTTAGCACCTCGCTATTGCTGAGGCTGGCTTTGAACTCTCCATCTTCCTATTTCAGCCTCCCAAGCCACTGGGATTACAAGTGTGCACTATCATGCCCAGCTTGAGCAAAACATTCTAACTGAAGATGCAGTTAGCAAGTAGCTGACCTTTTAAGGAAAACAACAACAATTTTTTAACATTAATAAATTTTGAATTGCAAATTATTAAAGTTACATGTAAATTTATCCCTTTTTTAATGGGATAGCTAGGTTTCAATTTTCACTTTCAAAAATTTCTTTTTTAAATATTTATTTTTTAGCTTTAGGTGGACACAATATCTTTATTTTTATATTTATGTGGTGCTGAGGATCGAACCCAGTGCCTTATGCATACTAGGCAAGAACTCTACCACTGAGCCACAACCCCAACCCCTTCACTTTCACTTTTAAAAGTGAATGGTGTGACTAGGTTTCAAGTTTTCATTTTCTAAAACTACTCAAAATTTAGCAGTTTTTGAGTACCATGTAAATTTAGAGTTTTTTTTATGAGAGATAATTCAATCAGACATTTGGAATTTTAAATTCTAAGTAGCATCAAGTGTCCCTAAAAAAAATACAGCAAAACTCTACTGTGAACACCTCAGATCATGTATTTGGTTACACTGTGAGGACAGGGAGTGATTTTAACTTACCTCTAGATGCCAAGCGCCATGAGGACAAGGGTGGCATCTTACATATGCTTTTATTCCCTCCCTTTCCATCCTACCCTTTCCCTTTCTTTTCCTTTGTGTCACTGGGGATTGAACTCAGGGGTGCTCTACCACCAAACTACACCCCAGCCCTTTCCAGGTTTGATTTTGAGACAGGATCTTTGCTAAGTTGCCCAGGCTGGAATCCAACACCTGGACTCAAGGGGTCCTCCCACCACAGACTCTCCCCAAGCCTTGGAACTAGAGGCCTGCACTCGAGCACAGGCTGTGTGCATGTTTCAGTGCTACCTTGCACAAAGAAAACTCACTGAAGAGCAGATGAATCAGAGCTTGTGCCTCATTATCATTATTATAAAATATTTTACTGGAGTAAAAATTGCAAGGTGTACCACACTAACAGATTGACTTACTTCATTTTATAAAACACAGCCTCTAGCCAGGCATGGTGGCGCACGCCTGTAATTCCAGCGGCTTGGGAGGCTAAGGCAGGAGGATCATGAGTTCAAAGCCAGCCTCAGCAAAAGCAAGGCACTAAGCTATTTAGTGAGACCCTGTCTCTAAACAAAATAGAAAATACAAAATAGAGTGCCCCAGAGTTCAATCCCAAGTACCAAAAAAAAAAAAAAAAAAAAACCACACACACACATCCTCTATGTCCTCTTCAACTCTGAATGCCCTCACCCACAGGCTTTAGTACACCTCTGCACCAAAGTTTCAGGGAAACTGTGGAATTGGTCAAGGATTTTGAATTTCAGCACCACTAGTTTGTGTCTTGTGTTTTGACATTACTTAACTTCATACTTAAATTGTGGATATATCTACCTTGCAATTAGAATTGGAGTATGCACAGGTGCCTGGTGTTTGCAGGCTCTCAATGAATGATGGTGCTGCTTGTCCATGTTATCTGGTGCAGCAGTTTTTGCATTCAAGGCCTTCTGGGCCAGAAGAAACAAGCAGGAATCAAGTAATGTTAAATTTCTCATTCTTTCTTTGGCCTGATATGTTCTGCTTTAGAATGCAATCTCACTCTCAAAAATACTTGCCAAACTATGGCAAATTCATTTATTCATCCATCCATCTGACCAACATTTATTAAGAGCCTGTCAAGTGCCAGACAAAGGCTGTAGATGTAGCTCAGTGATAGAGCAGTTGTCCATCATGGGAAAAGCCCTGGGTTTGACCCCCAGCACTGAAAAAAATTTTAAAAAGTCAAGTGCTGGACATTTGAGGTGGGAGAGGATGACTTTTCAAGTGACTGGATTTTATATAAAAAACACAACCCACCTACATACTGAGCTCTCTAAATTTTTATCCCTTAGCATCTTTTGGTGGTCAGTGACTTACATAATATCACATGATCTCTTTGAATTTTCTTCAGTTCCTACAATTATTAAAATTAAATGTTGATATACTTTATATGGTGATATAGTTTATAGTGTTTGTCAATAAAAATATGACTTGCTTCTCTTCCTGGACATTTTGAGAAATACACGATTAACGTGAACTAAACAGCTCAATATGGGAATTCAGTCATTTCTTAATTCATCAGCAACTACTATCCCTTCTACTTTATGTATTAAAAAATGTATTTAAAACATCTCCTTTTCTTCATCTCCAATGCCACCTCTCAGCTCAAGGCTAAGTCATTCCTGAGAGTGCTGCAATAGCCTGGTTTCGGTGTATTCATTCAACACACGCTGGTCAAGTATCTGATACATGTCAGGTCCAGAATCAGGATAGGGGACAGAGCTGTAGGATGGTCCCTGGAACTCCTTCATGTACACCCAGCAGCCTTAAGGAGGCACAATAGGCACAGAGGGCCAGATGTGGGACCCTATATGTGTGGCCACCAGACTGCTGTTCACGGGGTGGAGGGAAAGCAGTAATGGTGGACTCTGCCCATTCGACAGTGGCACTGAAGCCATGGGTGCCTAACATGAGATGCACCCACACAACAGACAGCAGCAACCCCATCACCATATCTGAAAGCTCTCCCAACACACATTTCCCGAAGTGCCCTTCTTGAGCTCAGTGCCCAACTCCCACCACTGAAGGATGCATGCCTGTCTGATCTGAGTCCAGCTGACTAGGCTGGTTTCTCCCAAGACCTTCCCAGCCCTTTGTGTAGTATGGCAGGGCCCGGGCCCCAGGCCCCATGCTGGAGCTTGCCTCCAGAGGAGAGACCTGCATGTTTGACCCTTACCTACTTAGGTGCTCAGGTTTGGAGGAAGGGAGACTCCATGGACCCAGAGGAGGAAGACACTGCTAGCTGCTTTTTCTAAGAAGATGGTTGGCTCATAGGTGAGGCAAAACCTTAACATGCACCCCAGTAACTTCCTGAGTTTTGTTCTGCTTTACTTTTTAAATTTTTATTTAAAAAAATTATTGTGGTATTGAGGATTGAACCCAGAGGCACACTACCTTTGAGTCACAGCCCCAGCCTTTCTATATTTATTCTGAGACAGGATATCACTAAGTTGCCCAGGTTGGCCTGGAACTTGCAACTCTCCTGCCTCAGACTCCTGAGTCACTGGAATTACAGGTGTGAGCCACCAGAATTACAGGTGTGAGCCACCACACCAGGCCAACTTTCTGATTTTGAGGCTGTGGTTGTAAATCCTGAGCTTGAGACCTGGGCCTAGAACAGAGGAACTGTAATCAGAGGGGCAGGAAGGACATCCAGGATGAGCTTTGTGGACTATGGTACTTCCCAGAGCCAGGAGTGGTATGTGTGTGCATGTGTGGGCTGCGTGTTCCTTTTAGAATAATGATTATCCAGCTACCCTTAGGAAAGGTGGAGTGCTGAGGCCTAGTGGTACCTCAGAATTTCTTATCAGAAAATTCCATTCCCATCCATGTTGTCAGGCTGACATTCCTTCTCCTCACTGCCTGGACCCTGTCTTTGCCAAGACTCAGCAGCTCTCCCTCCGGCTTCTCTCTTGGACCCGATCACTTCTCTCTGTGCCCCTGACTTCCCTGCTACCCTTTCTCCACTCTTGGTACCTCATCCATCTCTTGTTATTTATGATAGAATAATAGTTAAAGCTTAGATCATACCGTGTCACCCCTTGCTTTAAAACCCTTCTCACTGAACCATGAAAAACTCTAAACTCCTGCCTTAGCCTCCAGTGCCCAGCTGACTTGGCCTCTGCTATCTCTTCCCCACTCCCCACCAGTCTCCAGTGCCTCTGAATGCCCTCATGGCCTCACCCATGGGTCTGGGTTCTGGCAGATGCAGCTCCCTCTTCCTCAAGGCCCCCACCCATGCACCTTCTGACCTTCCCAGGAGGGGCTGGCTGCATTCATTCCTTAGGTCTCTAGGAGAGGCCTTTCCAACCATCCTACCCCAACTCTCCCCTGCCTGTCCCTCTCATCAGCCTAATTCCTAGTGGTTACTTGTGAACTTTCCCCTCATTAGAAGGTTGGCTGGTGAAGGTACAGCCACTTCTTGTCTTAGCCCCTACTGTGTCCCATAGTGACTAGGTAGTTTAGTGACTTACACATACTCGCTACCGATGTTTGTTAGCCGAATTAATCAAATCCCAAAAATAATCCAATTCGTGATTTGAGGATAATATCGCTACAATTAACTTTTTAGATAAATAATAATTTTAATTACTACTCAATATTAAGTTTATGCCACTCATTTCAGTTATGGGAATAAATAAGGCTTACATCTTGCTATCTAGCCAAATGAGGTTTCCAGAGAGCTCAGTGATGAGAAATCCTAAGATTTTCTTTATTATTCTAAAGACCAATTCTGAGCTAGGAAACTGTAGGGACATCTTCTCTATGTGGTCATTCAAAAAATAAAAAGTGAAATCTCTATAACCTCTCAACATAAACAACAGATTTTGTGATAAACTTTGATAAGTCAATTTCTTTTTTTGGTACAGGGATTGAACCCAAGGGAGATTAACCACTGA